GAGGAGCCCAGTGTTGCACAGAGGCAGCTTTGAAAGGACAGTGAGAGCTGCAGCTACCGTCTGGGATGCCTCACCTGCCCTGGCTTGTCATCGCCATAAACTCACTCCAATCTCAGTGCTTCTATCCAATGGCTCTGAGAACCCAAGCAGTTTGAAATGAAAAGCATGAGATAAGGTATTACCCAATCTGGGAAGAATTCTCACACAGGGTTTAAGTCTGCTGGGAGACCCCACTAAGAGAGAACTCAAGCTGTACCCTGCTTACACACCTCGTACCCTCTTTAAACACACACACATATCAGTGCTGTTCTCTTGAATCCACTCACGTTTTCTGAGCTAAATCCTTTGCACCCCAGTCAGAAGAGAGCTCACGATTTTTCAATGTATTAGATTTCACACGCTCAAATTTACTTAGAAGAGTCGTTTCCTTCTCCAAAGATGGCTAACCACTATAATGCTTTCTGGCTCTTAAAGTATTTCTCAGATTCCAAGACAGAAAAATAATAATCATGATAGAAACATAACAAAGTGAAGCATGGTGGTGATACCCTTAATCCCAACACTCAAGAGCTGAGGCAGGCTGGTCTGTGAGTCTGAGGCCAGCCTGTCCACACAGTGTAAAAAAAGCAAGCAGAGAACATGCAAATGATGGCAATGCCCTGAACAACGGCTAAGAAAGGATACTATTTTGGAGCCAGGAAGAGGGCATCTCAGCCCTCGGATGACCTCCCTGCCATCCAAATTCTCCCCTAGCACACAGGGCCATCCTTTAGTGCTTAAGGATTAGCACTAAACCACAAGAACCAACTGAAAAATCACCCCCCTCCTTCAGGATTAAGTAAAAAATTATAAACTTCTCTTCAAGTTTTCAAAAAAAAAAAGCAAAGGAGACACTCAGTGACCAGTTGTCAAACAGGTAAAATCATACACAGAACTCTATCAAATTATAAAGGACAGAATGAAAGCAGGTTTTACAGCCCTTAGGGATGGTTTGCAAGTCATGAAACTCAGCCATTGAAAGGTAAGGTGAGATTTTTTTAATGTAATGATTTTTAAATGGTTTTTAAAAGATTTATCTATTTATTTTATGCACATTGATGTTTTGCCTGTATGTACGTCTGTGTGAAGGTGTCAGATTCCCTGGAATTAGAGTTACAGTATGAGATGCTGTACGGGTGCTGGGAATTGAACCTGGGTCCTCGGGAAGTGCAGCCAGTTCTCTTAACCACCAAGCCATCTCTCCAGCCCCAATGTGATGATTTTTAATAAATTCAGTTAAGTTACTGAGCGATTCTGCAATTATCATACAATCTAGCTTTAGCTCATTTCCAGTCCACAAAACCACAACTTTTTTTTTCCTCGAGACAGGGTTTCTTGTAGCTTTGGAGGCTGTCCTGGAACTTTCTCTGTAGACCAGGCTGGCCTTGAACTCATAGAGATCCACCTGTCTCTGCCTCCTGAGTGCTGGGATTAAAGGTGTGCATCACCACCACCCTGCCATAAAACCACAACTTCTTTAAATCTATAGGTGATAAATGTCTGCCCCATGAAAACCATTAGTTCTGTCTGTCTAAAGTTACCTTTTCTGGACATTTCACACAGATGGGATAATATATGCATTACTTTGTGACTAGGTTTTCCACTTTGCAGAAGGCTTCTAAGGATCATCTGCATTATAGCATACACTAACAGCTCATTTCCTGTTGTCGTTCAGTAGTATTCTACCACATCCATCCGTGAAGAGACTCATATCTACACGATTTGCATGTATAAACGCCGTGTGCAGGGTCTTGGTGGGTGTGTATTTTCATTCCTCTTGAGGTTTTCTGGGCACAGAGGTGCAGCAAGATTGTCAGTTTGCCTTTCCTGAAGTACTGAGCCGTTTTCAAAGTGCCTGCGTACATGTGTCCCGCAGCTTATGAGGGCTCTGGGTCTGCTCATCCTCAAAGCCAGCCTATGTGTATCCCTGATCCAAGGTCTCTCCTGGAAGCTATGCAGTTCAGTCTTCCCTTTTAAAATTACAATCTAACCAGGTGGTGGTGGCGCATGCCTTTAGTCCCAGCTCTCAGGAGACAGAGACAAGCAGATCTCTGTGAGTTCAAGGCCAGTCCGCTCTACAGAGGAGTTCCAGGACAAGCTCTAAAGCCACAGAGAAACCATTTTGAAAAAACAAAATAAATAAATAAAGTATAATCTAACAACCTCTGTCTTTCGATGGAGTATTTTTAAAAAGACGCTGTGTTTGAGTGTTTTGCCGATAAGTATATATAAGCACTGCATTCATTCCTGGTGCTCACAAAGGGTGTTGGAGTCCCTGGAACTACACTTGCAGGTGGCCGTGAGCCACCATGTGGACACTGGGAACCAAACCCATCTCCTTTGAAAGAGCAGCCAGTGTTCTCAACCTCTGAGCCATCTCCCCAGCCCTTTAAAAGGAGTATTTAGTTTATTCACATTTAATATAATCATTGATATTGTCATTAGCAACAGATCTCTCAGTCTTTATTTATTTGGGAATGTCTTTATTTCTCTGTCATATTTGATGGACAGTTTTGCTATATATTAAGTCCCTGGCTGCATTTTATTTTTCTATAGCATGTTGAATGTAGCCTCCTCTTGCTACCTCTGGCCTCCAAGTTTTTATTTTGAAGTTTGTTTGCTATTTTTCATTAATTGCATTGATTTCCTCCATTTGAACCCTTTTTTTTTCTTGATGCTTTTACTATTTTCTCTTTGTCTTTAGACAGTTCCATTATAATTTGTTCAGATAAGGTTCTGCTTTTGTTTGTTCTTAGGGCTTAATGACTTTTAATGTCCTTCATAAAATCTAGAAGTTTCATCTATTATTTATTTAAATATTTGTATAGCCCTGGTTCTTCCACTTCCAAGACTGCTTTTATATGTGTATATATATTTGAGGGAGTGTGTGTGTATACACACACATATATATGCATATATACACACACATATATAAATGTATAGCTCACATGTCTCTGGAGTGCTGTTTACATTTTTTAAAATAATGCCTTCTTCTCCTCCCTCTTACAGTTCACTTTTTCTGCCTTCTAAAACCTGTTGAGTCCCTCTGCAGGAATCTCATTTTAGCTATATCTTCAATCTGGACTTTCCACTGGTTATGTCCTAGTTCTCTCTGACTGACATTCTGAATTCATGGAGCCTTTCATACATACATAGCTGTAGGTCCCCCCTTCCCCCCCCCCCCCCGTGTCTTGACGGAGGCTCGACAATGCAATGTTCCACCTACTGAGCCAGATACCCGGAACCAGTTCCCATGGACCCTCCTTTTCCTGTACATAGGCCAAACCTGCTTCTCTAAGTGTCTATAACTTTTGGTTGAGTACTGTGCCTTTTAGATAATATGTGGTAGCAACTCTAGGTTCTGACTTTTCCCACATATCTTATTGTGGTTGTTTGCTATACTTGTTCAGTGAGCTTCCTAAACCAAGTGTAAAATCTGTCTCTCATAAAAGGTGCAGTGCTGATGTCTTTACTAGCATTTGTTCTTATTCTTCATGCATGTGAAACCTGGTGTCCTGGCAAGGACCAGTCAGAGGTTTTTGTTCAAATACCACAAGCTAGAAAAAAATTTTTTTTTGGTTTTTGAGATAGGGTTTCTCTGTGACTTTGGAGGTTGTCCTGGAACTAGCTCTTATAGACCAGGCTGGTCTCGAACTCACAGAGATCCTCCTGCCTCTGCCTCCCGAGTGCTGGGATTAAAGGCGTGCACCACCAACGCCCAGCTCAAGCTAGAAAATCGTATTTGTCTCTGGCTCTACGCGGCTGGAGAGGGCATCTGAACCTCAGGCAGTTTCCTGTCTGCCTTGGGCTGCACTCCCCTCTGGCTCTTCGGTGTGTGCAAGCAGGCTCCACTAGCCAGGGAGGTGTGGGCATGCTGGAGTCTGCTCCACCTCTTGTGTGTTCCTAGACACAGCAGGCGGTCAGTGTGAAGTTTACGCAGGGCAACAAAGCTCCCAATGCTCTCTGACCTCCAGAACTGCTTAGGTCAGCAGCAAGACCACCGTCCACAGCTGACTCCAGAGAGGCTCCAAACTCAAGACAGTGGAGCCACTGGTTTCTCCTTTCACTTCTGACCAACATGGCCACTTGAAGGAACAATGCCCCAAACAGAGGGAGAGACTCCCAGAAGCAGCAAAGCTGATTTTCATGGCTCCTCACAGCCTGCTCTGGCTTCCCCAGCACACAGAGAGGCTATGGGGCAGGGGCAGGCAAGAACACTGAATTCACTCTGCTCCTACCAAGAACAAACACTTCTGGTTTCTTGTGTGCTTTTCGTCAATTTTCGGAGCATGGCAATGGACTTCGGACGTTTTCCCAGTTTTCTGCTTGTTTTAGAGACTCTGTCAACTCCCTCCCTCCCTCACCTAAGACCTCAGCAGTCTCCACATCTACTGAGAACAATACTATTAGGGTGGACCATGTAGGTGACATCGCCACTGTGCAATCTCGTTTTCAGAGAAAATGACTGAAAAACTAGAGATGGCGAAGACAGAAGCTCTGCTAACTTCATCAGATGGAATCCCACTCCTCAGCAGCACATCCAAGGCCCCTGCACCTTGACTGCTTCAGACGTGAGGGGAAAGGAAGACCCTGGAGGAGAGAGCTCTTCTCAAGGCATTTCTGTTACCATGGTCCTTCCCGCTGTGCCTTTCGGCTCCTGAGCCTTCAGAGCCTACCCGCCTCTCTCCCTTACACAGCAGTCAGCTCCACTCTGACAGACAAAAGCTCTTCTTGAAGAAGCCCTTGTCTTGAAGGCTCATGGAGGTGTTTCCATCTGGCCATTCCTCAGTTTGCCCTAGCACCTTTTTTGCTGATAATATAGGTGAAAGGTCTCAGAAACTGTCACCAGGCACTGGTCACTAAAAGTGGTTTCCTAAAGGTCCCACTGACACAACCCAGCCACACAGAGGTAGAGCTTCCCACAGAGGTAGAGCTTCCCACCCCTACAGCCCCTCTCTTACCTTCGCAAAGAAAATCCAGGCTGCACACTGCCCTGGGGCCAGAATGCTTTTCAGCTTTACTGTGCTGAGCGTGAGAAAGAAGCCTAAAGCTCCGCTGAAAGGGACAACAGCCTTTGATTAGTGAGGCGCCTTCCTTCAGGACAGCCCACCCACCCACCTCCCCACCCACCTCCACCCTCGGCTGGCCCTGGGCTCTCAACACTCCCACCCCTTCCTCACAAGGGCTGTGGCCACAGGCAAGCGCCATGCTATCACACCCAGTCTGTCAGCCAATGTCTCACACAACCTCCATCATATTTGTGTGGAAGCATCAGGAGGTGAGAACCTGGTGAGAAGAAATGCATGCCTGGGGTCCACCTTTGAAGCATGCACACTGCCCCAGCCTTCCTCCTTATCTTACTTCTCTGCTTCAGGAGGAAAACACCTCATCTACCGTATACTGTTAAAGAATTAATATGCCTTCCTAGCGAGAAATTGCTCACTTGGAGATTAAGAGAGGAGAATCTTCACACACACACACACACACACACACACACACACACACACACACACGCACGCACGCACGCACGCACGCACGCACGCACGCACGCACACACGTGCGCTTGCGCGGCTGTGGCTACTACTCAAGGAAGAGCCAGTCTTGAATAGAAGTCCTGGCTAACATGTATTCTAGGCTTATGCATTTACATATGTTGTCATCCTTAAATCTCCTATAGATCTCATCCCCAGGTAACATTTGAACAATTTAAACTCAAACTGGGGACTGAAAGTCTGGCTACTTGAGCAGATGGGACATTTACACAGCAAAGAGCCCCAGAACTATTTCTTAAGTACATCATTTCTGTTTTTTTCTGAGTAGTTGTTACCTGGTGCCCACCTGGCAGAACTATGCTTTTCCTGAGTCGGCACAAGAAACTTACTGACAGACGGGGACTTAATGGTCATTGTAACCCTACACTACCCCCTTGGGCTGCCTGCTGACAGCATGAAGCTCGTCAGTCCTGGTGAACAAACATTTTATCCTAGCATGGTAAACTGCTTACCTCTAACATGCCTGGGTAGCTACTACCTATCTTTGGGGTGTTTCAGAGGCAGCACCCCCTTCTACATTGTGTGATTTAAGAAGATCTATTAGCAACTCCTCTAGTGTCTTTTCCATGACTTTGAGTTTCTCCTACATCACCACCACTGCTCAAATGCTCTTAATTACTCTCCAGCCTCCACATCTCAACTTTTACCTATCTGCAAAGACTGCTCCAGGAGCATGAGCACCATTTCGTATGTGGGAATGGATGGGGCTTTTATTCATGGTTGAGAGTTTTGTTTAGTTGTTTGTTTTTTCTTGACTAATGACAATAGCACTTACTATGTATAGGCACTGTTCAAAGTGTACACCTGTATTAATCAGTCTAAAAACCTGTAAGACAAATATGGCCATTATCCCTAGACTAGTAAAGACAAGTTAAAAACCTGCTTAAGATTCCTTGGCAGAGCCAGGATTCAACATCCAACAGTTTTGAGAATTTTCTTATAGTTGACCTGAGCAGGAATTAATAATGGCCACCATTTTCTGAGCCAGGTTTGATGCTTAGGAACCCACACATATTTGAGTCACACAAAATTGGTGTTACTGCTCTACGCTACAGATGAAAAACAAAAACCTGAGAGAATTGGATAATCTGCCCAGAGGCCACACAACCAGCAACCTAACAACCACCAACCCTGGGGTTGGCCCAGATCTCCTCTTTCCACCATGGCAAACTGCAAGCTTGAGGCTGTCCCCAAAACCTGCCGCCTCTCACCACTTATCTAGAAATGTTGGGGCAGGATGACAGTGGAGCTCTGTGCATCTGGCTGTACTCATCTGATTGGTTTTCAGCCCTGAGTCCTTGCAAGGCCAGATACTAGTGACCACCTTGATGTCTAGATGTCCACTAGTTGCCAATGCTCCTGTGTACTTCTGAGTCTTAGAGTGCTGCAGAGGGTTTTGCAGGTTGCCTTTGGCAGCAAGAGGAAATCCAAGATCAAGATGGAGAGAACAGAAACATCCCTTGAACTGAGCCAATCCCGTTAGTTTTATACACTGAAGTTCTGTGTGCCGACTGTGGCAGGAAAAAGGTGGGGCTGAGCATCACCACAGGCCAGGCTCTGCTGGGTTCAGGATAGCAGCGAGTGTGTGATGTGTTCAGGAATGGCCTCGCTCCCAGAGTGCCCCCTCCTTGCTTCTATAACTCACTTGGTTCACCATAATTATGCTGGGCTGCATAGAGATGAAGAGACAGCCAATGGCACAGAAAACGCGTAACATGGCCCACGGTTACCTGGCACAGCAGCTGCCGTGGAATCTGTAGAAATACAGGAATGGAAAGTCCAGGGCACTGAAGAGGTCACCTAAGAAGCAGAGCAACGGTGATGCAATGGTCCACACAGCTCCCTCAGCTCCCTGCACCCAGCTACTTCAGGAAACATAAACAAGACAATGTCTTCTGCACGGTGCCCTCAGCCCTCCAACCCTCGTGTCACTAAGAATCTGCTACTGCCTCCTAAGAATAAGGTGACGGGGCAGTGACCATTCTGCGAGAGCATGCTTTGTGCAAAGCCCTACGTCACGTGTGGAGACTTCACCTCTTACTCCTTACAGCAACCCTGAGAGGTTCTGTACCCCACCCCACTGCAGCTCAGAGAGGAGACGAAGCTAGAATTGTAACTGCTGAAGTGTGGAGCCCGAATGTGCAGGCAGGTCACCCCAGGACTTAGGGCTTTCCCGCAGCAGCACTCCACACAGGGACAGTACAAGAGGAAAAGTCTTCTTTAAGACTCTCTTCTTCTTCTTCTTCTTCTTCTTCTTCTTCTTCTTCTTCTTCTTCTTCTTCTTCTTCTTCTTCTTCTTCCTCCTCCTCCTCCTCCTCCTCCTCCTCCTCCTTCTCCTTCTCCTTCTCCTTCTCCTCTTCCCTCCTCCTCCTCTTTTCTTCTTCTTCTTATGGGAATAAAGGTCGCGAATGCATTCCCCTGACATCTTTTTTCACGTTAGTGTTTAATCACAGCAGAAGCAGCACAGGGGCCAGAGTGGCTGTGCACACTCAGTTTAAGGCGCAAAGGGTACATTGATTTCTCATGAAGTAAGTTCATTCTTTTAGTTCCACTTCTAGTGCAAGAGGAAATAATCACACACATTGGCTGCTTCTCTCTGGAATTTGAACTTGGTCACAAAGAAGTCAGAAGATTAAAAAAGCAGCAAGCCTTCCAAACATGTCCTTGAGAAAAGGAATTAGGCATTTCCACAGTGGACAGCTTAATCCTTCCAAATCTGGAGTTTCTGACACAGCAGGAGCCTGGCTCTCCGGCGGCCTGGGCTTTGGTCTGGGTCTGTTCTGGGCAGCCTCAGGCACTGGCCTGGCATTCCAGTACTCCCTGCTGAAGAGCTATGTGCTGGAGCTCTGGGCACTTACTTCCTTCACACTTACACCAACGCCAAGTATTTCCCAGACAGCTCGGTGGCAGAGTGTCTGCCGAGCACACTCGGAACCCTGGGTTCTGTCAGCAGCAGCATGCATAAACATGTACGTGTGTATGCACAAACATATTTCTAAAACTTCAGGGAGCTGCTGCACTTTTGTGAAGCCCCCTAAGTGATCTCAAATGATTCAACTGAAAAGTTCCAAATTCTGTATCTCTGACAGTTTTGGTGTTTTAAAGTTGAGACCAACCTCCGCTTAGGCACATGTGTGTCTAACTGAAAGAGTTCCAAGGGATTTTGTTTCATGCAGCCCACAAAGGTTCTTGCTGTCTTTAGGTCACTGTTGTACTGAACTGGAACCTCATATCAGTGCTGTCTCAGCCCTCCAGCACCACATCTCTGGGATTCTGCGGCTGCCTCCTACTAAGAGCAAGATGACATTCAGCTAGAGCATGCTTTGTGCAAAGCCCTACGTCACGTGTGGAGACCACTTCTTACTCCTTGCAGCAACCCTGAGAGGTTCTGTACCCCACCCCACCGCAGCTCAGAGAGGAGACGAAGCTAAAATTGTAACTGCTGAAGTGTGGAGCCGGAATGTGCAGGCAGGTCGCCCCAGGGTTAGGGCTTTCCTTCGGTTTCAGTGCCCCACACAGGGACGGTATAAGGAAAAAGGCTGCTTTTGTCCACCAGTTCCAGAGCTTTCATGGACATGGCACATTCCGAGGTTCTTTCCTGCAGAGAAGTGACAACCAAGATAACCCCGGGACTGTGGACTGCAAGGGAGGATGGAGTCCCTGCTCAGGCGTGTGCATGGGACATCCGCAGAGATGCTGTTCTGTCTCCTGCAGCTGCTGGCTCTTGGCCTTTGCCCAATCTCCCAGGGTGAGAGGAACTGCAGTGCAGTCATGGAATAATGAGAAATGGTGGAGAGGGTGACCAATTAAATCCAGGACCTTGAGACCCCTCTGGATGTGCCTCCTCTTGACACCCCATCTTTCATCATAAATGTTCCAGCTGCGTAAGCCAGTGAGAGTACACGGGTAATATTTATAGCCTAGCCCAGGCTTTGGGAGTCTGAAGAACAAGAGGGATGGACAGGGGGGATGATGAGGAGGGGAATATAAAACAAATTACAGTCCTAGGAACTTTTCAAATAGATGATAATCACTACCCACATGACAAGAACCACTCTTGTGAGGAAAGAAGAGAAACAAAGAAAGAAAGAAAGAAAAAGTAGGATAAAACAACAGCCTGCTTTTGTCCTTAAGTCGTTTCTTAGAACTGTCACGTTTCTGCAGAGCATCATTTGCCTGAGCTCTTCACCTGCGCCAGCACCTCCAACCATCAGATCCTTTGAAAGCAGGGACTCCATCTCACACACCCCTGTGGCCAGTCTAAGTCAGCATCGCAAGGGCACCTTAGCAAGCACCACTAAGACTCCATCTCACACACCCCTGTGGCCAGTCTAAGTCAGCATCGCAAGGGCACCTTAGCAAGCACCACTAAGAAGGGTATCTGTAAAATGGGGTGTGTCTATGTATGTGACCCTTCATTTCCAGCTGACTCCAAATGCTTTGTTTTGGTGCCCTCAATCCGCCCCTTACTAAAGCAAGTTTTTTTTATTTTAGTTTCTTTATGCAATATATTCTGATCATGGCTTCCTCCCTCATCTCCTCCCAGATCCTCCCGATTTCCCCATTCATCAACCCCCATTTCTTTCTCTCTAGAAAACAAACAAGCAAATTAAATAAACAACAACAACAAAACAAAAACAAAGAAAAATCACAGGAAGCACACACACACAGAGTTCTTGGACAGCTAGGGCTATGTAGTCTAGGCTAGCCTCAAACTCACAAAGACCCACCTGCCTCCACTTCCCTAGTTCTGACTAAAGGCGTGTGCCATCACGATTGGCTGGCTCTGGTTTTTAAACAGAGAGGGGGACCCATCTGCCCTTAAACAGCAAAGGTCCTTAACTCTGCTACAAATAGTACAAGGAGGTTACAGCATGTAGCTTGCCCAATCCCGGGAGAGCTCCATCCGGGAGCCTAAAGAGTACTCAGAGATGCTGGGGGTAGAGCTGGACCCGCAGGTTTGGCTCCTGGCACTGACATCAGGAAGCTCACAACCCCTGGAACTCCTCTAGCTCAGGGACTCTAATGCCTTCTCCCAGCTTCTGTAGGTAAGTGCATCCATGTGGCACACACACATAAACTTGGGCACATAAAATAATAAACATCGCTAAAAAAACAAGTGAAGATGTTCACAAAACAGCACTCATGCTACTGTGTGCTGAGCTGCCTGGCACAGGCATCAAATAATTGGTTGGAGGCTGACTCGTGACTGACGGCAGCCACGGGAGGGAGGCTTCTGTAATCAAGTCTGAGTATGCGCGTGGCCAGGCTTCAGCTGGCATTTCTCTGAGGAGAGGACAGGAACCACACTTCTCTCAGGTTACAGAGCACAAAACTGCAACAATGAAGGAGCAAGCCTAGCTACTCTTGAGGTGAAGTGAAGCATGAGGGAAACCCTCTCTCCCGGTCTTAGTCCTTAGAACTGGCAGGGAATGGGGGGGGGGTCGCCTCTAAAGAGCGGCTAGCACTGCTGCTTTACCTCAACAACGGCATCCATGAACCAAGGTCGTACACCAAGATCACTGGTGGCTCATATTCCTGAGATCTGCCTGCTCCTCTGGGTGCTTGAAATACCACAGCATATGAACACCACAGCAGATGACTCCGTAAGAACACAAAGTGCAAACTTTTAAATGTGGGGAGAATTCTCTACTCTCAATTATAGTTCTAAGATGCTGGAACCTTCTCAGTACCTTGTGAGGTAGAGAGGCTAGAGGAACAGGTTGGTCCATCTCCCCAGCCCCCAAATGAACCATGTTCAGGGTAAGCAAACTATTTCCCTGATTCCATGCACCTGGGGAGGCACTTACAGGGACGCTCATCCTTCAGCCACTCTGACATGAGGGAGGCGGGAGCTTACAGAGAAGCTCACCCACCAGACCAAGTCAGACTGACACAGCAAAGCCTGGTGAGGGCGCGGTACCCTCATGTTGTACTGGGCAAATCAGGAAATGGTACAAACACTGTGATAGTGCTACTTTCTTTGTTAAAAACACATCTATTCTAAGACCCAACAAGTCTATTTAGCTGTTTTGTCTGCTGAACTTTAAAATCAGCCACAAACAACCATTAGAAAATGTAGTTTGAAAGCCAGGTGGTGGTGGCGGCGGTGCAGGCGAATCTCTCTGAGTTCGAGGCCAGTCTGGTCTACAAGAACTAGTTCCAGGACAGTCTCCAAAGCCACAGAGAAACCCTGTATTGAAAAACAAGGCAGGCAGGCAGGCAGGAGGAAGGGAGGGAAGGGAAGAAGGGAGGGAGGCAATGTAGTTTGAAAGAAAACGGCCCCCATAGGCTCATATGGATGGACTGGCACTTTGGGACATGTAGTCTTGTGAGAGGAAGTGCGTCACTGGGGGTTGGCCTTTCAGAAGCTCAAGCCAAGCCCAGCGCCTCTCTCTTCCTGCTGCCTGTGGATCTAGAAGTAGATCTCTCAGCTCCTCTCCAGCGCGTGTCTGCCTGTGTGTTGCCCTGCTTCCCACCATGATGATAATGGACTAAAACTCTGAACTGCAAGCCAGCCCCAACTGAACGTTTTCCTTTATAGGAGTTGCCATGGTCATGGTGTCTCTTGACAGCAATAACACCCTAAGATAGAAAGCACCATTAGGATCAATTTAAAGTAATGGAATTGACTCCCAAGAAATAGTGTACACTGTCCCTGCTCAAGAATTAGATTGTGGACTTACTTCTAGCACACACAGGACCTGCTTCTGCGATGCTACCTACACTTACTCATTAACCCACACCTACCTTCGTCAGTGGTTTTGCAGGGGCCCTACTATGACATTCTTTGGAAATTTTGGAACATCCATTTCTTAAGGAGTCAGAGCTATTCTTGCTGTTGACATAGTGGCACAGCCAAGCATTAGCTCAGCAAAAATCCTTCTTGTGAACTAAATTTCCTATACCCTGCCTCTTCAATAATTTCAAAGTTATTAAGCAATAACTTTGGTTAATATGAAGTCATAGATGAACTCCTCTTGTATGACAAGCTTACAGGTGTCACACCAGTCTCTACAACTCTGAGATACTAAACAAGACCAACTCATTACCTTGCAATGGTTTAAAGCCTGAAGAACAATGGAAAGTCAGCATCAGGGACAGGGGTGGTATTAGACAGGCAGACACACACATACTCTCCTCTCTCTTTTGTTCTAGGGATTGAACCCCAAGGCTTACACATGCTAATAAGCAAATGTCTACACCTCCAGGCCCCCACAAACATAATTTGAAGGATGATTATTCCTCTTCCGGTGTAACCACACTTCAAATTAGCTCTCAAATTAGAGTTTTCTTTCTTGTCTTCAACATATTTTCTGATTGAGATATAATTCATACGATAACATTTGTCCTTTGAAAATGTGCACTATCTGGAGTTCAGTATAGCACAGCTGTGTAGCCATCACTACTATCTAACGACAGAGCATTTGCATACCCTGAAAAGAGAAACGGATGCTCATTTAAAACAGTTCTTCTGTGCAAGCCATTCTACACCTCAGGCTGCTGACCCAGACAGCAGCAATCCATCTAAAGTAATGTATTGACCTGAAAACATAGCCGTAACTCAGGTGGCCAGAACAGATAAACTGTCGCCAGCATCCATGTTTGAAACTAGACCAAGACCAAAGCAGCGTAGAAGGTGAGTCCAATTATCCCAGAGAGGCATTTGCTTGTCAGAACACGTCATAATAGCATTGGGAGCCCTGGAATAGCAGACATTAAAACGTTGGTGCCCTCAACTCCAGATTCCCCCTCCTACACAATAGCTTGGAACTCCCCAGAGCTTCAACTCCTCATTTGCAAATTTTGGGAGCACCAAGAATTATGGTTGAATTGTCTTCCAGCTCTGATGATTGTTTGACATACTTAAATGCACAATCTCTTATAAATAAGTCTCAATGGACTGGAAAACACACACACACACACACACACACACACACACACACAGAGTCAAATCCATTGAGACTAGTTCAGGAAGTAAATAAATGGTAAGGCCAGGGGAACCTGCAAGAGGCACCTCAAACATCTGTAAGTCCCAAAGCCCGAGAGAAGAGGTGGTGACAAGACAGGTGACAGACAACACAGGTGAGCAGAAAGCATTTGGAGCTCACAATTTTGTGCTTTTTTTTTTTTTTTTTTTTTTTTTTTTGGTTTTTCGAGACAGGGTTTCTCTGTGGCTTTGGAAGCTGTCCTGGAACTAGCTCTTGTAGACCAGGCTGGCCTCGAACTCACAGAGATCCGCCTGCCTCTGCCTCCCACAATTTTGTGCTTTTAATGGTGACGAAGGTGAGGACATTCAGTAGAGTCCCAGCAAGCGTTACTATTGCTGTGAAAAAACCACCATGACCAAAAGCAAGTCACCTCTAAAACTCATGCTCAAGTCTAATACCTTGTGAAGTAAAAGGGGGATTTAAAAAGAGGTGAAGAGAAGGGGGGTCTTCGGGAGATTAATTATGATTAACTGAGATTAAAGGGGTGAGGTGCCACCCACTTACAGTTTAGCACTGGTAGACTTATGATATAGTTATTTACTTGTTTGTTTGCTTCCTTCCTTTTTAAATTCTTTTTCAAGACACAGTTTCCCTGTGTAGCCCTGGCTGTTCTAGAACTCACTTTGTAGACCAGGCTGGATTTGAGCTCACAGAGATCTCCCTGCCTCTGCCTCATAAGTGCTAGGATTAAAAGTGTGCAACATCACCACCCGACTGAAATGAAAATATTCTAAAGTGACATCATTTTGATATAATTTCTTATCATATGTGGGCATGGAGGCTTACTGAACCTCTTTATTTCTTCTTCCTAATACGGCTACACCAATTAAATCTTTCTAAGCTTTTCACTATTACTTATCTCCTTAATTCAGTCACTGATTGGGGGCCAAGCCTGGCCTCCTGGGCTGCCAGGACCCAGATTCTGACCCTAGGAACCCTAGGAACCTAACAAGAATGCCTCACCGGAAGTGACCCTGTGACCTGTACCAGAACCAGGGACCAAAATAAGCCTCTTTTGAAAAGATAATTTACTCAGTCTGAAGTTTTGTGTTACTATCAACAGAAAACAGACTAATAGTACTTCAAAACCTTTTAAAGTAAAAAATAAATAAACTGCAAGACAGAACAGACCATTTGGGGAAATTCCTAAATCTGAAAAAGCCACCTCAGAGTAACTGAGGCAACAACAAAGTAAAGATAATTTGAAAGCCAACTCTTTACTGCAGCATTAAAAAGGCTGGGTGGCAACTATGTTAAGAAATTATGTTAAAGTGGTGTTGGCAGGGCCAGCAGGATGGACTCCATGGCAAAAGCACTTCCAGCCAAGTCTGATTATCTGAGTTTGATCCTTAGAAGCTTCATGTTGGAAACCAACTGCTGCTGAACATGCTCCCTGACTTCCACACACATACTGAAAAATACATGCACACGCACACATGCACACACGTGCGTGCGTGCGCGCACACACACGCACACATTTTATTCAGCCATAAAGGAAAATATTATGCCAAATGGATAGAACTACAGATCATCACACTAAAGAAAACAAGCCAGACAGACACAGAAAGATAAATATGACATTTTTTTCTCATATGCAGATTCTAGGCTTAAACTATAGACTCACGTTAATGGCACGAAGCATGAAGGAGGCAGACTATCGGGGGAGAAAAGACATTGGAAGTGAACAGCAAGGACAAGGGGCAGTAGCAGGGTGAGATAAGGGAAGGCCAGAAATACACATGTATGAAAATGTCACAATAGAGACTATTATTTTGCAGGCTAACTAAAAAGTTTCAAAGTTCAAATGAACTTTGGATTAATCGACTCAATCACTTCTCTAATTTTTTTAAATTAGGGATAAGAATAAATTGGTGGGCACTAAATCCACAATGGAGTGTCGTTTTTGTCTTCGCGTTTTGCTAGGGATGTGTTCTACCACTGAGCTACACTCATTCCCACCAACTGGGTTAAGGGTAGCTTCAAACCTACGGACCACTCCATCCTCACATTCTGTTACACAGTCCCTTAAGAGATAAAGCAGGCTCAGGGTCCTGGGTGAGCAGGGGCTCTAAGTAAACACTAACGCGCTTTACCTGTGGGATGCGATGCCAATGCCAGGAGTGCCACACTGCAAAACAAAACAGAGTACAGCAGAGAGGTCAAGGAAGCACTCCCCAGCACACACCCAAGCACCCCAAAATGCACAGACAAATCACATTTCCATCCCACTTTACCAGGTAATTTACATGAAAGAAAACTGTCTACACTCACTGGATCCCAGATCCCAAGAGAATTGAGAATCTCTTGGAACGGCTTATGCCTCCTTTGTCTATTACTTTCATTGGCCCTGGCTGGCCCTATTATAATGTTCATTTAACTTACAATGATTATTTGAAAGCTAAGCAACTTAAAATGATAATTTGAAAGCTAAACAAAGCAAATTCCAAAGAGGTTGCAATCTAAAAGCTATTGAGTGTGAGCTAAGAATATTTTTGTTATGAGCTCTATAAAAAGTAGTTAAACTGACTTTGGGTGTCCATCCCACAATGAGAGATGCTCTCTCAGCCGGGACTCTTGTGGGAGGGCCTAGGCCCTGCCCTGGATGAAATGACAGACTCCGGAGATCCACCATGGAGGGCCTCTCCCTCCCTGGGGATCGGAGTGGAGATTGGATGGGGGACTGGGGGGCCTGGTGGGGAGGGCAGGGGAGGAGGGGAGGAAGAGGGAGTTGGGATTGACATGTAAAGCAAGCTTGTTTCTAACTTAAATTTAAAAAAGGAAGAGAAAAAAGATAACAATAAATGGGACCTCTTGAAACTGAAAAAAAGTAATTAAACTTCCAGCTGATTCACAAATTTATCCATCTGCCCACTGAACAACCCAACTACCTAAGCTGATGCTCAATAGTATTGAGGGATGCAAGAGAGAGTTTCTTTGACATGGGCTATATTTGGTCTTGGCACTACATCCTTTCTCTGGAAGCCTCTCCATCTCCCCGCACTCCTACTGTTCCTGAAGCCCAGCTGCAAAGGGCTGAATTTCCACCTTCTGCTGCTGCTTATAGCAAAATTCCATATCATCTAGGCAGCTGATCTAGTTATAGGGGATGACTAAAACCTGCTGACTAAATTTGGCAGTGGTGGTACATGTCTTTAATACTAGCACTCAGGAGGCAGAGGTAGGCAGGCCTCTTTGAGTTCGAGGCTACCCTGGTCTGCAGAGTGAGCTCCAAGGACAGCCAGACCTGTTACACAGAGAAACCCTGTCTCAACAACAATAAAACTCTTGCTGTCTAAGTACAGCAGTCAAGTTTCCACATACAGGAAGACTGCTCAGGTTCTACACCCTGGCTGGATCATAGGGTAGCCCAGCATGCTGTCTTACATCAAAATCTCCAAGGACAGCACCTGGGCAACTGATTTTCCAGACTCTTCCTCTAAAACACAGGGTGGAGCCAAGCCCCTGTTGATAAATCCAGGGCCTCATGATGCTAGTCAAATACCTGCTAACGAGCAGAATTTTAGTCCTACCTGGTGCTTTTGATTGATTTTGTTGTTGTTGTTGAGGTATACATTTTTCCCACTCCCCTTTGCTCCTACCCTTTCCAATTCCACCCTCCTCCCTGTCCCCCACTCTACCAAATTAATCAAGAGATCTTGGCTTTTTCCCCTTCCTAGGCGGATCCACATATGTCTCTCTTAGGGTCCTCTTTGTTTCCTAGCTTCTCTGGGGTTGTGACCTGTAGGCTGGTTGCCCTTTGCTTTATGTCTAATATCCTCTTAAGTGTGAGTACATATATTTGTCTTTCAGGGTGTGAGTTACCTCACTCAGGACAATGTTTTCTAGTTCCATACGTTTGCCTGCAAATTTCAAGATGTCACTGTTTTTTACCACTGAGTAGTACCCCACTGTGTAAATAAACCACATTTTCTTTATCCAATCTTCAGTTGAGGGTTATCTAGGTTGTTTCCAGGTTCTGGCTGTTACAAATAATGCTACTATGAACACAGCTGAGCAAATGTCCTTGTGGTGTGAGTGTGAATCCTTTGGGTATATGCCCAAAAGAGGTATTGCTGGGTCTTGAGGTAGATTGATTCCCAATTTTCTGAGAAACCACCATACTGATTTCCAAAATGGCTGTACAAGTTTGCACTCCCATTAGCAATGGAGGAGTGGTCCCCTTATTCCACATCCTCTACAGCATAAACTATCATCAGAGTTTTTTATATTGGCCATTCTGACAGGTATAATATGATATCTCAGAGTTGTTTTGATTTGCATTTCTCTGATGACTAAGGATGTTGAGCATCCCCTTAAGTGTCTTTCAGCCATTTGTGATTGTTCTGTTGAGAATTCTCTGTTTAGATCTGTACCCCATTTTTTATTGGATTGTTTGGTCTTTTGATGTCTAGTTTTTTGAGTTCTTTATATATTTTGGAGATCAGTCCTCTGTCAGATGTGGAGTTGGTAAAAATCTTTTCCCATTCCATAGGCTATTTTCTCTTGATGACCATATCCTTTGCTTTACAAAAGCTTCTCTATTTCAGGAAGTCCTTGGTCATGGTGGGTGATTTTTTTGATGTGTTCTTGGATTCTGTTTGCCAGTATTTTGAGTATTTTTGCATCAATGTTCATGAGGAAGATTGATCTATAATTCTTTATCTCAGTTGTAAATTTGTGTGGTTTGGGTACCAGGGTAATTGTAGCCTTGTGAAAAGAGTTTGTCAATGTTTCTTCTGTTTCTATTGTGTAGAACAATTTGAGGAGTATTGATATTAGTACTTCTTGGAAGTTATGATAGAATTCGGCAATAAAGCCATGTGGCCCTTGGCTTTTTTGGTTGAGAGACTCTGATTGTCTGTTTCTATTTCCAAAGGAGTTGGCTATAGGTCTATTTAATTTGTTTATCAGGTTTTGATTTAATTTTAGTATGTGGTATTTATCCAGAAAATTGTCCACTTCCTTTAAATTTTCCAATTTTGTAGAGTACAGGTTTTTGAAGTATGACCTGATGATTCTCTGGATTTCTCTTATCATTTCTGGTTTTGTTAATTTTGATATTCTCTGCCTTTTGGTTAGTTTTGATAAGGGTTTGTCTATCTTGTTGATTTTATTGAAGAACCAACTCTTTGTCTCATTGTTTTCTTTTTTCTATTGTATTGATTTCAGCCCTAAATTTTATTACTTCTAGCCATCTACTCCACCTGGGTGAGTTTGCTTCTTTTTGTTCTAGATCTTTCAGTTATTCTGTTAATTAAATAGTGTGGGGTTTTTCTAGCTTCTTCATGCAGGTATTTAGTGCTATGAATTTGCCTCATCACTGCTTTCATTGTGTCCCATTTGGGTATGTTGTATTGTCATTTTCATTGAATTTTAGGAAGTCTTTAATTTCTTTCTTTAGTTCTTCCTTGATCCAAGGGTGATTCAGTTCAGCATTGTTCAATTTCCATGAGTTTATGGGCTTTCTGCAATTAGTATTGTTGAACTCTAACTTTAAGCCATGGTGATATGATAAGATACAAGGGGTTATTTCAATTTTTTTGTGTCCCATATTTCCTGGATATTTTGTGTTAGGTATCTTTTGGATTTAACATTTTCTTTGACTGATGAACTATTTCCTCTATTGTATCTTCAATGCCTGAGATTCTCTCTCCCATCTGTTATATTTTGTTGTTTATGCTTGCATCTGTAGTTCTTGATCATTTACCCAGTTTTATCATTTCCAGAGTTCTCTTAGTTTGTCTTGATCCTTTCCCTTCACCTGTTTGATTGCTTTTTCTTGGTTTTCTTTAAGGGATTTGCTGATCTCTTCCAATTTTGTGTTTGTCTTTTCCTTCATCTCTTTAAGGGAATTTTTCATCCCCATTGTAAGGGCCTCAATCATCTTCATAAAGTTATTCTAACGTCATTTTTTTCTGCTTCATCTGAGTTGGGATGTTCAGGTCTTATTGCTATAGAACCGCTGGTTTCTGGTGGTGCTGTATTACTCTGTGTTGTTGAGTGTATTCTTACCGTGTTGTCTACCCGTTTCTTCCTCTAATTGGAACAGGTGGAGACTATGCTTCAGGGGATCCCTCTTCTCCAATTGGGGGTTGTGGCACTGTTGAACGCTCCTTCAGGTGCAGGCATGGTTGATCCTCTGGTGATCTCTCCTCTTTCCTCTAGGTGTAGATAGGCCCAAGGCTTAGATGGTCACTCCTATCAGTGTAGGCAGGACCATGGCTCACATGCTAGCCCCCCCTCCTCTCTCTCTCTCTCTCTGCTTCTGGGCCACATGCTCAGCCACTGACAGCTTCTGATTTTTTTAATGGATGCTCTTAGAATGTCAGAGGTGGGAAGAAAGAAGGTTTATGAGAATGTGGAAGGGATCAACCTGTGTCCCATTATTCAAGAACTTGTAGATTAGTAAGATAGGATTTATACGTGGCCACACACACACACACACACACACACACACACACACACACACACACACACACGAAACACTGCAGATTGGCATGGCTAGTCCTCTCTGCATGGGCTCTGTACATCTCTTCATATTTTTTTAATGTACATCCTTCATTATTTTAACCTATAGATGCTCTTTGATTGTAACTTCAGGAGTGTAGGTTATCGGTCCATGGCAGGATAAGGGGACCCCTTTTCCATCCCAAAGCATCTCCTAAGACCTGCGATGGTGCCATGGTACCTTAAATACTATCAGGATCACTCTATCTGGGTAAAAATAATTCAGACTGACTCTCTAATTCCTATTTGCAGTTTCACAAACCCAGCCAGACCCCAAACTTGTGCTGTGCCCTCCTGGGAGACCAGAGCCATATTTTCCTCATCTTGGGGTCACAAGCAATCAGGAATACAACTGCTGATCAATATGGGTCCTAATAGACTCAAACACCCCTCTAATTGTCTTTGTGGTAAGAACATGTCAGAAAAAAAAACAACCCTGAAATCCCTTAGAGTTCTAAGATTAAAAATGACATACAAAGGCTAAGGAGAAAAATGTGCTAACATAAAAATTATGCTAATATATAATAGCTAGTGAATAGCAGACCTTTTTAAAACCTACTCCTTGATGAGATTTTTAATGAGTGACAAGTCTGCACGAGTGTGTGTGGTATGTCTATCTGTGTGTGTGTCTCTGTGTGTGTACACAGTGTGTCTGTCTGTGTGTGTGTGTGCATGTGTGTTTGTCTGTGTTTAGTGTGTATGGTGTCTGTGTGTGTGTGTGTCTGTATGTCTGCTTGTCTCTTTCTGTGTATACATGTGTGTTATTGTGGATTGAACCTAGTCCTCATGCATACTAGGCAAGTACTCTACTGCTGAACTATAACTTCATCACGATTTTTGCTGTTGATTTTTAGAGATAAGTTGTCAATAAATTGTCCAGGCTGCCTCTGAACTCGCTTTGTAGCCCAGAACAGACCTTGAACTTGGGATCACCTGTCTCAATCTCCTAGGTAGCTGAACATAGGTCACAACCATTGAGCCTGGCTGGAACTGTTCTAGTATCAGAATGATATAGCAAATGGGAAAGCATCTCAGTGCTCCTAGGAAATGTACCAGGAAGACCTAGGAGAACTGTGATCTCCAAACACTAGTCTGCATGTTTTCTGTCTCACTGAGTCACACCCCAGAGAATATCCGCCCATTTCCCACTGACAGACTTGTGCATAATCTCACCCAAATAAAATAGTAGAGAATGTGTTAGCAACATTGCAGTAATAATTATATATTTTACACATTGGGGGAACTCACTTAAAAAGAATTTACAATACAAGGACATTCTCACCTTTTATTTAAATTCTCCAACATGCAGACAGAAGGTACACCTGCATTTAAAAGTTCCAGTTTAGTTGTCTCGCCAACCTTTCCCTGTACTCTGACCTTATTCATCTTTCTGAACTGTAAAAATGGTGTTAGCTCTCTCCTTAATCCACACTGTACCTTCTCAAGGGAAGACCCATGCTTTATTTACCTCTGGGTCTCAAGCATAACAGTACAAGGCATACAGCAGATGCTCAAAATAGGTTCTGCTACAGGTAATCACCTCCAGGTGTGTGTGGGAGTGCATGGTGGGAACAGCAAGGAGTCAGAGTCAGGAGCTAATGCATTCGCAATGAAGGGAGAATATTTGCCAAAGATAAGACCCTTCCTCCTACTGCATCTCCCAAAACACTGACAGACCAAAACAAATCTACCCCGGTGGGCAGTGTCCCACGCTGGCCCTGACAGGGATAGCCACAAATCTGAGCAGAGGACAGATTTCTGGATGCTGGTCTCCCAGCATCAAGCGGTAGTGGCCAGTGGGAAAGTGGTCCACACTCTGATTCAAACGTCTTCACCACTTTACTGAACAAAGCGAATCTGGACAGAGTTGAGTATTTATTGAAGAGCACCACAGCCTCAGCCAGGGAGTCCCAAGTACCAGGGTTGAAGGCAATAAATATCCTCACAGCAGACAGAGGGAGAAAGCACATAATAAGAGCTGAGGACCACGGGGGCTCATTTCTCCATGCTGCTATACCTCTGCTACATGGCATATATCTTCCGCGCAGAACTACCCACTATAACCCAACTCTGGGAAATACTTTTCTTTTCAGCACTGAGAATTAAACTCAAAGCCTAGTGCATGCTGGGTACTATGCCATTGAACTGTAGCCCCAGGAAACATTTTGAAATACGTAGAACCATTGGCATATTTTGGGAAAAGTATCTTAAGATCCAGCCAGTAGCTGGAGGGTGGCAACAGGCAGATCCCCAGGGGTTAGCAGTCAGTCTAGCTGAAATGAGAAGCTCCAGGTTAGGTAAGAGACCCTGTCTCAAATAAAGTAAGCAACAGAAGAAGACCCCAGGACCTCTGGAATGAATACACACACACCACACACACATACATACACACACACACACACACACACACACACACTACACCCACACACTACACCCACACACCACATACACACCCACATCACACACACACCACACACACACACCACACACACACACACCACACACACACCCATATCACATACACACCCACATCACATACACACACACCACACACACACACACAGCACCAGCAGAATGAATAATTGGGACTTTTTTCTTCTTCTTTCTTTTCTTTTCTTTTTTTCTTTTTTTGGTTGAGGGTAAAGGTAGCGAACAGTCATGCTTAGAGTGAATTTTACATTCAAAACAGTACTGGAGAGCTGGCTCGGTGGTTATTGTGTACTGCAGAGGACCTGAGTTCAATTCCTAGCACCCATATATATCAGGAGGCTCACAAACACCTATAACTCTAACTCCAGAAGATCTGATGCCCTCTTCTGGCCTCTGGCAGTACTTGTTTTCATGTTTGTGCACATAATTAAAAATCAAAGGGTATTTTACTAACTGCTGGGTTGAGTTGCACAACAGGAGATTTCTATGAAAATGGAGCTGCATTGAGTGTTGAATGTTGTAAGTCAAGTAACTTCTGTTGTTGGAGTTTCTTTCCAGCCTGATCCCACAGCCACTTTGCCCCATATAAATACACAGATGCTATATTAATTATAAAACTGTTGGCTGACGACTATGGTTTCATATTGGCTAGCTCTGTCTTAATTATTAACCCATTTCTATTAATCTAAGTATTTCTGCATGGTCTTATCTTACTGGAGAAGGGTCCAGATCTGTTACTCCTTCCTCCGCTACATGGTGTCTCTCCACGGCCTCCCTCCCTCTCCTCACTCCTTCCTCTCGTAGCCCCACCTATCCTTCCTGCCTGGCTGTTGGCCAAACAGTGTTTTATTCATCAGCCAATACGAGAAACATATACAGAAGGACATCCCACATCAAACTTCCTTAGAAATCATCGTCACCAGGTGCTAAATTATACATCTAACCCAGTCCTCTCGCTCAAAGTCTGTATGTTAGGCACACTTGGAACCTCAGCAGTAAGTCTCACTTTCTCAGTCAAGTCTCTGCAGCAAATAGCCTAAGGATGCTAGAGCCCAAGAACCATGCTGAGCTGTCCCATACAGCAGGATGACCCATCCTCTGCTTGGCCGGTAAGGGCACACACAGGAGTCCATATGCCACACTTAAAAGGTTATAGATTAAGCCGGGCGGTGGTGGCGCACGCCTTTAATCCCAGCACTCGGGAGGCAGAGGCAGGCGGATCTCCTGTGAGTTCGAGGCCAGGCTGGTCCTACATCCTCCAAAACAATACAGAGAAACCCTATCTCGTAAAACCAAAAAAAACCAAAAAACAAAGGTTATAGATTAAGCTTCAGACCTGACTAGCCATATTAACAAATACACCATTCAAACAGCCTAAAGACTAGATTAAAATTTAGAAACCTGAGTGTCTGACACCAGACACTTCACATCATAGGGATCTGGACTCTGGCTCTGTGTGTGTGTGTGTGTGTGTGTGTGTGTGTGTGTGTGTGTGTGTGTGTGTGTGTGTGTCGGAAAGATGGGAACCAACACAAAAGCCAAGCCTAACAGGCCAACTTGTTTAAAATTCTCTAATCAAAATCTTACTGGAAAACAAAAACTCATCTCTAAGCAAGATACACAATATTCTTGAAAAATGTAAATTCTATCTTACCTGAATATGTAGTTTAAGTACTGCTGGTCAATGTCACTGAGAAATTAGAGAAGAAAAAAGATAAGACTCATAAAATAATGGAAACAATTTTTAAATCTATAGATGGTCATTATCCTCTATTAATAAATTCTGCCTCTAAGTTACTGATTTCATAAATTATCAAAGGAGAAGTACTTTGTATTTGAGACCAATTCTTGCCATTTGACCTACAATACCTTTTTAAATTCCACACAATTCACTGAACATGGAGGGCTGGTACCTACATGGTGCCTTGCCTCTGTACTCTCATCTCTTTGGTTTGAGAAGGGATTCTGCAAACTACAGAAAGAGAAATGTGGACACCGACCCAGCCACAAAACCTTTCACCTACAATCTGCCCTGCCTGCAAAAGATTCTAAGGCACCAATGGTGGCACAGGACTGTGGGAACAGCTAACTAATGTCTGATTTGACTTAAGTCCCACTCCACAAGAAGTAACCCATACCCAACACTGCTTGGGTAACCAAGAACCAGGGACTAGATAGTCCTAAGTTAAATATGTAAGGTAAAACCAAAACAGTTTTACCTCAGGTAAAACTAAACAGAACTGGCCAATAGATAGATGATAGATAGATAGATAGATAGATAGATAGATAGATAGATAGGCAGACAGACAGATAGATAGATGACAGACAGATATAGAGATAGATATATAAAACTGATTCCTGATGGTGTTCTGCTATACTCATAGATCAGTGCCTTGTTGAGTTATCATCAGAGAGGCTTCCTCCAGCAGCAGTGGAAACCCACAGCCAGACATTCCTCCAGCAGCAGAAGCCAGACCCACATGCAGAGAGAGTTTAAATTGGAGGTCTCTATCAAATCCCTCCCCTCAGAGCTCAGGGAACTCCATGGAAGAGCTGGAAGGGATGGAGGACACCAGGAGAACAAGGCCCTCTGAATCAACTAAGCAGGGTGCATACGAGCTCAGAGACTGAAGCAGAAATCACAAGGCCTGTGCCAGGTCCTCAGAGTATGAATTATAGCTATTACCTTAGTGTTTTTAAGGGACTCCTGACTGAGAACGAACAGGTCTCTAACTCTTGTGCCTGCTTTTGGGACTTTTTTCTTCCTGTTGGGTTGTTGTGTCCAACTTCAGTATGAAAGATTTTGCTTTATCTTTATTTTGTCTTATTTGTTTAACTCTTAGAAGCCTGTTCTTTTCTAATGAAAGACAGAAAGGGAATAGGTCCAGAGGGGGGAAGCGCAGAGAAACTGGAAGAAACTATAATCAGGATATATTGTATGAGAAAAGGATCGCACACAATATCACACAATATTTCAATAAAAGAAAGAAGGAGGAAGGGAGGAAAGAAGGAAGGAAGGAAGGAAGGAAGGAAGGAAGGAAGGAAGGAAGGAAGGAAGGAAGGAAGGAAGATTACTGACCTGGCAAAACTAAAAAAAAAAACACAATACTTTTCAGGATCAAACAAAGTATATTCTTATTTCAAGTTAGTTATCCAGGTAAGAAATAAACCAGCTCCCCCACACCAGGAGTCAGGTTAGAGTGGCAAAGCCCACCGTAGCAGTGTCAAAGAAGCAGGAAACTCAAATTCTAAACTCCTTCAACCAATGGGCCCATTCGTTTTTAACACAATTGCTAGTTTAGTGCTAATAGACACCTCACTTGGGTCAGCTGCTTCCCACCTATGTGTTGGCAACTTTCACAGGGGCATCAGCTATCAACCCTATCAACTGTCTTGGACCACTGGATGCCCTGGCTTTCAGGGCTGGCACCCTTAGCAGATAAATCCAGGGCCTATGAGATGGCTCAGCTGTACAGCTATCTGAGGCCCTCCGTTTGTTCTCTAGGAACTGATGGTAGAAAGAGAAACCTGACTTCCAAAAGCTATCTTCTCACTTACATATGAACTGTGGCACAAGAGCATCACATATATGCTTGCCATACACACAATATTTCTTTTTTAGGATACAGAATGCTCAAATAAACTCAAAATTCAGCTAAAAACTTCTATCTCAGTGTGTGTTCTAATACCACATGGTATAAACTATAGGAACCACATCGGATTTCAAGTGGGCATTGTGTACTCTGATATGGCTTTTTTTTTTTCCTGAGACATGGTTTCTCTGTGGAGCCTAGTCAAGTCTTGAACACTAGATCATCTTGCCAGAGAGGAATTTATAAGAATTCACAACCACACCTAGCTCTGCTGGTTTCTGGCTGCAAAAATACTTCACTCAAAGAATGAAAGGCGACCCAAGAAGTGAAAGTCACAGGGACAGCGCCTTGGCTTGGGAGTCATCCCCTAGGCCTTCCTCTCTGGGCCTCCATACCCAGAGGTCAGCTGGCCAGTCTCAAGCCCTAGCTCAGTGGAGACAAGAATTCTTCCCTTTCCTTTTTTCTTTTTATTCTTCTTTTTTTAAATTTTACATTCACCAGAGCTGTTTCATTGGCTATCTACAACAAAGACTGGGAACTAGGAAGACTTCTAGACATAAACTGAGTCAAATTTTAGGGGCAGTGGAAACAAGAACACAGAACTTGCCCCTCTGAGCTACAAGCAGTCAAGCGGCCCCTGGAACAACTAAGGGTTCGGGCATTCATTAAATTACCACCTATGTGGCTGAGCCTAAAGGGGAGGAGACTTCCTGGCCTCTGCACGTGTTGCTAAAGGCAGGCACAAGAGGCCCAAGAGGGACGGCTTTGGGGCCATCTACTCTCCTGGCTGCATCCGTTTAGCCAACCAACTCCCCAAATATTAGGAGCTTACCTTAACACGCTGGGCTTCTGGGATTTCCGAAGTATTTTGTAAGCCCCTAGATATGAAGACACACGAGTCATCGGCACTTTTTGTTTAAGGAGCTGCCCACACTTCGAGAAAAGCAGAAAATGTCACAGGGAAAAGGCAGCTGGCCCCTTCTCCCTCTTTTGTTAATCCCAAAGATGGAAGGAGAAAGACCACTGACCCAAATCATCAGGGCCAAATTAATTAAAGCAAGCAATTAATTAAAGCAAGTTTTTTATTCATATATATGGGCTGCCTCCCCCTAAGGAGGGGTTTGAGAGATCAGCATTACACATGAGGAAGACAAGATTTTTATAGCCAGGGGTAGGGGGTTTCCAAATGGGGGATTTGGTGGGCAGAATAGGTGGGTTATAGGAGCAGAACATAACAAGTTAGTCCTAACACCTCCTGAAGCAAAGACATGATTGCATGGTGGTCCTAACAAGGTAGTCATAACAAACCTTTTGAAACAAAGGGTAGGGTTGCAAAATGGTTATTGGCTTTTTAAAACAAAGACATAGTTGCCATTCCTGAACAGGCAGTACACAACCACCAGTAGTTAGGTTACAGGTGGGGCAAAGCCCAATCCTTGAGAAACAGAGGTTTGATCATAAACAGAAATGAGCCTAGTTTGTCTTTGCTACAAGATGACGTTTAAGCCTAAAATGGAGGCAGGCTGGCTCTTCAATCTCACAGGGAAAAAGCCCCAGGGGCACTGGCCTCCTTCTCCTGATCCACAGACTGACAGAAGGAAACAAACTGGAAGGCTGCGGGTATGCAGCCCCATGCTAATGTGGGTACTTCAGCGGCCAGCAGCAAGCACATGAATGAGTGAGCGGTGGCTCTGCTCACAGGGCAGTCTCATGTCCTTCCCACAATGCACTTGGAGAAGGGAAACCCCTGAGATTTCTGACTGCAAAGTCAAACACGAAATACTGAAGTCATGACTTGAAATGAAATCAGACAGTCTTTTAATTTCGCCTTTTGTTTTTTTGTTTGCTACTGAAAGAATTTTAGACTTGACATTCTGAATGTCTCTCAGGAAGCCTGTATGTCCAGAAATGAGCTCCAGCTAGACTATATAGAAGGATTTCCAATGGTTTAGATAAAGCAAGCATTCCTTAGGAACTTGTGAAACTGGTTTTCCATCCCCAAAAGGAGTCCTTCCAGGCAACTACTCAGCCCTCACCCTCCCCACCCCGCCCCCATGCCCTGGGGCTTCTCCCCCCCCCCCCACTCAGGTGTTCTCTGAGCTTTTTCTCTCTCTCTCTCTCTCTCTCTCTCTCTCTCTCTCTCTCTCTCTCTCAGGTGTTCTCTGAGCTTTTTCTGTCTCTCTCTCTCTCTCTCTCTCTCTCTCTCTCTCTCTCTCTCTCTCTCTCTCTCTCTCTCTCTCTCTCTCTCTCTCTCTCTCTCTCTCTCTCTCTCTCTCTCTCTCTCTCTCTCTCTCTCTCTCTCTCTCTCTCTCTCTCTCTCTCTCTCTCTCTCTCTCTCTCTCTCTCTCTCTCTCTCTCTCTCTCTCTCTCTCTCTCTCTCTCTCTCTCTCTCTCTCTCTCTCTCTCTCTCTCTCTCTCTCTCTCTCTCTCTCTCTCTCTCTCTCTCTCTCTCTCTCTCTCCATAATCTCTGCTATTCCCTCCTGCTCTCCCAGCCTGGCCATGCCCAACCTGCTTTCCTTTCTCTGCTCTGCCTCTTGCAGATGCCTCTCAATATTTTCCTTCCTGCCCGCACTAAAGAGCTTGCCCCTAGTGCAGCAATCACATCAGTGGTTTCTTTACCGATCCCCCTCGTACTCTGAGCCTGCCATTTGTACAGAAGACCAACCAACATTACAAGTAAAACCCAAACCAAGAGAGTTGGGCACAAAAGAGAAATTACATTGGAAATATCTGAGGAAAATTACAAACAAGAAAAAAATCTAGAAAATGTCTATTTAACTTTAACCTTAATATCTTTATTTTCATATTGTGTAGGGTCCACTAAAAAAATGGCTATACAGTAAGAGCTTAATAACAGTCCTCAATTATTTAAGTAAACATTTTTTTTAAACTTACCTACACAAAATAAGTGAACTACGGCCCAAAAATATCCATCTGGATCAAACTGTAACACAGGATTAAAAAGGAAAGGAAAAGCTCAATTATAGACAAACATAAATTACACCGCAGTCAGGACCAGGTGAACATAGCAAGAAAGCTCCCAGAACCAGCTCATTTCCCCAAACAGCTTCCCAGGCTCTCTAGTATCCCCTCCCTCCCACCCCTCATGACATCCAAAGACCACTATGACTGTTGTGGTAAAGAATGGAACCTCTCGGCCGGGCGTTGGTGGCACACACCTTTAATCCCAGCACTCGGGAGGCAGAGGCAGGCGGATCTCTGTGAGTTCGAGGCCAGCCTGGTCTACAAGAGCTAGTTCCAGGACAGCCTCCAAAACAATACAGAAACCCTGTCTCAAAAAACCAAAAAAAAAAAAAAAAAAAGAATGGAACCTCTCTGTAGATGGAGACATGCAATGTTTCCTCTCTGAAAAGGGAATCTGGTTGGGTGGGTCCTAGCCTGGCAGGGAACTACCCACAGAAATGCAGGACCACCTGAGGAAGGCTGGCTCGCCGCAAAACATGCTTAAAAAACAAGTGGAATAAGAATCCTTTTAATGAGATACTCTACTTTTACTTCCCGGAATTATCACTCCCAGAACTGCCCCTACTGCCTGCCTTGGGGTTCAGCTGTGACCCCCTTTCTAACTCAGAAAGACACTGTGGTGGTCTGAATGTAACTGGCCCCCACAAGCTCACAGGGAGAGGCATTGTTAGGAAGTGTGACTTTGTTGAAGCTGTGTTGCCTTTTGGAAGAAGTGTGTCACTGTGGGGTTGGTCTTTGAGATGCTCCATGCTCAAGCTACTCCCAGTGTTGGAGAACATTTCCTATTGCCTGGTGTAGTGAAGGGACCAGCCCCCTGTGCCCCCTGTTTTAGCACATGACAGGCTAGCATGTGCTCCCCTGACCTTGCCCCTCCTGTCTGGGTTACTAGGAGGTCAGATGCCCTCCTCATGGCAAGGAGCCAGTCAGAAGTTAGCTGGCAGGGCTGTGCTTTACGACTCTGGGCGTGCTTTAAGGACAAGTACACAACAGTGACATACAGAGCATAGCAACCGCCCTGGGAGGGCCTATGGGCCATAACAACCAGTTGACCAATCAACACAGGGCAGGTCGTCCAAGCCCGGGAGTGCACCAATCCTGAGACCGTTGCATGCCCCTAGACACTCCCCTTACGCTGCCCTTTAAGATCCCTGCCTTGTGGTTTCTGGGGGTCTTTCTCCAGCTACACGCTACAGTGAGTGGATGAAAGGCCCAATCTAATGGGGTTAGCTCATTAAACAACCACAATAAAAGACTCTGCTTTTGCACAGAAATGGGCCCCTTGGTGATTTTGGGGTTCAGAACTTGGGCACAACAGCAGGACTCTCAGCTACAGCTATGGCATCATGTCTACCCGCATGTTGCCATGTCCCACCACGATGACAATGAACTGCGGTAAGCCAGTCACCCCAGTTAAATGTTTTCCTTTATAGAGTTACTGTGGTCGTGGTGTCTCTTCACAATAGAAATAACTAAGAAAGAAGCAAACTTTTTCCTTTATTTCTTCTAGAAGCAGTCCAGAAACTACAAATGCTTTTTCTGACACTTTGGGTTACCTCATTCTTTCTTTAATGCTCTGCTCCTCCTCAGTCATGGCGGCTGTCTGCCACCCTGTGGCTGACCTCTACATCAGCCACTTAACTTAAAAAGCAACCCCCACCCCTTCTCTCCAGCATTCTCTTCAGCTGCTGAGATGTGCGGCTTGCTCGCTTGTGGTGGTGTTCTTTTAAACTCTAATAAAATTGTCCTCCAGTTTCTATTTGAGTTCACTCTTTTTTTATTAATAAGACTAAGAACCCTCAAAAGAAACCCTGATTTCCCATGTATCATCTGGTGATCGCCCTTGAGCCTCTTACGTGCTTTCCAGCTTCAATGTCTCCCTGGCAGGTGCCTGGCCTCCCCCTCCCAGTGTTATGACGATCTGTTTCCTGCCTGTTCCCTCTCCCTTGCTCTACATGGCCTTCAACGTCTGCTGGGACAGACTAGTGTCTGCATTCTTGCATCCCAGCTCAGAATGCAGACTTGGTAGAATCTTGAGAATGCCAGGGGAGAAAGGAAAAAAGGTAAGCAAGAAAGAAAAAAACTGGCCATGAGATGATGATTAGGGCTGAAATGGGCTGGGCACAGGATGCCAGTGAAAACTACCCTGCAGAAGAAGTCGTGTTAAGGATGAGAAGGAAAATCAGCTTTGATTGAGTGCCCAAAGCTGGGGTGACTTAGGTGTGGAACCACAGGTTCCAGAGGCAGGTCAGACTGCACGCCTCCAGGAGCCACTGTTAAGCCTGGAGAAATGATAGGCTGGGCCACAGGACAGCCAGCCTGATAGCTTTGCTAGACCAGGCTATCATGGTTCTACAAGAAAGGCATAGAAACAAGAGTCTGCGACAGTACCGTGAGTTCACTGGGCATACGTACCTGCGCATCCTGAAAGGGAAGGCACCCTGCAGCAGCCACGAGGAAGAGGGCACTGTGGACAGACAGACGGAACAGGCAACTTCAGCTTTCAGCATCAAAGCACGTCTCAGACAGTGCAGCAGGGATGGACGGACACAGACACACAGACGCACACACACACAGACGCACACACACACACAGACGCACACACACAGACAGACAGACACACACACAGACAGACAGACACAAACACACACACATACACACACATACACACACACACACAGAGGAATCTGCAAGTGGCCAAGAGACTCTACCACGCCTGCCCTGACCATCTTTCGAGTCCCACTACCTACATCTCAGTCATACACCCTGCTGACAGTCGGGCATTTCCTTCTCTGCGGCTCAGTTAACTTGTTCCTAAGCCCAGTATTTACTGAGTACCTGAAAACTAGAGGTGGCTCACCCCAAAAGTGTTCCTGGTCACCATCAATGCCCCCAGATATGAAAGAGGCAACCTGGGAGATCAGATCACAGCCATGTCGATCACTAAGTGACTGCAGCACGGAAAGTGCATGACGTCCTTGTCCACCACCGCCTTGTCTAAACAATTGACCTCATCTAATAACAGGGCATATCCGTCATGTGCTCCTTGATAGGATGCACTAAGGACACAGGACCAAGCCTGTGGTACCTCTTTCTTATGTGCTTTGAATTAAGTCATGAGGAAATAATACAATAAACCCAAACAACCGGCCTGGACCTTCACAAAGGTGGAGGCCAGGCTGGCTGAGAAGGTGAAGGCACTTGTCACCAAGCCTGATGACCTGAGTTCAATTCCTGGGCCACACACGGTAGAAGGAAAGAAGTAAACCCAGTAAGTTGTCCTTTGACCTCCACATATCACATACGATGTAGCACAAGCACGTGTGCACACAACATGGGCACACTCTCACACACTCACACACACACACATACACACAACACACACACTCACACACACATATACCCCACAATAAATAATTATAGTTTTAAACACGTTTAATGGGAAGGCAAGTAAAAAAAGAGAGATACAGAGAAAGAGTGGAGAACTGACCAAGATTAAAGCACATGCACGACACGCGCCATCCTGGAGGGCAAATGGTTATAAAAGATAAAATGGTAATTTAAGAGGAACTCAGTGCCAGATGAGAGCATCATATCAATGCCCGTCTTCTAATGCTCCTGGCTATGGCGGGGGTGGCTGACATTAGGAGACAAGCAGAGTATTTAAGAACGGGGTTATGGTCTTTGCAACTTATTCTCAAGTGGATTAGAAAAATGTGAGTAGTGAAATATATATTCTTCCATACACTGTTATATTTATATACATGGGCATATATATACACATATATATGCATATATGAGAAGACACAGAACAAATACAAAAATGGTAGAAATGGGTAAGTGTAGGAATTCACTGTAAGATCCTTGTTTAATCTTTTCTTAAAATACTTTTTTTTAACAATTTGTTTTTATTTTATGTGCACTGATGTTTTGCCTGCATGCATGTCTGTATGAGGGTGTTGGATCCCCTGGAACTAGATGTATAGACAGTTGTGAGCCGCCATGTAAATGCTGGGAATTGAACCAAGTGCTCTTAACCCCTGAGCCATCTCTTCAGCCCCTCCTACTTAATCTTTATTTCCCAGGTAAAACGCTTTTTAAGAAAAACCTCCCATAACCCTGAAATACAGGTGAAATGCTACAGTGCTGGGATTTGTGTCAAGGTTACCCAGAAGTGAGGCAGTGAGTGGCTAATCAGAGGTATTTTCAGACCTCTCCTTGATGCATATTTTGTCCAACAATTCCCTCCAAAATGCACAAACCACAAACCAGCTAATGGAATACTAACAGCTTTTCACAGCAGCTAGTCTCCTTCTAAAGAGGAGGATGGGTCCTAAGGTTTTGTTTACATTTTTTCTTTCAAATACTAAAGGCCAAAGGAGGAGAGGGAGATTAAATGGGATGAAAGCCCAGAAATACATTCAACAGCAACAACTTAGCCCCACCTTATCAAAGCAACTCCACTGGTGTCCCACCTTCAGCACAGGGCTTCTTAGTCATTGCTGAGGGAGGGGCAGTCCAAGTCACAGACCACTGTTAGAACAAGGACATGGAAGTACAGGGACTTGGGACACACTCTGCTAAGGACCTAAGGCATGGCATTTTTAAACCTGTTTATGATCATAGCTCTGGACCACAATTCAGACCCTGGGACGTACCCGCACCATCAAGGATAATCATAGAGAACCAAAGTTTAATGTCAACTTTATCTGAAAGGAGGGAACCTTAGATGAGAAGAAGTCTCCATAAGATCATCTGTAAGACCTTGATGGGGGGGGGGGGGGGGGCTGGAGAGATGGCTCAGTGGCTAAGAGCATGGACTGGTCTGCTAGAGGTCCTGAGTTCAATTCCCAGCAACCACATGGTGGCTCACAACCACCTGTAATGAGATCCATTGCCCTCTTCTGGCCTGTAAGGATGCGTGCAGACATAATAAACAAATAAATCTTAAAAAAAAAAAAGACCTTGTTTTTTTTGTTTTGTTTTGTTTTGTTTTTTAGACCGGTTTTCTCTGTATAACAGCCCTGGCTGTCCTGGAACTCACTTTGTAGATCCCCCTGCCTCTGTCTCCTGAGTGCTAGAATTAAGGCATTTAGTAAGGCATTTTCTTAATTGGTAATTGATGGGGAGAGCCTAGCATATTATGGGTGCTGCCACCCCTGGGCTGGTGGTCCTGGGTTGTATAAGAAAGCAGGCTGAGCAAGCCATAGGAAGCAAGCCAATAAGCAGCACTCCTCATGGCCTCTGCATCAGCTCCTGCCTCCCTGTTCCTGCCCTGCTTAAGTTCCTGTCCTGACTTCCTTTGGATGAACTGTGATAAGGACAAGTAAACCGAATAAGCCATCTCCTCCCAACTTGCTTTCTGGTCACATGGTGTTTCATTGCAGCAACAGAAACCCAATCATGCAAATTATTTTTTTTCGCCGCCCCCCACCCCGATGCAAATTATTTTAAATGTAAGTGTATGCATACACAGATTTGTGTGTGAAGGGTGCACATGTGTGTGCAGGCTAGAGGCCATGCCTCAGGAATGGTCCACTTTGTTGTTTTCATTTGGTTCTCTGTCACTGTACAATTAGTGAAGCTTTGTGTACTCAGTGTAGAAACAGGCTTAGTTTTTCCTCTCAGAAGAAAGTTTTGCACCCTTTAATGCCAGCACTTGGGAGGTAGAAGAAGGTAGATCTCTGTGAGTTTCAGGCCAGCCTAGTCTACATATTGAGTTCCAGGACAGCCAGGTCTACCCAGAGAAACCCTGTCTCCAAAAAAGAAAATACTTCAAGAAGAGGAGAATAATTAAAAAAAAATAAGAAACAAAGTACAAATATATGACTGTTCATAGTAAATTCCTCCTTCACCAGTTTACCAGCTGAGTTAAAATCAGGACAAGCCTTATGCCCTTGGGTGCTTTAACTTACCTACAGATCTTTGTGGGTGATGTTTTCTGTATGAAAGTAAAAAACATAATTAGTTAGCCTTTAAAACCTCTTTAGTTCTCTTGAACAAAAGCATTTAGATAAAAGGCAAATACTTCATTAAGTCAAGTTTTTAGGAGGCTTAAGAGCTCACTGTCAGGGGCTGGAGAGACGCCTTAGCAGTTAAGAGCTCTGGGTGCTCTTCCAAAGGTCCTGAGTTCAATTCCCAGCACCAACATGGTGGATCTGATGCCCTTTCTGGGGTGTGTTCATGCAAACAAAACTGCCACATGCATAAGATATGTAAGTAAGTAAGGCTTCTTTTCTTTTATAGAGAACTTGCTACCACAATGCTTCCTGCTGCTTTCTACTGCTTGGACCAAAGAATGGCATGGCTGCAGCTGAGTCCTCTGTCAAGCTCTTTGATCACAGGTACTGTGTTTGCTTATGAAAAACAAAATGAATCCCAGGCATCAGCCTGGGAATCCAGCATGGGACTGATCAAGACCCCCTGAATCTGGGTGTCAGTGAGGAGGCCTAGGGAATCTATTGAGCCTTGGGCAGTAGATCAGTACCCATCCCAAGTATACACACGGACTTTAGACTCCCATAGAACAATGTGAGGTGCACTCTCACCCTGAACTCTTGGGGAAGGGTCTAGGCCCTGCCCTATATGAAATGACAGACTATGGACACCCCCATGGAGGGCCTCACCCTCCCTGGGGGAATGAGGGGATAACGGGGGGGGGGTTGGGGAGAGGGCACGGGAGGAGGGGAGGGAATGGGAGAGGGACCTGGAACTGACTTGTGAAGCAACCTTGTTTCTTATCTAAATTTAAACTGGAAAATAAAATAGAAAAAAAAAGAAAAAAAAGAAAAACAAAATGATATTGGTGCCAATTTTTAAATCTTACACACCAATCCAAGGACATGGAGAGAAATCAATGTGATCTATACAGGAAAAGGAACTAACCTCTATTTACTGACCTATAAAAAATACTTGTGTATGTGTATCTGCATGACTTTACATGTACTACATACATGCAAATACCCACAGAGGCCAGAAGAGGGCATCAGATCTCCTGGAACTGGAGTTACAAGATGATTGATTGTGAGACACTCAGTGTGAGTGTTGGGACCAGAACCCAGGTTTCTGCAAAGGTAGCAAGTGATCTAAACCTCTAAGCCACACCTTCCATCCCATATTTAATGATTTTGGGGAGGGGACTGGTCTTGCTATATTTCCCAGACTGTCCTTGAACTCCTAAACTCAAATGATCCTCCTGCCTCAGCCTCCTGTATAGCTGTTAACAGGCATGTATCATTACACACAGCTACACCTATGTCTTCATTCATGCAGCTCTCTCTGATGCTTTGCAATGTTATACATCTTCTGATCTATAAAAAGTAAACAGAAATGGGGATGGGGGCATTTTATCTCACCCACAGAGAGAAGGAAAAAAAGCAGCAGGTTGGGAGAATATAAACCTGGCATTTAAAATGCCTTGAAACGAAGAACTTCTTAGCCTTTTTAACAAATTAAGTAAATTAACCCTTGGCACAGAAGAATGGAGTTTTAGCAGTCACACAGATTTTTCTGTTTGATGATGGGATGGATAGGAAGAATGACAACTTAGTTCTGGGTATTCCAGGATCATTTTACTATCTAGGACAAGCTATAATTTCTGACACCTATTCAGATAGTGTGTTGCTTAGAAGTGGAGGGCTAAAGCCAGGCACAGTGACACACACCTGTCACCCCAGCACTCCAGAGCCCACGGCAGGAGAATAATGACTTCAAGGCCAATGTTGGCTACGGAGTAAGTTCCAAGCTAGCAAGTTCCAGGGTAGTCTAAGGCTGCGGTCTGCTCTCCAGGATATCTTAAGTTTTCATGTTAGTAAATAATTAAGCTACTGTAATTTTAGCAAGCAGCTTCTATTCGAGTACAAAGCTATGACTTGTATCTTTGGGATCTTCTGAACATGGGAAGTAGGGCAAGCATGGCTGTGCTGCCCCCTAGTGGGCAGTGTGCCTGGGCTCATAAGACCTGTATCTTCGACCCCATTATTGTAGAATGTGCTGTCTTTCAAGCTGTATTAGAAGCTAAATATAGTAGAAACCTCACACGTCTAAGAACAAGCATGGAGGGCAGAGGCTGTGGGGGCAGTCTACCTCTGCTATAACATGTCTACCCAGCACCACTGCAGGGCTTGCGACACAGAACAATGCAGCTGCCCAGTCCCTAAGAGTTCAGCCCCTCAGATGAGCAGTCTTCTTTGATTAATTATTTTTACCTTATCTATTCTGAGTTTTGTTTTGTTTGGTACAGGGCTCATGTATCCCAGGCAGGTCTTCCAGCGCTGGGATTCAGGAGGGCACCACCACACCCCCTGTTTTGTTTTCATGAGACAAACTCTACATCTCAGGTGGCCTAGAACTCACCATGTAGTTCAAACTGGTCTTGAACTCAAAATGATTCCCCTGCCTCAGCCTCCTGAAAACTGGGGTCACAGGTATAAGCTAGCATGCCCAGATCTTTTTTAAATTTCAAACACTTTCAGATGGACTACAGAAGCCGGGGGCAGAGTGAGAACACGACACAAGCTCATTACACAGCTCCATCCCCTAGGACTCTGTGCACAACTGGGACATTACTGTAAGCATTCTCATTTTCAGGGTTTGCTCCAGAATAAGCACTCCCAATAATATCTCAGGGTCTGGGGTTGCAACTCCTCAGAAGTCCTATTTCTGGCTGAGTGTGGTAGCACAGGCCTGTAACCCCAGCCCTGGGGAGACAGACAGGAGGACTGTAAGGTCAAGGCTAGTCAGAACTACACAGCTGTATTTAGTCCCATTTAAAAGGAGAAGCAGTCACGTGACAACAGCTGTACTAGGAGCTAAAAATCACTCTGGATTATCTAATATCGTGCAAGCACCACTTAGTGTGTGCTGGGTTTTGCCTGTATTAACTGGTATAATTATGGGTCAACAGCCAAGACACGATGGATATGAGGGAAGAGGTTGTCCAAGGTCTTGGGGTTTGGGCTCAGCATTCTGGTTCCACACCTGACCCTTTAATGCCACAGCCTGCCTGCCAGTCCTTCACTGACAGCCTCTCTGACCTTAAGGCACCAGCCTCCAGTTGCTTCCTCTGCCTACCTGAAGTGTACTTTCTCCTCTTGTCCAACGAGAAAACCCCACCCATCCCACAGAGCTCAACTCAAATCTAGCCCTTAGAGAGACTTCCCTGCTGGCCCTGGTCCCCGGCACCCAGCTGTGGCCCACATGTTAACGCCTAGCTCCGTAAGGGTCATAAATGCACTTTCCTCATCTCAACTTTAGCCCTGGAAGAATGTTTGCTATTTAGTATAAACAACACACACGGGAAAACAAACCACCAGTGACCGTATCCTAACGCATACCAGACAGTGAGGATAATCCCACGGCCACCACTACCCTACAGCCAGATTCCCGTGGGATGGGGGGAGGGGCATGGCAGAGAAACTACATACAGAACTAACTGTGGGTGATGAAAAATGGCCTGCAGGCTCTACAGTAAGTTAACCCTCATAATTTGGGAATGAAATCATGAGGGAGTCAACTTTACTCTCTAGAACTTACAAACCTCCACATAATGGTAAATACAATTTATATATAGTGATAAAGCCAGACCCTCTCATAACTTTTGACTTTTATTATTAGGGGGGGTGCTTCACCAGGTCTGAGGACAACTTATGGCAGTCAGGCCTCTTCTTCCACCATGCGGGTTCCAGGAATCACGCTTGGTTACGCAGCTCGGAGGCAAGCCCCTTACCCAGTGAGACCTCACTAGCCCTCACTGTGACATCAGACGGAGCATTATCCCACATCAAGGGGGGAGACGGGTGGAATTTCAGGTTCCGGGCCAGCCTGGGCTACAGACTGAGCCCTTGTCTCAAGGGTACCAGGTGTGCTGGTACCGACCTGGAGCAGAAGCACAGCCATCAGGAGTTCAAGGCCAAGTGCTCAGGAGGCAGAGGCCAGGGAGATCTCTGTGGTCCAAGCCTAGCATTGGCCTACATAGCGAATTCCAGATTAGCCAGGGCTACCAAGTGAGGCCCTGATCCCCCGCCCCAAAATCAACACAACACAAACAGAAACCCAGAAATCTTCATCTCAGGGAAGATTTTAATGACAAAAAAACCACCTACATGTGAGCAAACAGGAACTAGCCTACATGCTTCGTCCAACATGGAACAGCAGCAGCAGCAGGATGTCTGAGACTTGTTAAATGAAAAGGCTGCATGGGTCAGTACATCATATATGTGCAAATACAATGTCTGTAAAAAATGCAGGGGTTTCTGGAGGGGCTTTTTCCCTTGCATTTTTTAAAGATAGTTATATCCCACTGCACTCACTGTGGAAAGATTGTTTGGGTTTTGGTTTTTGTTTTTGTTTGTTTGTTCTGAGACAGGTCTCACATATCCCTATGTAGCCAAGCATGACCTTGAACTTCTGGTCCACCTGACAAGTGCTGGGATTATAAGCACAAAGCACTACACCCAGGGCTTCACACATTCTCTGTAAGTACACTACCAGCTGAGCCATGTCCCCAGCCAACGGCTTTTTAAATTTTCAAATTTTCACCCACTTGCTCACTTCCCAGTTTACTCTGACAAGAACGGATGTTAGCTAGGTGTAGTCGCACACACCTAAGTGTTTCAGGGCCATCCTCAGACCCATGCTGAGGTGGAGATTTGAAGTAGCCTGGGCCGCATGATACCCTGTCTCAAGGGGAAAAAAAGATGGTTTGCCGGTTTGTGGGATTAATGAAATAGAGTTGAAGACTCTAAATATCTGTGTTCACTAGCTACTGTCACTAATCATTTCAGCCAGAAGCCTGATCCTAATTTTGCAAGTAAAGATGGGTCTCCTGGTGAACAGAAAAATTCTGGGGTTACTCTCTCACTTAACTCCATTGTTACCCTGCCCTCATCTATAGAATCTGCCTAACCAACTGGGAGGCAGAGCTCTGGGGAATTGCAGGTCTTCATTTCTAAACCCATGGCTAAAATGTAGATGGTGTGAGTCAGGCCCCCCAAAAAGCTGAGCAGCTGACCTTGAATCTCAGAGGAGAAAGTGACTAACCAGAAGCCCTGGGGCTCACTCCTGGGCTACAAAGGGCTTCCTCATGTGGCTCTGATTTGCAGCAAGGGCAGTCAAAGGAAGCCAGCTAGGAATGCAGAGGAAACCATGTCCTGTCACCACACGTAACAATACACACACACACACACACACTCGCATGCATGCATGCACACACGCATGCACGCACTCACACACAAGAAGGGACTGGTAATTCCATTTTACAGTTCTATAATTCTAGAGGCTGAGTCGGGAGTATCTGAAGATAACTTATGCTATATAGTGAAAACCTCTCTCAGCAACAACAAAAGGATGCCACACAAAGTTTCACCATATTCTATGTATTCAGAGAAAGTCTCACCAAAGTGCATCTGATTGTAAGAGCCTCTAATTCTAGGTGGGTAGGATGGGGTGCTGGGGGGAGAGTGTGTGGGAGAACTGAGGAGATAAGGAAATCACAGTCATGTGTGTGGTAAAATGTCAGAGAGGTGTCTCCCTCTGAGCCCAAGGAGAAAGGCTGAAAAATGCTAAGATGTGTTCACTCCCTCACCGTGCTCTGGGACAGCCTCAGAAAAATTGAAGCCAGCTCTGCCCGGCTGTCCTGGGAACTTCCACACTAAACTCATTCACCAGTCCTCAGCCAGCTACCCTGAGACAGCAGCAAAGACTTGTGAGCGGCCATGGCAGGGGAGTGCAGAGGGAACAGGAACCCACCCGTGGAAGACAGGGGCCCTGAGATTCTGACTCGGATGATCCCCAAGGGAGAGTCAGGACCGGGAAACAACTGACGGCTTTGTGCTTCAGTGCTTTAGGGCCACCAGGGGACAGCAGGTCAGGGGCGCTGCTGGGGCTCTGAGTTTAGGGGAGACACCAAAGCTGGAGTGGACAGAAGGGGGCCGGCAGAGGCGTCTGCGGGCACGAGGTCCTGACACACTGTCCCAGCAGACCTGAAAAAGCAGGTGAAGACTGAGGAAGAGGCCAGGCTGTGAGGGAAAGCCCGGAGCATAGAGAATCAGGCAGGGAGGCCATCAAGGCCAACGAGTCAAGAGAGTCCAGAAAAGGAAACAGGCTGACGAACAGCACATACCACCAATGAAGAGTCAACTGCCCAGTGACCTCCCACCCCAGGTACTCCAGCCGGAGCAATGTCTGGTAGGACAGAGAGAAGCAGGAGCAGCTGAAGGTGAGGGAGACAAGGAACCCAGGAAAATCTAGGTCTCACTGTCACTCAGGCCTGTGGCCAGGGAGGGATGGGTGCATGGGCAGAGCTGGAATGGGACAAAGGGGCTTGTCAAGCTTCTAGCTTGGGTTGGTTTTATGACAACACTTTAGGGCTGCCTTCTCCCTGGCTGACTCCACCTCATGGACTGGAGGCTCCATCTCATCATGGATTAAGTGCATGGGTGGGGAACAGCAGACAGGACGGCAGAGCCTCCTCCAGTGAGTAGGTGGAATGACAGGGACACTGACTGTGACAAGGACACCTCTCTCTCTCTCTCTCTCTGTCTCTGTCTCTGTCTCTGTCTCTCTCTCTCTCTCTCTGTCTCTCTGTCTCTGTCTCTCTCTCTCTCTCTCTCTCTCTCTCTCTCTCTCTCTCTCTTTCTCTAACCTGTGTCTCAAGTGGCCAGCTAGCTTCTCTGCAGTTCAGATATGATAGGAAACCAGATGAGCAGATGTCAGAAAAAAGAAATGCCTGAGAGAGGGACCAGATTAAAGCCACCACTGTTACCGCAAATAACCACAGGGTACCTACTATGTGCCAACAAGGGCAGGAAGCACTTAACCCTTGCTATTGCGTCCTCCCTAAGACCCATGAGTTGAGTATCATCAGTGTGGCCTTTCACAGACAGAAGCCCCAAAGTGACAGCCCTATTTCAGGGTGACTGCAGAGCAGGCAAATACTAGGGTGCTGGGGGAAGTGGATCTTCAATACTAAGGTGCTGAGAGAAGAAGTGGATCTTCCGAGAGGAAGCTGAAAACTTTCAGATGCCAACATTCCAGGAAGCAACCCTCCAACTGCCACTGCTTGGTTATAAAATGAACCAGGAGGCAGGTGAGACGGCTCGGCGGGTAACGGCACTTACCATGCAGGTCTGAGAAGCTGAGTACAATCCCCAGGACCCACGGACATGTGGCCGGACGGAACCAAGTCTACAGTTGTCCTCTGATCTTCACATATGTGGATTGTCCTCACGTCCCCACCCCCCACACACACACACACCAGAAAAGGTTGAGGAGTTGTAGCTCAGTGGTAGGGTGCTTGGATAGCATGCATGAAAACCTGGGTTCAATCCTCAGTACCACACACATGGGATATGGTGGAACGCATGTAGAACCCTTAGCTACATAGCCAAGCTACAGGCTAGCCTGCTAAACTGACCACAGAGCCAAAGGGTAAAGTGGTAACAAATACTCTTAGCTGAGTCTCTATGACCCAAAGCTAACAAAGCCAAACTCGCAGTAAGGAACTTACTGTCTCTTATCTCAAATACCTCCAGAGCTTGAGGCCACAGACTGCATAGTTAAAAGCAACAGTAATAGATTGTGTAGTCACTGTTTAACTTGATTGGCCTGAGGAGGTACAATGTGACTTCTGTGCCCAAGGCTCATGTCATAGGGAAGAATGAAACTCATTCCCTTGCCAATAAAAGTGTCAATGGGCAAAGGCTCCGTGGGACTGCTCATTCTTCCTCCTGGTCCTCCCACACTGCCCTCTGCTGGCCTAGCTGCCCAGTTGTTTCTCCCTTCCTTCCAGCCCACTCACCTTTCTTGTGGCCCTGTATCTCTTTGTCTGGGAAGATGCTCCCCAAGGCATCGGTAACTGTAGCTCCACTCACTCAAAGCCTTGGATGATGTTCTAGTTCTTTAGTAATAGGGTCAGACAGGGCCAGCACTGGGAAGAAAAACCAGTCTCCCCAGAGTGTGCAAAGGGCCAGCACCTTGTATGAAACTCAGCTGTGCACGTCCTTGTGCTGTTGAGACTAGCTACAAGTGGGAATGCTTTCCCACAGCAAATCCCTCTTTTTATTTGCTGAGGGTCTGGTTCTTCCCTGACCTGGAGTCCAGTTGCATTTCCCATCAAGTAAGCCTGAACCAGTGAGCACTGCCAGACAGTCTTGACTGGAACTGGGGGAGAAAAGGACACACATTTGGGCCGTGTGCTGGCTGATTTTATGTCAACTTAACCCAAGCTAGTCACCTGAAATGAGGGAACCTCAGCTGAGAAAAGGCCTCCAAAAGATTGGGCTGCAAGCAAGCCCATAGGGCATTTTCCTAATTAATGACTGATGGGGGAGGGTCCAGTCCACTGTGGGTGGAGCCATCCCAGGGCTGACCGTCCTGGGTACTATAAGAAAGCAGGCTGGGCAAGCCAGGGAGGCAAGCCAGTTACAGCACCCCTCCACGGTCTCTGCATCAGCTTCCTACCCTCACTCCCTGTGAGACGAACTGTTAAATGCATGAGAGTGAAATAAACCCTTTCCTCCTCCAGCTGCTTCTCGTGTTTCATCACAACCACGGCAGTCCTCTCTAGGACAGGCCATTGAGTGAAAAGCAGGTCTTTGGCACTTAAAGGAGGGCTGTGAAACTAGCGTTTTGCTTCATCATTTACCTCCTTCCCGACACACTTCTGGTACCCGCAGATGAGAACTTCAGCTACATTATGCAAAATGAAAAACACAGGAACAGCCTGAAAGCAAACAGAATAACAAGCATGAGAACACCTTCTCCCATCTTTCAGCTACTTGACTTTTGTTTAAAAATAGAATGTGTGGGAGCATGCAGCATTCAGTCTCCCAAGCAAGGACTCTTTTGCTGAAGCGTTCTTCATTTTTCCTCCAAGGTTTACTTATTTATTCTCTGTGAGTTCTTTCTACATACGTGTTTGTGTACCATGTGCATGCAATGCCAATGGAGGCCAGAAGAGGGCATCAGATTCACTGGAACTGGAGTCAGAGACAGTGGAAGCCACTATGTGGGTGCTAAGAACTGAACCTGGGTCCTGCAAGAGGAGCAAGTGCTCTTAACCATTGAGCTGTCTCTCTAGCCCGTGAAGTGTTAATTTTAGTGGGGTGTATGTGCAGGCTCCTCTCCTACAGGTTTTTTTTTTTTTTGGTTTTACGAGACAGGGTTTCTCTGTATTGTTTTGGAGGCTGTCAGTCCAGCCTGGCCTTGAACTCACAGAGATCCGCCTGCCTCTGTCTCCCGAGTGCTGGGATTAAAGGCGTGTGCCACCACTGCCCGGCTTCACCCACAGTCTTAAGGACCCCCTGTGTATTGTGCTCCACGCCAGGTGCAGGGCACAAATCCCATGAGCAGGGTGGACACACTCTACAGGGCCTGTCCCCAGCACACAGCACATCTTGAGGGGTGCACTGGGAGACACAGCTTGTTCAACAAAGAAAGAGCAAGTCTTCACAGTGGAAACAGTCTGAGAGTTGGATGATTAATAAATCAAAACACAGAGGAAGTGGACAGCTTCATCATGTGACAGGTGATCTGGATCAAGCTAAGAATTTTTAAATGGTCTTTGACGAAAAAGAAGCAAACAATGGATTTTGGCTTCTTGACTATTAATTCAGAAAAGAGATTAGGTTTGGGGCAGAGAATTTAAGGACGTAGAGGAAGCTTGATTGTCTAGCTACAGTTCTGTCAGCACAAGACTGAGTCCACACAAATGACAGCTGACTAGCACAAGGATAATGCCACATGATTGGTTAACTTATCCACGTTGCCCAAGGAATTTTTTTTTCAGAGGCAGGATCTTGCTACATAGCCCAGGCTGGCCTTGAACTCTCCATCATCTTCTCAGCCTCCTAAGTGCTGGGATTACAAGCATGCACCTCCACACTCAGTGCGCTCACAACCAGCAACTCTTTACTTCGCACTTTTTCTTAAACATCTTCCAAAGTCTATAAGCAGATGATGCTGTAGCTATGATTCTCATAGATACGTTAGACAAAGACACCAGGACTTTGGGCAAGTTGCTCCATAATGACATTTAAATCACAACAGGTCCCTAGTGAGCCTGCAGCTGTCCAAGTTCAAAAGGACTAATATGAACCAACTGCTGGCAGCTAGCTAGATGTGTGGCTTCTCCATGTGGTTCTGGTACTCAGGAAGCCAAGGCAAGAGGATCACTGCTAGTGCAAGGCTAGCCTGGGCTACAAAGTGAGTTCCAGGCACACCTGAGCTAAAGACTGAGAGGCTGTGACAAAAAAAAGTAAATACTGGCAGCAACAAGACCACTAAGCTCTAAAATTGATGAGCTCTAACAAAAACTATGCTATTTTAAAGGGTCATACTGATTCTTTCTTCAATTTTAGATCTAAGTTTCTCAAGCCACTTTTCCTACTGAAAAGCTAACAAATAGAGATATCTAGTTTACAGCTGACCATTAGACCATATCTCCTGGGTAGAGATCTACCAAAAGCAATGTTAAGACAGCAGCTGACTGGTTAGACTGTATACCCTGGGTAGAGATCTACCAAAAGCAATGTTAAGACAGCAGCTGACTGGTTAGACCTTATCCCCTGGGTAGAGATCTACCAAAAACCATGTTAAGACATCAGCTGCTTTGTTGATCCTTCCTTGGCCTCTGACTGCAAAAGCCTCACTCTAAACTACGAGGCATTGGTTCAAGGGGCTTCCTGGGGACTGGTTCTTTGGGAACACCTTCTGTATTCATTAATTTCCCCATCACTGTGACTAAACACCTGACTAAGATGACAAGGGTCTGTTGTGGCTCACAGTTTGAAGGGACTCCACCCATCATGACTGACTGACAGGAAAGGAGGGCATGTGGCACCATAAGCATGATGCAGCGGCCACACTGCCTCTGCAGTCAGTGTCTTAGCTACTGTGCTATTGCCATGATAAGACACCATGACCACAGCAACTTATAAAGAGGGCTTGCTTACAGTTTCAGAGGGCTAGAGTCATCATGGTAGGGAGCATGGCAGCAAGCAGGCAGGCATGGCACTGGAGCAGCAGCTGAGAGCTCACACATTGAGACAACAACCATGAGACAGAGAGAGCTAACTGGGGATGGCATGGGCTTTTGAAACCCCAAAGCCCACCCACCCCAGTGACACGCCTCCTCCAACAAGGGCACACCTCTTAGTCCTTCCCAAACAGTTCCACCAACTAGAAACTAATTACTCAAATACGTGAGCCTGTAGGGACCATTCTCATTCAGACTACAGTCAAGATATTGGTGCCAGCTTACTAACCCTCTAGGGCTCACCCCCAGTGACCATTTCCTTTAGCAAAAGATCCACTACCTAAAGTTTCTAGGGCCTTCAAATATAGAAAAATTTCCACAGAAAACCCTGGTCCTGGGTTATAGCTTAGAGGTAGAGGGCTTGCTTGGCATGTGCAAAGTTCTGGGTTCATCAACAGCACCAAAGAAAGAAGGGTGGGAAAGAGGGAGAAAGTGAAGAAGGAAGAGGCATGAGGGCCATCTCCACTGGACAGTTACAGGAGACATGCTAGGGCAGTCTCTGTTCTATATGGCATTCGTATTCTTTACCTTTGTGGAGACCAGTCCCTTTATGAGGAGACAAACAAGGAAAGGGGCCACAGATTCCATTCCAGTCCATAAGTAACTTGCTCACTATGGGTTTAATTAACCATGTTTTTTTCCAGTGGTATTTCCATACCCTGTCCGCTTATAACATGCTGAGTGACAACTATGCTTACAGAAGCCAGAAACCTCGGTAAACAATTAGAAGGACCAAGTTCAAAGATCTGGGCAAAACACAAAAACCAACCCAAGGCCAGGTGCGATACATGCCTGTACTAGAAATCGTCAATCCTCCACTACACAGTGGAGTTCCATGCCAGCCCGGGCTACATGAAACCTTGCCACCAAAAAGAGGGAAGGAAGGGAGGGAGGGAGGGAGGGAGGGAGGGAGGGAGGGAGGGAGGGAGGGAGGGAGGGAGGGAGGAGAGATGGAAACCAATCCAGTCCTATTAAGGTATGTAATCTGTATTTGTAGTCTTTCTAGCTGTTCACCCTGGCCTTACCTACTCAGGAAAATATGCAGCGTGCTCTAACCAGGAAGCCAACACCATCCACTATTTACACAGGAATCTAAAGTAAACATCTGTCCTTATCCCTTGGCACTCAGGCTTAGAGGCAATTCTCTCTTGCTAAGACTTTTGACCAGGAATTACAATGAAAGTAATAATTGTCCATCAGAGTTGCACTGTCAAAGACTGCTTTCAGGGAATGAGAGCCACCATCACTGTGACCTCATCCATTGTAGAAAAGCTGACAGGCAGGCCTGAATCATCCTGCACAAAAAGGATGTAAGTCCAGCATAAATCCACACGTCATCAAGATCAGCAACAGGAATGCCTGACACCTCTTCACAATGCACACTCACAGCAGCTGTTCCTCTGGGAACATGTGTCTCTCTTTGGCCCACACCCCTGCAATTTCCTCAGGATCAGAAACCATGTCATCTGTGTCTTTAAGAACACAGTATGGCAAATGCCTACCTGCTGAATAGCTGGGTGGTGGAGAGCTTCCCTACACTAAACTGTGAGTCAATGCTCTGCTCCCCCAAGACCTGCTGTGAACCAAAGTCAACTCAACTCCACAATGTGCTTAGGGCTGAAGGAGCATGAGACCCTGTACCAACCCCAGACCAGCATAAGCCAGACATGCCAGTGCATCCCCGTCATCCCAGACTCAGGAGGAGTTGGCAGGAGAATCACAAGTTCAAAGTCATCCTCAGCTACACAGACTTTTAGGACAGCCTGAAACAGATGAACTCATGCCTCAAAAGAACAAAAACAAAACAAAAACAGAAAACAAATAACAACGACAACGACAAACGTACGAATGTTCTCTTCTCTTCTAACCTCTACATGTCAGTCAACTGTGCGATTCGGGAAGCACACAGAAACTCCCCACAGGGCCCAGCGAAGCTTCCTCGGCTCCCAGGCGCTGCACATCACAGTTTCAAGGCTCTGCCAGATCAAGGAGGCCTTTCTGAAGCACAGCCACTCAAAAGTGTTTCGTATATCAATACACCCACGATTTCAACTGCACTTACCCCCCCCCAATTCTTCATGGACTCATTAACTGACAGTTTGGCACCAGAACAGTGAGGCCTGCTTTCCATCCAACACAAACTGTCTGAGTGCCTGGTGTTTATCCACCCTAGGAATGGCTATGCCGCAATGTAAAAACAAAGAACTGAAAAGATGTTTGGTTGAATTCTGTCACTGAAAAACAATTAACAAATGCCTCCTACTCATTGTCCTCCCACTCCCAATGGGCATATGGGGGTGGGGGTGCTTTTGCTAACAGATTTGAATTGAGCAGCTTATCTCTGCCTGCTGGACAAGGCTGTGCTCTGTGTCAGCCCACTCAACTGACAGGCTCAGGACCCTCATGAAATAGGAGTCAATTGGTTCAAACTAGAATGTAAATCAACTTTTTGAAAACGTGTATTTAGGGCTGAACGGTGTAGTTAGGGCTGAATTCGATGGAAATCCTGTAACAAAGAGCAAGCTCAAAGACGGGCTTGCTAGAAATCATCCTTTTGAAGCATCGTTTTGGGGTGCAGAACCCCACTGCTGAGAACGGGCTGAGTGGACATTTTGAGGTTCTGGGAGATTTCAGACACCTGGTATTTGAACCCCTTCTTTCAGTAAGAACATGAGAACAGCTACAGCCTCTTCTCAGTCTAATCACCTAGGACAGCCAGGGCTCCGTGCTTCTCCAGTAGCAGTGGGTGATGGCAGAGCGAGGGTTCATGACAGACTAGGAAACATGACCTCACCCTCCCAGCTGCTCTGCAGAACCGCAATGGGCAATCTAAGTGAAGCCTGGGACTCGGAGAGAGCCATTAGGAACCAGTCTCTGTGGTGACAGTCTGTGTGTGCCCTAACAAGTAAAGCTTGCCTGAAGATCAGAGTGATCTTCCAACATTTACCCCTATATCTGACCAATCAGAATTTGTGCTACAACTCTCCTTAGCAACTGTGAGGAGATGAAACAGGTTAGTGACACCAGAGGGAAGGGGTAACAATGGAAGAGACCCTAGAGAGGTGAAGAGACAACTGGATTTTCTGGGTGTGTCACTGCAGTCCCTCTGGGTCTAGCCAGGCCTGAAGTGGTCTCTGTGCTATAACTTACTTACATGAACCAGGGCACTTCCAGAGATTTATACTAGAGTGAGCTTTCTTTCTATTTATTTATTTATTTATTTATTTATTTATTTATTTATTTATTACAAACACAACACCTTGCCTTCATGTACGTCTACACATGAGAAGAGGGCACCAGATCTCATTATGGATGGTTGTGAGCCACCATGTGGTTGCTGGGAATTGAACTCATGACCTCTGGAAGAGCAGTCAGTGCTCTTAACCTCTGAGCCATCAAAGTAAAACAGTTCTCTGTGGCCAGGCTTCGTGACACACACACGTAATCATAGCTATTGCTCAGTCAACTAAAGACAAAGAATTGTAAGGCAAAGCTAGAATGGGCTGCAGAGGAAGGCAGTCTTTAAAAAAACAAAAGTCCAGGCTAGAGAGCTGGCTCAGTGGTTAAAAGCACTGGTTCTTCCAGAGGACCCCAGTTCAATTCTCACATAGCAGCTTACCACTGCCTGCAACTCCAGTTCCAGGGGATCTGACACCCTCACACAGACACACATGCAGGTAAAACAACAATATTCCCATTAAAAAATCATTTAAAATTTAAAGCTTTTTTTTAAAAGCCCATATGCATTAGTTCTTAAAGAGACAAATTTGAAAAAGACAAAAATATGACAAATCATTAGAGCTGCTACTTTGTGGGGACTAAAGGAGGTCTCTACATCTCTGTCTCTCCCTCCATCAGGTGACTAGTATTTGCCTCATCCCTCATTTTCCAGTGATTATAACTAACATAAAGACATAAAGGAGGGTTGGAGGTATGGAACATGCATAAGGACTAAGTTCAGATTCCCAGAAGCCACCTAAAAGCCAGTTTTTACACCTGGCTTTTAGATGCACATCTCTAACCTAAGGGCCATGTGTGAAGATGCCCATTTGTAACCTAAGAGCCAGGTGTAAAGGTGCACATCTGTAAACTAAGATCCATGTGTGAAGGTGCACATCTGTAAACTAAAAGTCAGATGTGAAGGTGCACATCTCTAACCTAAGAGCCAGGTGTGAAGGTACACATCTGTAAACTAAAAGTCAGATGTGAAGGTGCACATCTGTAAACTAAAAGCCAGGTGTGAAGGTGCACATCTGTAAACTAAAAGTCAGATGTGAAGGTGCACATCTCTAACCTAAGAGCCAGGTGTGAAGGTACACATCTGTAACCCCAGTGCTGGAGGGAGTGAAGATAAACAGAGCCCAGGATCTCACTACCCAGCTAGTGTAGCTGAAGCTGTGAGACACCTTGAGTGAGGTGTGTGTTGTGTGTGTGTGTGTGTGTTCATTATCGACCTCTAAAATCCCCATATGTACATACAAGTGGGCACACCTACATGCACATATGCACAAACACTAAATAAAAAATAAATAATAAAGGATACAAAGAAAATTGCTCTGAAATCTATGAAAAAATCACTGGACAAAGCAAGCATTATTATCATAAGCCCAATACCTGACTTATTCAACCTTTAAACTTCTGGCACCCATAAATAACTTGGAGGAAAAAATTAAAACTAATGGAACCAGAAAGAAGTTGTAGAGAGAGTGAGAAGTGCCTCTACTCCAAGCTGGGCACCAAGGTCAGCTCCTAGCCCACCCCAAAGTTTCTACCCTTCTGAACATGCCGTTTCACCTCAACTGGATAAATCATGAAATAAAAGCAATGATTTAATTTCTAAATTACTTTCTCAATTGCTATTTTATAAGCCTGAAGATGTGCTAACAATATCGTTACCCAGCTAGACAGACTTTGTTTGTTTTATATCTGAGGTCTCAGGAACTAACAAACACTTCAAAAAGACTGAATTAGGGCTGGAGAGATGGCTCAGAGGTTAAGAGCACTGATTGTTCTTCCAGAGGTCCTGAGTTCAATTCCCAGCAACCACATGGTGGCTCACAACCATCTGTAATGAGATCTGGCACTCTCTTCTGGCATGCAGACATACATGGAAACAGGATGTTATATTCATAATAAATATATCTTTTTAAAAAAAAGACTGAATTATTTTTGCAAACTCTGCATTTTTCCAAGAGGCAGAACACAGGACATTTTCTGATGAATAAAAATACAAGTCAGGATAAGGTGAGAGGAGGCATTAATACCACCTTGATTTACAAGCCCATGCGGTTTTAATGGATTCTCTTTTGACGGCAAAGTAACTACAGCTTGGAGTTCTGGATGGTGCATTAGGAAGCATCTCTGTGTTTCAAAAGAGCTTAGTCCTGGAGGGGGCAGGATGAGGAATGGGAAGACAGAATGGACAACTCATTTTACCAGTGCCCCAAGTGCCAGTCCACTCTGGGCCACACTTGGGTTCCCAGCTGCACCTAGTATTCCCTGGATCATTTTACCAGTGAACCCAGTGCTATTGGACTTTCTCTGGACCACCAGCTCCTGAATAATGACACAGAGACTTTTTATTAATTAGGAAAACTTGGCCTTAGCTTAGGCTCGTTCCCAGCTAGTTCTTGAAATTTGAATTAACCCGTTTATATTAATCTATGTTCTGCCACATGGCAGAACCTCTCCTCCATACCTTATGTCCCACTTCCTCTGTGTCTGGCTGGCAAATCCTGCCTCCCTTCTTCCCAGAATTCCTATCTCTGCCCAGAAGTCCCACCTCTCCTTTCATGCCTAGCCATTGGTCATTTAACTCTTTATTAAGCCAATCAGAAGGTGCCTTAGCAGGGACACATCTTCATGGTATATAAAAAGATTATTCTATAACAAATGTTCCAACTCCTCAGCAGCAGGTAAAGGCTTAGCCTGGACTCTCTGTTTCCAAAGATAATTGCATTCAGGCACAGTGCCAAGGCTAGCCTCTATGTCAAAGCTGCTCAAGTGAGGGCTAGCTGGGGCAAACTTCACAATTGTTGCTATTGCGTCTCTCTTTGCCCATCTCCACCTTGTGAGACAAGCCGGCCCTGCATGTTTTCTAGTTATCTTCAACCGAAGCAGAAAAAAGATGCTTCATGTTATCTCAGGTCCCGGTTTGGCTATCAAATGCCCCCTCAGAAGGGCTCACTTACTGCAGGCTTGGTCCCTGGGTGGTGGCACTAATTTGGGAAAGCCCGGAAACTTTAGGTAGCAAGACCTCCGGCAGGTTACTGGGGCAGGCCTTTGAAAGACACTCTTGTATCTCACTGTTTGCCAACTCCCACATCCTCTGCTGTTGTGATGTTCAACCTTACCACAGGCCCAAAACCTAAGAGGCAAGGACTCGTCTGGGACATTCTGAAACAAGTATATTTCCTTAAGTTGTTCCCTTGGGTGTTTGGATCACAGCTCCAGTAAGCTAACCAACACTTCTATGCTCTGATCTATCTTTACCTTCAGGTGCAGTAAATTAAAACACGAAGGCGACAAGGAAAAAGGGGCTGTGTTCTCCCCCCATACCCATTCTAATACTTACCAGTCTGGACAAAGCTCTGGACCCTGCGTAGATTATACCCACGAACAGCACTGAAGCAGGAAGCCAGGCCAAAACATGAGATCTGAAAAGAGGGGAGAAATTATAACACTTTTGCCACCTCCTGTTTGAAAAGACCTAGCTGGAAGGGTCGACCCCTCAGAAGCACCAACTCCGTCCACTCCTTGTGTATATATCCTTTGGGGACCTGATACGTGAGACGTGCTCTTTACTCACTGAGAAAGCAACACAAGTAGATGAAGCCATTCAGTATATAGCTCTGTCGTGTGACATCTACTTAGCATTCAGGAGTACCCCCAAAACTGAATGTGGATAGGTACTGCTACAGGCTTAGGGAGAAGAAACAACTGATTTTATTCAAAAGTGGTAATTTTCAAGTATACCAATAAAATTTTTTAAAGACTGTTTACATAAGAAGTTTCAAACAGCTTCATGGAATCACAACTTTGAATCAAAAATCTAGGGAAAAAAAGGTTTTTAAATAAACCTTGGGACTTCAACAGGGTAGTCATATTCTGGCTTCTTCAAACATTAATCTGGAATTCTGGTGTAACCTTAGGGTACACTTTTATGGCTCACGTTGACCATACTAGGATCCGATTTTTTCATTAGAGTCTAGAATCTTGTTCTCCTCAAAAATAAATAAATAAGCCAGGAGTGGTGGTATACACCTTTAATGCCAGCACTTAGGAGGTGGAGGCAGGTGTATCTTTATGAGTTTGAGGCTAGCCTGGTCTACACAATGAGTTCCAGGATAGCCAGAACTACATCTTGAGGTCCTATCTAAAAAAAAACCCATAAACAAACAAACAAGAGAGAGAAGAACTGAACACATAATGCATATCATGGAGGCTGTCACTTGCTTCCTCTCACTGGAGCTTTGAGTGAAGCCTCCCTACTACTTGAGGGCCCCAGAGTCAGTCTCACAAAGAATAAACATAAACGAAGCTACCTGAGCGGTAGACAACATAATCATCCCAAAGCACGCAGCCACCACCACTGTGTCTGGCAAACTCAAAAGCAGTCTTCCCTTTTACCGTCCAGGACAGGCAGTCAATCAAAGATCAGACCTCAAACTATCGTACCAATGTCCCAGGCTCCATGATGGCCTCCAAATCTTACTGACTACATCAATTACAATGCTGACAGCTACTTATAAAGCTCTAGGACTCCCTATGAACAGTGGCCTCACAGTTTAATCGGGCACTGTGTTAAATGTTTTCCATGCTACTTTTTTTTTAATGTATAGACGTTTGTATGTCTGCATACTGTGTGTGTGGTGCCCACAGAGGCCAGAAGGGGGCAGGAGATCTCCCAAGACTGGAGTTACAGACAGCTGTGAGCTGACATGTGGGTGCCGGGAATCTGATCGAGGTCTGGACCAGCAGCAGGGGAGCCTAACCACTGAGCCATCTTTCCAGCGCCATGCTACATTTTTTAAAAATCCTCCCAGTAGGAGCTATAGAGATGGCTCAGATAACAAGGTACCCATGTAAAATGTGGGTGTGGTGGTATTCCCCTGTAATCCCAGCACTGGGGTGACAGGGGGACCTTTGGAGCTTGATAGTCAGCCTGGCTGAATCTGAGGGCTCCAGGTTCAGTGAGAGACCTGTCTCAAAAAATAGAAGGTAGACAGTGATCAAAGAAGGCACCCATGTCAACCTCTGGCCTGTGTACACATGTGCACATGAATATACACATGCATACACACACACACACACAAAAAGATCCACACAACAATCTCATGATGAAAATACCTGACCTAACAATAGTTAAGATTGTTAACCAAACACTTTGCAATTTTGTGACAAAGGAAGAGCATTCCCATAAGCCCGCTCTGCTTGACTTTCAATACAGTACGCAATCCATTACATGACATGCATAGGAACGTTCTCCCCTCTCATAGATACTGAAAGGTGTAGGGAGTGCAGCTTAGAGCAAGCATTGGATAAACCGGGGCTGTCAATCACGTGGACCTATTTTCTTCAATGGAAGGAAATAAATGATGCCTAGTCACCTGGAATGCCAGAGTGAAAAGTGGCCAATCAACCTGCTGATGTTTTTGCTATTCTATGAGCCAGCCTCCCTGAATCCCCCAGTATCCTGAGCATTGTTCAGACTCTGATCCTGAGCTTAGTCTCTCAGTGAACAGAGCACATCCCTATGAAGGAGGCCCCATGTTCTCTGCATCCTCCACCAATAGAACCTACCCTTACACCTATCACAGAGCCTTCTCTAGGCCCTAGTCCTGAGCTCTGGTAACCAGCAAACAGAACTCATTCTTATTGTAAAGGGCACAGGTCACAGTTCTGCTATGTTTAATATGTGTAAGGGTCAGCCCCTGGAGTATACTTGGCTGTTTTACTCCTTTGGAGGCCTGCCACCCAGCTCCAAAATAAATCACACACATCACACACGGAGGCTTATTCTTTCTTATGAATGCCTGACCTTAGCTTGGCTTGTTTCTAGCCAGCTTTTCTTAACTTAAATTATCCCATCTCCTTTATGCCTCTGGGCTTTTACCTTTCTGTATTTCTTTCTTTACTTCTTACTCTGTGTCTGGCTGTGTGGCTATCCTCTTCTTTTCTCGTTCCTTTTCTCGATCCTTCTTCTCTTTTTCTCCTATTTATTTTCTCTGTCTGCCAGTCCTGCCTATTCTTTCTCCAGCCTTGCTACTGGCCATTCAACTCTTTATTAGACCAATCAGGTGTTTTACACAGGCAAAGTAACACAGCTTCACAGAGTTAAACATGCAACATAAAAGAACGTAAAAAATCTTTGCATCACTAAACAGATGTTCCACAGCATAAATAAATATAATACATCTTAAAACAATAATCAACAACACTGGAGGTCTTGATCCAGTACCCACAAAGATGGTACTGTCAGCCAGGCAGTGGTGGCACACACCCTTAATCCCAGCACTTGGGAGGCAGAGGCAGGTGACCCTCTGTGAGTTCGAGGTCAGCCTGGTCTAGAAAGCTAGTTCCAGGATAGCCAGAGCTACACAAAGAAACCCTGTCTTGAAGAAATATAGAAAAAAGGCACTGTCCCAAGTTTTCGTTCTTATTCTTTTCCTAATGCTCCTCCACTGCTGGTGGGAGAGCAAACTTGAATAGCCGTTTTGGAAATCAGTATGTCGGTTTCTCAGAAAACTGGGAATCAATCTACCTCAAGCCCAGCAATACCACTTTTAGACATAAAACCAAAGGATGCCTCACACCACAAGGACATTTGCTCAATTATGTTCATAGCAGCATTATTTGTAATAGCCAGAATCTGGAAACAACCTAGATGCCCCTCAACTGAAGAATAGGTAAGGAAAATATGATACATTTACATAATGGAGTACTACTCAGCAATAATAAACAATGACATCTTGAAATTTGCAGGCAAATAGATGGAATTAGAAAAAGCCATCCTGAGTGAGATAACCCAGACTCAGAAAGGCAAGTATAGTATGTACTCACTCTTAAGGGACTATTAGACATAAACCAAAGGACAGTCAGCCTAGAGGCCACAACCCCAGAGAAGCTAGGTAACAAAGCAGACACTAAGAGAGACACACATGGATCTGCCTAGGAAAGGGAAAAAGACAAGATCTCCTGAGTAAACGGGGAGTATGGGGAGGCAGGGGTGAGGGTGGAATAAGAGAAGGAGGGAAGGAGAGTGGGGGAAATGTATAGCTCAATAAAGCAAGCAAAAAAAATTTAAGAAAAAATAAAAAAGAGGCCAGAGAGTTGAGAATGAATTTCAGTTCCCAGGTAGTTAACAACTGCTCATAACTCCAGTTCCAAAGGTTCCCACTCACTCATCTGGTATCAAAGATACCTGCACCCGTGTAACATACACTCAAACACACACACACACACACACACACACACACACACGCACACACTGCTGGATTTTGTCTTATCCCACCAAGGCCCACTGCTTCGGCCCCAAATGAACATACAGAGACGCTATATTAATTATAAAAGTATTGGCCAATGTCTAGGGCTTCTTACTGGCTAGCTCTGTCTTAATTATTAATCCATAACTACTAATCTACGTATTTCTACACGGCCTTACCTTACCAGAGAATGCCTGGTGTATCCTATCTTCCCGGTCTCTACATGGTGTCCCCTCTGGCAGGCTCTCTGCCAGCCTTTCCCAGAATTCTCCTTGTCTCCTAGTCCCACCTATCTTCCTGCCTCTATTAGCCAAACAGTGTTTTATTCATCAACCAATAAGAGAAACATACATACAGAAGAACATCCCCTATCACACACACACGTAAAAATTAAAATAAAAAATAGTGAAATTCATGAACCACAAAGGATCACTGAGAGAGAAATTTATTATGGATTCATGAGTAGGAGCTCAAGTTGTTCAGGGAGAAGAGGAAGAGGGAGGAAGTGCTCCCGTATAACAGGAGGGGGTCCCAGAAACATGGCTCCTTTTAAGCTGCTAGTCTGGGGGGCTTTTAAAAGGGCTTACAGCAGGAACTAGAGTGGAGTCTGGGAGAAGGGTGAGGGTGAGCCATTAATCCAGGTGACCCAAGCAGGTAGGAAGCTGGGAGCCTCCTCTCACCTTCAGTCACACAATCACTAAGACCTCTAATCAGATGTGTTTATTTGGCTGGCTAATTTTAGGTCAACTTGACACAGGCTAGAGTTATCTGAGAGGAGGGAATCCCAGTTGAGAAAATGCCTCCATAAGATCCAGCTGTAAGCAAACCTGCAGGGTATTTTCTCAGTTAGTGATTGATGGGGAGGGCCCAGCCCATGGTGAGTGGAGTCATCCCTGGTCTGGTGGTCTGGGTTCTATAAGACAACAGGCTGAGCAAGCCATGAGGAGCAAGCCAATAAGCAACACCCCTCCATGGCCTCTGCATCAGCCTCTGCCTCCAGGTTCCTGCTCTGCCTGAGTTCCTGTCCTGACTTCCTTCAGTGATGGACTATGATGTGGAAACATAGGCCAAATAAACCCTTTCCTCCCCAACTCGCTTTTGCTCATGGTGTTTCCTCGGAGCAATAGAGACCCTGACTAAGACCAGGAGACACCAAAGAAGCAGGGACCAAAGCCCTCTCTGACGTTCTCCGAACGGCTGCTTTGGGATGGCTGTTCTCATCAAAAGCTGTCCACTCACACGGATGCACACTGACTCTGCTCACGTTCCTGCTGACAGCTGGTAAATACCAAGGCGACAATCTGAAGTCAATCTCACCCAGCCTAAGCTTTCAACCACATCTCTGCACTGTGTCCACACAGCCACAGTGTGGGAGCAAGGCTACAGACAGGTAACCCGCAAGTAAAACAGCTAACGGGAGCATCTCCAGTATCGCAGACCTGCCTGCAATAACAGACGTCTTCATCCCCAACCAAAAGGTGGCTAGAGAGGAGAGCATGCCATCCTCACCCTCATGGGCCAAGCATACTAGAGATGGTGGCCATTCCCCTAGGAAAAGGCTTTCCCTCTTCTGACTTGTCAAACTAAACTTACAAGAGTCAGAAACAACAGAACACAAACCCACAGTGAGCCATGTGCCAGATGTCCAGGACTTAAGCCACAAGCAGAGCTCTGACGAGAAAGGAGCCGGTGCTAAAGTCATGCCGGCAGCTGGCTTGGCTGCAGCAGCCCCGGACTTTGGAATGTAAGGTCAGTAAAGTCCCAGACCTCTGGACTTGAGTCCCTCTTAAAATAAACAAAGGAAACTCCTGCTGGGTTTGAGACTCCAAGAAATGAGAGTATCTGCGCTGCTCACTGTGGATGTGAGGGAAAGAAAACCCTAGGGAATGTCTTATGTGCCAATCCCTACTCTGAAATAGAAAGACAACTTCCACCGGATGCAGGGCAGACTCCTGGGAAATGCGGCAGGGAGGCTGGGTGAGCATTTTGCTCCAAACATCTGGGCCAGAACCCAGACACGGGACACTGTGGCTTATACTGACCCGCCATCTCACTTACGCTAACAGCAAAGAGCAGTATGTGCTCATGAGACCGTGGTCCCCCCCCCCCCAAGCCAAAAGCGGTGCAGGTATTTTCCAACTTGAGAGGCCTTCAGAGGTTGTGTAACTGGCCTGGCAGGGATGAAGCCATTCGAAAGGTATGTCCCTCCCGTTAGCTGTCAGACTCCCCCAGGAAACTAGAGGTACCCAGAAGTCTCCAGCTGGAAAAAAAAAAAACCGGAATGCCTGGGCCAGCCAGAGGAGAAACTTGCCTGCCAGAAAGAGATGTACAACCCATCAGGTGACCTACAGAAGACATCGATAGGTCAATAGTGGGCAGGGCCACACATTGCCAGGACTGCTTTGGCATACATAACTCTGGCTCTGTGGTTAAACTGTCACCTCACTTTAGGACCCAGAAGAAAATTGTGAGGGTGAGGGGACATCAATGAACCTCTTTGTCCCTACCGCACCCAGTATGATTAAGGTGAGTAGATCTTCTCTTTCTACCTTTCACTATTAACTGAGCCATTTTAATTGGTTTATTGAGGGCAGATGCTGAACATGGCTTATTGGGGCACAGTCTGTGACCCTAAATCTGAACAGTTGGTTGTGGGGTTCCTCCACCACAGTCTAACATTAAGAAAAGCACTGTGGCCGGGCAGTGGTGGCGCACGCCTTTAATCCCAGCACTTGGGAGGCAGAGGCAGGCGGATCTCTGTGAGTTCGAGGCCGGGCTGGACCGATAGCCTCTGAAACAATACAGAGAAACCCTGTCTCGTAAAAACCAAAAAAAAAAAAAAAAAAAGAAAAAAGAAAAGCACTGTGGACTCAGTGTGGCACACACCTATTGTTGGTAAACTGAGAACTACCCACATTCCAGGCCCAGAAGCTCACCCAGCCAGCCTTCAGCCACTACGTGTCAGAAGCCACTTGACCCCCAGTGACCAGATGTGACACACTTCCACGGTTGCCATGGTTGTGAGCCCTTTAGAAACCTGCACCTTCACAGCTTGCTTTTTCTTTCCCATCCTCTCTCAGAGGCATCCTAAACACACACACACACACACACCGGCTCCCCCCACCCACCTAGCCGCACACCCCCAATAAATCTCTTGTGAGGTCTGTTGTGTGGGGTGATCTTTGCAGCAATCCTTAGCCCTCCAATCACCCAGAGGCAGAGGCAACAAATCTCTGTGAGTTCAAGGCCAGCGTGGTCTACGCAGTGAGACTGTCTCAAAAACCAGAAAACAAAAGAAAAACACTGCAGTTACAATCCAGGACATGCCCAAAAGGGGTCAAATGTCACATATATTAACATTTCAACAATAATCAGATACTGTTACACATATTGTCTCATAATCTGGTCAATGTCACAATTTCCAATGGCAAAAAATTAATTAGTGACCACTGACTTGCATTATTAGTAATTAAATAATACTGACCAGCAATGGTGGCGCACACCTCTAATCCCAGCGCTGGGGAGGCAGAGGCAGGAGGATCTCTGTGCATGTGAGGCCAGCCTGGTCTACAGAGGGCCTATGGTTACATATTTAAGTCAATCTTGCATTTTTTACTATCCTAATACTATATGAGTATTCTTGAATATATTATTGTCTCACATGTGTGATTTGCTTTTTATAATATTCAGGATAAATTCCCAGAAGTTCTGTTCAAAGATGTAGTTACTGAAGTGTAGCTGGTTACAAAATCACTTTGCAGAGGGGCTACACTGACCGGCCTCCTTTAGAGGCCTAACCCTGAGTCTGAGAGCCAAAGGCCTGAACATCAGGAACAGAGGAGGCACCTTTCCCCACTTTTAATTCATCATCTGGTGGCCTTGGCCTCTTACATGGGTTAATTCTTTCATGACCTTATTCACTCACAAGGGAAAGAAAACAAAGTCTGTGGTGGCCCTGGCAGGCCCTCAGATCGCTCTGGGGAACTGCTGAGCCTGTGTGCACGTCCACGTGCACGTCTGCATGCACATGCATGTGTGTGTGTGGCGGTAGGGGAGCAGCTCCTGGCTGGAAAGACTGCAAGCGCTATCACCCTGCAGGGTCTCTTGCCGAGGGGTCTGGTTTGAACTGTCCTGACCTGCCGTGCCCCCTAACTGACTGAGGAGCCCACAGATTGCATCTCATCTCAATCCTACGTCTGTTTTCCATTTGCATGCCCCCCCACAACCACTAAGAACTGTGGGAAATTAAGGAAAATCTGTTGGCACACATCATAAAACTGTTTTCATTGAGATGAAGCCTAATTAAATTAAATCACTTGTTTTTCAAATAGAGAGAACATCTGCTCCCTGCAAATATTCAGCAGTGTTTCGTTATGGGTGCCTAGAGGGCTCCTCAAACAGAACTGTCCAAAATTCTGTATTCTGCTGACACCTAGTGGACCTAAAAATAGCTTGCGAACAGGAAAATAAGAGAAGAGGGCCATAGATTGGCCACTGGCGTTGCCTAAATATTAACACCCTATCACTAAATACTTGTTTTACAAGCAAAAGGACTTCGGCATATTTCTTCCTATTTTGTGTGTGTATCTATGTGTACATGTTTCTGTGTGCATTCATGTGTGCATGTGGAGGCCAGAGGTCAACCTCAGATGCCTTCCTGCACCTTAGTTTTTTGAGCCAGGGTCTCTCACTGAAACCGGATAGCACCGGTTCTGCTATGCTAGCTGACCAGTGGGTTCCACTGTCTCAGCCACCCCCACCCCTGCCAGTGTTGGGGTTACAGGCAAGCACTTCATTATTTTTTAGGGCAAAGGTAAGATTTAATAAGCCACTTTCTCAGATTAGATCAGCATCATACACACAGCATGAACTGTGACATGACAGAGTCAGGAATAATTAACAAAAAAAAGAGGCCATGAATTTGAAAGAGACAAGAGCGGTGTATGGGAGGGTTGGAGGGAGGAGCGCAAAGAGGGAAATGATGTGACTAAATTGTAGTCTCAAAACCTTAAAGAATTAATTTTTAGATAAAAATAATTAAAATTGAAAAGGCCATGAGGTGTTTTCCATGCAGGCTTTCTGCTTCCTGCTTGTAGACCAAGATGTGAGCTCCCCAGCTATTCCTTCACGAGGCCTCTGTGCAGCCATCAGGGACCCTAGTCTTCTGGAACTGTAAACCCCAAAAAAACCCTTCCTTCTATAGCACGCTTTGGTCCTGGTGTTTATCACAGCAACAGTACAGTAACTAATAAGTTGGTGCTATTCTTAACTATTCTATAAGTAGAAAATAATTTAATAAAAACTCCCAAGAATATTTAAAGCTGCTCTAGTAAATTCTCTGTGGTGATCCTTAAGCCTAAGACAAAAGCAAATTAATATGGTTGTAGTATGATAAATACATGACCCAAAGACTGATATTTGGGTTGAAGCTTCAAGCTGAAGATCAGAAAAACAAACTAACTCTGGTCACTAACTCTTACCTCAAACTGAAAGGGTTGATCCCGTCTCCATGAGCTCTCACCAAGCCTCAAACTGTTGCCTCTCCTAAGAGTGGCTGGAGAATCCTGAGACTTCAATGTCTTCCTATCCTCAATGTGGCTGGAGAATGAACCCTGAGACTGACTACTGAAGACCCTGCTCCTATCATTTATACCTCTCTAGTGCTGGGGTTAAAGGTGTGTGATCCCAGGTGCCGAGATCATCTTTGTGTGAGCTGTTTCTCTTCAGGATTTGATCAATCTTCTGTAGACTGTCTACCTCTTAATCCTAAATCCTACGATTAAAGTGTGTACCACTACCCCTAGCTTCTGGCTGCTGGGATTAAAGGTGTGTATCACCCCTGCCTGATCTCTATATGTTGAGGCTGGCTTTGCTTTCTGAATCCTCAGGCAAGCTTTAATAAATCATAAATAACATATCACCACATGTGGTATTGTAACTGTGTGTCTCTAATAATTTAATATCATATTAATGACATGATTCAATATTTATCTTATTATAAAATCACTGAATCTCAAGACTGGAAAAGAACTTAAGAGACCAAACAACTCAAGCATACATTCAAGTTTCCTGGTACAGTATAATACATATTGAAAACAAGCGTGTGGGAACCATGAGTCAGTTACAGAGAGGTTGTTATACCTTAAACTGCTGTTGATCTCCACCCAGCCTAGCTTCCATGACGCATGAAGCAAAAGTCCACCGATGAGTGTCTGCCACCTGGGAAGGACAAATGTCCAGATGAGTTACCCAGGCCTGCAGAGTTCAACGCCATCCAGCCAGGACAGGTCTGCTGACTGCCGCTAGTACATATCTCCAACCCTTCTACACTTCTCTTCTTCCATTTTCCCAGCTATAATCTCATTTCTCAGACATTTTCCCATCTCTATTCCTCTGAATCCAGCTGTCCAGGAAGTGCTGACATTCTTACTCGCCTCTTCTCCTTCTAGACATTCCCAGAACTTCATCCATAGCCGTAGACATGGACGACTTCCAGGTCCCCATTCTCATCCAGATACTTCTACCCTGAAATTCCACAGACTCCCAACTAAGTCCCAGGAAACACACGATCTTAGACACGCCCCAACGCTGGTCATCATCATACTGCCCTTAGGCAGCCAGCCGAGATGTCAACACTTCTCCCTCGTCCCTCCTCATGCTTCACTTCCCTGGACTACCTGGCGAAATCCGCATGATTGTATTTATCACCATATTAGCAGTCACATCCAAGCCGCCCCCGCCCCAGTTTTTGTGGTAATTTGGTCTTTGCCTGCCTTGCACCTGGTCCTTATTGTCCTATAAATACTCCAGGGTTGTCCCCACCATTCATTCTCTACCTTTGGCAGTTTTTTCTAAGCTGCTAACTAAATCATGCCACTTCCTTGTTTTTGTTTGTTTGTTTTTGGAGGGGGTTGGGGAGTTGAGACAGGGTTTCTCTGTGGCTTTAGAGGCTGTCCTGGAACTAGCTCTTGTAGACCAGGCTGACTTTGAACTCATAGAGATCATCCTGCCTCTGCCTCCCAAGTGCTGGGATTAAAGGCTGCCACTTCCTTCCAAGCCACAGACACCCGGGTGTTATAAAGCTCCCTAAAGGAAAAGTGCTCTTACCAACGCAGTCAAGGACAGGAAGTGCTAGAACCCGCCTCTCTCCTTCACTGGGCAAAGCACAGCAAAATGCCAACTGCGCCGGGCATGGTGGAACACAGCGGTAATTCTAGCACTTAGGAGGCTCTGTGGCTAAGAGTATTCCCTTCCCTCCAGAGGGCCCACGGTCAGATCCCAGCACCAATGTTGTGCGGCTCACAGCTGCCTGCAACTCCAGTCCCAGGAGACCTAACGGCCTCCTCAGTCACTGCACACACACTTACAAAAATAAATCTTTTTAAAAAAGGGCGGGGAGTTGTGAGTTCAAGGTGTCTCCTGGAGATGAAAGAGAGGTGACAATTTCAGGGATTCTTTCCAGTAATGTTTCTTATCCTTATTCAGGGGTTCCAAGTAATATCCAGCTACCACAATGCAGCAAAACCCCCATTGATCCCTTTAAAGTGCACCCATAAAGGAGCCACCCAAGAACCTCAAAGATCTGTGGTGGGTCCACGGCTCCCTCAGCCCTCAGGCAGCTAACCTCTTCCTGACAGTGTTTAGTGCCGTCCCTTCCATTTTCCACTGACTCCCATGATCGTGGCCATGTCACATCCATGTCCAGGGGTCACATCTGACCTCTTAGGATACTCTTGATGTTTAGTTTAGTCACCTTATAGTCTAGATGACTCAATCATACATTTTAAGAACCTATTTTTAGTCACAATGACGAGACACCTCACCTATGTGTTGTGATATTAGACTGAGAACCCCTGGCCTCCAGGACAAAGTCCCTCATATGTGACTCAAAGCCCTCTTGGCTTGGGCCAGCCCCTCCCCAGGAGAAGCTCTCTCCCTGCCTTGAGGATTCCCAAGGCATACAGCCTGCAACCTCCAAACGTGCCAGGTCATTTCTAACTTCTTGGAGTTTGTGGGTATTCCCCCACTAGCCATGATATCCCTCCATTTCCTTATGCACTAGAAGATAACTGATCAGTAGTTAAGAACTATGGTTACACTGCCCAGCCAAGAACAGAACGCCAGTCCATGCCATGAATCAGCCTGACCTAGAGCAGAGGTCTGAACCTGGTCGGTTCTTTCCAGAGACAGTAGTTTCTGTATAGCCCTTGTTGTCCTGGAACTCACTCTGTAGACCAGCCTACAGAGCTCCATCTGCCTCTGCCTCCTGAGTGCTCGGATTAAAGGCGTGTGCCACCACCTCTCAAGGTGTGTGTGTGTGTGTTTATATTTGATTATATATATATATATATATATATATATATATATATATATGTCTGTGCATCACGTCTGCAGAGCCTATGGAGGTAAGGTAAGAGTACAGGATTCTCTGGAAATGGAGTTATAGGCAGCTATGAGCTACCACGTAGGTGCCAGGAACTGAACCCTGGTCCTTCATAAGAGCAGTGAGTGCAGCTGGGCAGTGGTGGCACACGACTTTAATCCTAGCACTTAGGAGGCAGAGGCAGGCTGATCTCTGAGTTCGAGGCCAGCCTGGTCTACAGAGTGAGTTCCAGGATAGCCAGGCCTATGCAGAGAAATCCTGTCTCCAACGACAACGATGGCTCAGCAGGTAAAGGTGCTTGCCACCAACCCTGAGGACCTGAGTTTGATTATTAGACCCACATGGTGGATGGAGAGGACCAACTCCTGGAAGCTGTCCTCTGACCTCCACCCATTAACTGTGGCACATGTACACAAAATAAATAAATAAATAAATGTAAAATTTTAAATAAGAGTATCAAGTGCTCCTAACCACAGACCCACTTTTCCATCCCCCAAACACAGTTTTTAAAAAGCATGAGGGATGTATTCTATGCATATTTAAATGGCATAGTGCTGAAAGCAGTTCAATGATGGTAAATGTTCTTCTGTGTATATGTTTGTCTTATTGGTTGATGAATAAAACACTGATTGGCCAGGCAGGATGATAGATAGAACTAGGAGACATGGAGGATTCTGGGAAGTGTAGGCAGAGAAGAGTCATCATGTGATCCCAGGAAGTGACATAGCTGGGCAGAAACTGTCACTAGCTAACCATAGAGGTCTGGAGGTCTGTACAGACAGGCAGGAAGTGACATAGCTGAGTAGAAGCAGAATATAAACAGGGACAAACAGGAAATCACTCTCTTCTCTTCTCTGTGGAGACCTTGAACAGTTGAGATGTAGGACGCCCCAGGAGTACGAGGTCCCTAGACCTATCTCCAATAAGAGAAGACCACATGGAGATACTTAGATTTATAGAAATGTGTTAATGATTAAGAATAAGAAACCTTAGCCAAAGGCCAATAGTATTCATAACTACATAACGTCTGTGTGCTTCATTGAGGCAGAGAAGGGCGCAGGACCTGCCAGACTAGAAAACCCCACAATATAATTCAACCTTAGCGTTTTTCCCTAAAAAAAATTGACAAAAGCATATACAAAAAGAAACTACAGAAGACTATTGTTTTAAAGATTCAAAGGCAAAAGAAAGAATTAAACAATAAATGGGCGTGCGAAAACTTGGTTAACTACTGAGGAGGGACTATTTTCTCAGAGTGACCATATGCTCTTATATAAGCTGACAACAGTTACAGGCTTTATCAAATATATATGAACAGCTAGCTATAAGATATCTTCATGGAGGAAAATAGTCATAAATGGAAATGCAATGGCAATGATCACAAAAGAAACAGCATGTTTATCCATAAACATACAGCATTTAAGTAATAAAATAGTTATAAATAAAAGGTAAAAAAACAAATTGCAAAACAATAAACAAATTGCATATCAAGAAGTAGTATGTAAACAATACAGAGAAACCCTGTCTCAAAAAACCAAAAAAAAAAAAAGAAGTAGTGTGTAATGATCATTCTTCCCGCCAGCCTGGTCCTAGTGCCGTGCCAACCACAAATAACACACAGAGACTCTATTAGTGACAATGCTGTTGGCCAATGTCCAGGGCTTCTCATTGGCTACTTCTGTCTTAAGTATCAACCCATGACTACTAATATATATTTTTATAAGGACTTATCTTTCTGAGGACAGCATCCTGGCGCGTCCTCTCTTCCCTGGGATCACATGGCTACTCCCTACTCTTGACTACATTTCCCAGAATCCTCCTCGACCCCTGGTTCCACCTGTCTTGCTTCCCTATTGACCAACAGTGCTTTATTTAGACCAATCAGACAAACATATATACAGAACTTCTCCTATCAGTAGTAGGATATTTAATTTTTTATTTTTATTTGTGTGTGTGTGTGTGTGTGTGTGTGTGTGTGTGTGTGTGTGTGTGTGTGTACATACACCAAAGGGGATCGACCAGAAAATGGCATCAGATTCCCTGGATCTGAAGTTACAAAGAGTCTCAAGCTCCCTGGTATGGAAGCTGGGAGCTAAATTCTAGTTCTTGAAAGCACTCTTGACCATTAAGCCAGCTTCTCCAGTCCAAGTAGTTATATCCTTAAAATGTAAAAATTGTACTAAAAACAGGATCCCAGCTACTGGGAAGGCTGAAGCAAGAATATCCTAAGTTCAAAGCTTGCCTGGACTATAGAGTGAGCTTAAAACCAGCCTGAGTAACTTAGCAAAGCTTTGTCTTAAAAAGGAAATTTTAAGTGCTGGTGATACAGCTAGGTAGTAGAGAGCATCTCTAGCAGATGAGGACCCTAGGACCAAACCCCTGTACCAAAAACAACATGCACCGAATTAATAAGAAAAATGTCACAACCTCAGTAAGAATAAGTGGGTAAAAGCACAAAATTCACTGAAAACAAATAATAAGTGCAAGAAGACTATCTGACCTTATGAATATATTAAACTGTGAACAAAAAATGTTATTTGCTCATGAAATTTGGAGAAAGGAAAAAATAAGAGTCATAGTTTGGATGTGGTATTACAGAAACTTTCATTTGCATGCAGTGTTAAAAGGTAACCTGGGGTGGAGACAGAGATGGCTCAGTAGATCAGAACACTAGCTTAATTTCCTAGGGTTCAATTCCCAGAGCCCACATGGCAGCTCACAATGGGCTCTAATTATAGCTCCAAGAGGTCCGATGCCCTCTTCTGAACTCTGGGGGTAGCAAGTACATAGTATACATAATACATGTAGGCAAAATATTCATACACATAAAAGAAAACAAATCTTTAAAAAAAGAAATAGGTAAAATATTTTTTAAAAAACGATTTATTGCCAGGCATGGTGGCCCATACCTTTAATCTCAGCACTTGAGAGGCAGTGGCAGGCAGGCAAACTGTGTGAGTTTGAGGCTAAAATGTTCTACATAGTGAGTTCTAGGACAACCATCCAGAAGTAGGTAGAGAAACCATGTCTCAAATAAATAAGAAAGAAAGAAAAAAAAAAAACTAAAGAAGTTCTTTTACCAAATTTCTTAAGTGGAAATGAGAAGTCATTCCCAGTGTGATAGGTTCAAATACAAAAATGTCTGAGGCTGTTATGCTTCCGAAGTGGGACAAGTCACCTCTTGTAAAGTCAGGGATTGGCACCTGAGTTGTTCTGAAGAGTTCACAGAGTTTTTGCACAGCTTAGTCACCAGACACACCCAGCAAACCAGGAAGCATCCATATAGCTGAGAATTGCTTAGGTAATGGTTCCTTCAAACATCTCTAGATTAGAGGTTTTGGTATGTGGAAACTGACTTGGTAAAGGTATCTTCTATGTGACAATAAAGAGGCTTTTGCAAAGCCACAAGGCCATCAGCCCATCAAATACTGACTGCCCTGTAGCAGCTGCTGTTGCTGCTAAGCCATTAAGGACGCTGGAGTGACCCAAGTAACACAGGGTACCTACAGTCTACTAACAAATGGATAAACTATACTGTCTGTAACTGAGGAAGAGCCTATGTGTTCAGTTGGCACCTTGGGCTTGCCCCTGTAAGGTCAGGAAAGCCCCATTCCTCTCTCCTGCCCCTCCCCCCCAAACTACACCTGCTCAGAGTTCCACGTCAGCACCAGCTGCCCAAGTCCCTGCCTGAACGCTCAGGTTTTGAACATCCTTGGGCCCAAACCCAGCTCATGGCAAACACATCATCACACCTATCCTACAATCTCTAAAACTTTCCTGCCTTGGCTCGGGTGCATGACTTCTCTGGCTTCATTCTCTGAGGCCAGTGAACATGACCTGGAGTAGCTTTACTCAACATATCTGTGTTATATTTCTTCAGTTTGGCTTGATCTGGCTTACTTTGGGGGAGGAGGGTATAAAACCTATTACTACGTAGTTCCTAAAACTGTTTTAATGAACCTTTAAGACATTGTTTGGACATTTCCTACAAATGTATATGAAGGTAGTTAAAGATATTTGCCCCGGGAGCTAGAGAGATGGCTCAATGGTTAAGAGCACATGCTGCTCCTAGAATTTAATTCCCAGCACCATGTCAGGTGGCTTACAACAACTTGTAACTTCAGCTACAACACCCTCTTCTGGCCTCCATGGGCACTACATTCATGTGCCATATACACATATATACACAGACACAAATTTTAAAAAACAAAATCTGTGGGGGGGAAAATGATACTCACCCTTGGAATAATGTAGGGTACGTAAATTTCAGGACAGACAGGACATACTGAAAAACAAATACCAGATTAATGAACATTTTGAATGACAGAGAATTGAAAAAGCATATAGTAACATTCCTACTGAAGAATCTGAGTATGCTTTGTAAAGGCCTTCATCCCCCCAAGTCATGAATGGACAAAAGAATGGCCTTCCAGGTCACATGGAGGAGGCAGCTGGGGTAAGTTTACGGTTTCGTTTTGTTATTGCTTGTTCGTTCTTGAAACAGGATCTTGTCTGTAGCCCAGTCTGGCCTAGAACTTGCTATGTAACCCAGGATCTACAAAATACCTTTGGCCTTGGCCTCCTAAGTACTGGAATTACAGGTATGTGCTGCCATATCCTGATTTAATTTGTGTATAATTTGCTGATATAATGTATGTATATATGCATGTTCACATGTGTGACTGTGGGCACAGGCATAGCACATGTATGGAGGTCAGAGGACAACCTCAGGGCGTTATTCTGCCTTCCACCTCACATAGATAGGTCTCTTGCTGTGTACCATGGCATGTGCCAGGCTAACTGACCATGAGCTGCTTCCTATCCTTCTATAGGAGTGTAGTAACTCTACCACAACAGGCGGGATCTAGGGATCTGAACTCCGGTCCTCACACTTGAGAGGCAAGCACTTCTACCTGAGCATCTCTCCAGCCCTTCTTTTAAGTCTTTTAATCCAATTTCTAGACCTTCATAATGGAGGAATTGTATTTTGTCTCTGGAGATACCTTTTCTTATTATGAGCACTTTAAGTTGACTTATTGGACAAAGCCATTAAATACTTTAGGAAAGGACTCTGTTATTCTCCACAAGGTCTTCTTTCCTAAAGAGTCGATGGTACTGAGGAAGTTCACAGAAGCATCCTCCCAGCTTACCCACAGCTCTCCCTGAATAAGCTCCTGAATGTTGGTATTACATACCATTCCCACGTGCATCCTTCAGGGTGTCCCCGCCTACCTTTCCCTGGAGCTTCTATTCTGACCTGGAGAAAGGATGAAGTGAGGCCTGTGCATGTCCTGGAGCACCCGAAACAACCTTAGTTATGGTACCCAATGTTTACTCCATGCGGCGTGTGCTACAAACTGAGGGAGGTCTGAGGTGCTGAAGCTCGGGCATGGGGCTCCGTCAATGGCTGAGCATGGGGCTAACATACATGGGGCCCTGGGTTCCATCCCTAGTACCACAAAACAGACAAGATGCTGGAGCTCTAGCCTCACTTCTGTTAAAGAGGCAGAGGCAGGCAGATCTCTAAGTTCCAGGCCAGCCTGGTCTACATGGTGAGTTCCAGGACAGCCAGGGCTACACAGGGAAACCTTGTCTTGAAACCCCTCCCCAAAAAAAGGAAAGAGAGAAAGAAGAAAGACATCTATTGAGTGGTAAATGGCTCAGAGGTCAAGAGTGCTGAAAGATCTTGAAAAGACCCCAGTCAGATTCCCAGAATCCAGACTGGTTGGCACACAACCACCTTGAACTCCATCCCTAGGCGCTCCAACGCCTCCTCAGGCACCTGTGTTCAGAATTACAGAGCACACACATATAGACAGGTAATTAAAAGTAAAATAAATATCTTTAAGAAGAAATCTATGACCAATTGAACGTTAGCTCTAAAAATGTCTCTGAGCTAGGGGTAGTGGCACTTGACTATAATCTCAGCACTCAGGAGGCGGAAGAAGATTGCAAACTAGCCTTGATTACACAGCTGGGCCCTCTTTGGGATGTGTGTGTGTGTGTGTGTGTGTGTGTGTGTGTGTGTGTGTGTGTGTGTAATGATTCATCAAGTAAAGGCACTTACCACCAAACCCAACGACCTGAGTCAATCTGACCTGCTTGCAAAATGTCCTGACTCCACATGTGCCCCTTAGTAATACACCCTCACACATACACACACTAGATCAATCAATCAATCAATCAATCAATCAATCAATAGTAATACACCCTCACACATACACACACTAGATCAATCAATCAATCAATCAATCAATAGTAATACTCCCTCACACATACACACACTAGATCAATCAATCAATCAATAGTAATATTCCCTCACACATACACACACTAGATAAATCAATCAATCAATCAAGGCTCAGCAGTTAAGAACACTGGCTACTCTTCCAAGAGGATCTGAACACGTAACAGCTCACAACCATCTGTAAGTCCAGTTCTTGAGAACCTAAAGCCATCTGGGCTCTGCAGACACTGCAACACATGATGCACAGACATACATGCAAGCAAAACAAGCATTCGCATAAAATAAAAATAAACAAATCTTTAAAAAATTAATAATAAACAATACTAAAAGCCGAACGTGGTGATTGCACCTACAAATCCCACAGACCTTAGGAGGCAGAGGCAGAAAGATCCACTAAACTCAAAGCTAACTTCTGCCTCTCAAGGTTTTAAGCCCTTGGGTACAGCGGAAATGCTTCAAATGGAGATAAAGACTAAAGAAGTCAATCAGTGGGGCAAGGGCTGATAAATTAATCTTTTCCTCTGCTTCTGGAACTTTGGTTCCTGGGGCAGAAGGCTGTTAGGGTGGGGCAGACTATGATGACTTCTTCGACTCTTCCTCTGCGTATATATGTATTTATTTACTTGAGACAGGGTTTCAAGTATCCCAAGCTGGCCTCAAACTCCTCCTGCCTCCACCTTCCAAGAGCTGACAGTGTGAGTGCTGGAGATGGAACCCCAGGCTCTGAGTACGCAGAGCCGCATCCTCTTCTTGAAAATAGTCCTCCGGGTCCGAAACGAAGTTCCGGGGAAATGGACTATGAGTCGGATTCCTCGCGGTCCCCATCAGGACCAGCCAGCCCGGGCCAGCTTCGGTGACGTGGCCCGCACGGCTCGCAGCCCACGCGCAGTCGCGGCTGCCCCCGCGCTCACCTTGTTCGTGAGGTGAGAAGCCAGGTAGCAGGTGCAGAAGGTGAGGCCGAGCAGGGACCGCCTCCCGTTCATCTGTCAAGGCTCTCAGCTTCTCGGGTACGGTGGCGCCACCGCCCGGAGCCCACCCCGCCGCCACGGTCTCCGCCGCCTGCCACGAGGCTCCGCTCTGCCAATCAGCGAGCGGCTTGCCCGGGCGCCCGCCTCCTTAAAGGGGCCGCTCTGGCTAGGTAGCCTCAGCCTCGCAGGTGGCCTTGAGTCCTACTGGTGGCAAGACCCGGGTCCTCTCTGGTTGCCCATGGTAGGCGTCACAGCATTCCTTTATGGTTTGAAGGAAAATAGCCATACCTATTACGGAATGACTGGATGAAAATGACGAAATTTTTCTAATTTTCTGCGTTGCTTCCAACTTTGACAAAAACACAAATTAGCCACAATAGAATTTTAAAGAGGCTAGAGAGTGTAAACATTTCGAAGGATCAAGGGATGGATAGAGATTCTGACACTAGGGGACCACAGAATAATGAGTGTTACAGCTGGCACTCAGGAACCAAGGAATACCACAGGTCATAGTGGCCCTCGCCCTGGCCCTGGCCCTGGCGCAGCTAACAAGCTTAACAGGCTAAGAGTTTAATTAGGGCTTCTTAGGGGCAGAGTTTTTTCCAGGGAGATTTCCAGGGCGGGGATTGGGCAGATTTTAATTCCTGAGCTCAGAACGGCTACATCTGCTCAGTGATTGGTTAGTTTTCTGCACAAGTGTAGGGCCAGATTTGGCTCTGGTTTCAGGGCCAGAGTATTTCTTTCTCTGGTCCTTTTCAGTCTTTTGGCTCTAATTATAAGGCCTGGGTGTTTCTTTCACTGGCTCTGATTCCAGGGACAAAGTGTGTTTCTTTGGCACTGGTGTCAAAGTCAGGGTGTATTTCTTTGATTCTGATTGTGGGGACCAAAGTGTGTTTCTTTGACACTGCTCAGGGTGTGTTTCTTTGGCTGCCCCTTTTCCCTACAGAGAGATGGTTCAGTGGTTAAGAGTGCAGAGGATGGGAGTTCGGTTCCTCACGTCCACCTCAGGGACCCCAGCTCCAGAGGATCCCTTCCGGACTCTCTGGGCACCAGCACTCAACAGGTGCACAAAAACAAAAGTGCGCTCTGAAGTATGATATGCACATAATGAAAAATAAAATAAGTCTAAAAAATACTCTAAAAAGAAGGCCAACGAGGAACCTAGAATGACCATGATCGTATCAAAAGTCATCCTATTGTGTTGAAATGTCTATAAAAGAAATCTTATCGTACATAGAGCAAGAGGCCTGTAATCCCTGAAGTTGGGATAAGGAAGCAAGAGGTTCAAAGTGAAGTTCAAAGCTCATCGGGGCTACAAAGGGCATCCAAGGCCATCGTGGGCTATGTGAGGCTTTGTGCAACAGACAGGAAAGGAGCTGGTCCTTTCCAAATGAGTATTTTAAACATAGCCCCAGTTGCCTGGACAGGAAACTAGCCCCAGTGCTGGCAAATGGTAGGAAATGAGCAGAGAACATGTTGGTGGTTTGCATAGGTGGTAAAAGGTGCAGGTGGGCCAGAGAGATGGCTCGGCAGGGAGATGCCTGCTGCCAAGTCTGACTCCTTGAATTCCAGAAAAAAATTGATAGGGACATCACAAGTGTCCAGAAGGAGTGGGAAGAATAGTTAGGGGTAGATATAATTAAAATACTTTGCATACCTACGAAATCTTCAAAGAATAAAAATGTCTTTAAATTTTTGTTCATATTGTAGTAGGTTTAATCTATGATGGTGAGTGTTAATTATCCACTTGACAGAATTGAGAATCACGTGGGGGTCTCCTGGCATGCCTGTGTGGACGGTTTTGATTGCCTCAACTGCAGTGGGAAGAGCCACCATTTTCTCCCTGGGGAGTGGAAAAAGGGAGCTGAGGAGGGTCATTGCTCTGTTTCTGCCTGTGCCTGTCATGTGACAGCTGCTCGTTCTCCGGCTGCCTTGACTTCCCCTCCAGGATGGGCTGTACGCTCGACTGTGCCAGAGTGACCCGTCCTCCTTTCGGTTTTTCTTGTCAAGATGTCTATCACAGTGATAGGAAAAGAAACAAAGTATCCCACCAAAGGGAATGAGCTCCAAAAAGCTAGCTCATGCACAGGGATAGATCCTGGTCCCACTTCCAGGGCCCCTGCAGACACACCAAGGTACACACTGTCTCCCACATGGAGAGGACTAGTTGGGTTCCGTGGAGGCTCCACAGGTGTGGGTCCAGAGTTAATGAGTTGCCACAAGCTTGGTTCAGCTGTCTCTGTAGATTTCTCAGTCATGGTCTTGACCTCCCTTGCTCATGTATTCTCTCCCTCCTCTCTTCAACTACATTCCCAGAGCTCGGCCTGGTTCTTGGTTATGAATCTTTGTATCTGGTTCCAGCAGTTACTGGATGAAAGTTTTATAATAATTGGGTATTGGCCAATCTGATTACAGAGGAAGGCCCGTTCAGGCACCCTCTCCACTCTGGCTAGGAGTCTAAGCTGGGGTCATCCTTGTGAATCCCTGGGGGTTTCCCTAGCACCAGATTTCTCCCTTACCCCATAATGGCTCCCTCTATCAAGATATCTCTTTCATTGCTCTCCCACTCAGGCCCCTCCCCCAACTCAACCATCCCATTCCCTCCTGTTCTTATCCCCCATCCCTTCCCCTCGACTGACCTTTGTCCCCAGTTTACCCAGGAGATTTCATCTAATTCCCCTTCCAGGGTAATCCATGCATGCCTCTCAGGGTCCTCCTTGTTACCTAACGTATCTGGAGCTGACCATGGCAACTCATGAAGAAAACATTTAATTGGGAGGCTTGCTTACGGTTTCAGAGGGTCAGTCCATTATCATCGTGATGGGGAACACGGTGTTGTGCAGGCAGATGTGGTGCTGGAGGAGGAGCTGAGAGTCCTACATCTTGCAGACAACAGGAAGTTGACTGAGACACTGGGCAGTATCCTGAGCATAGGAAACCTCAAAGCCTGCCCCCACAGTGACACACTTCCTCCAACAAGGCCATACCCACTCCAACAAAGCCACAACTCCCAATAGTGCCACTCCCTATGAGATTATGGGGGCCAATTATATTCAAACTATCACAGCTGGGAATGGATATAGCCTGGTGACCTCTACATTATCTGTATGGCCACGCTATGCCTGGCTTCCCACAAACTTTTACAAACAGGACCAGGGGTGGCTAATAGCCTAGTGACCTTTGTGCTGTCTGTATAATGGAGACCACACCAGATCTTCCCCAGGCCCTCAGGATGACACATGTTGTCTATTTATAGAGCCTACCTTTATGGAAGAGGTGACAAGTACTTTGAAATGAATTTCAATGTAATTATGGCTAAAGCTCTATTGTGCACACAGGGTTGTGTTACACCAGGAAACTCTTTTCCAAACTGCACTGTGCCTAAATGTGCCTAAAATCAACTGTCCTGTGTAAGACTCTAGAAGCTTGAGCCAGCCAGCTATTGAGTCAAGTTGAATTAGGTTTCCTTCTGGCCTTACACAGATTATTAGTGTGCTGGCCCTGGTGTTTGCAGAGATCCAGAGGTTCACACAATTGAAAAATCCACTAGCTCTGGAGAAAAGAAAGTCAAAGAAAAGCCTAGAATCAATCAAGTTTCTAGTAGAGTCTGATCCAGATATTCAACAATATGCCACTGGGGACTATAAAGTTGACAGATTCATACTTCATTGAAATACTCCCATGTTTGGGATAATCTTTTTTTGTACCGTGTGAAGATGTGTCTCTATCCTCATCTGCCTAAGGCACCTTCTGATTTGGTTTAATAAATGGCTGACTAGCCAATAGCTAAGCAGGGGACTTCCAAGGAGAGATAGGAACTCTGGGAAAGAATCTGAAGCTTGGGAGATTTGCCAGCCAGACATGGAGGAAATAGGACATATGGTTCTGAGGAGAGGTAATGAGTCACAGAGCAAAACATAGCTTAATATAAACTGATTATAAGTTTTAAGAGCTAGTTGGGAAAAAGCCTAAACTAAGGGCACATTTTCATAATATGTCTCCGTGCCAGTCAGGCAGTGGTGGCACATACCTTTAATCCTAGCATTTGGGAGGCAGAGGCAGGCAGATCTCTGTGAGTGTGAAGCCAGCCTGGTCTACAAGAGCTAGTTCCAGGACAGCCAGGGCGACACAGAGAAACCCTGTCTTGAAAAACTGAAAGGAAAAACTCTCCGTGTCACTATCCAGGAGCTGGCGGTCTGAAGAAAGACCCACTACACTTCTGAGTTGGTTTGTAGCCTCACTGTTAATAGTGATGGTAAACTCTACAGTAACCAACTCTCACTGTTAATAGTGATGGTAAACTCTACAGTAACCAACTCTGTCAGTTGGCTTTTCCATCTCTGTAACAAATCTCTGGGAAAAGCAACTCAAGAAAGATTGATTTGGGCTCAGTCCTTCCTGGCTGAGAGGGTATGACAGCAGAGCCGGCCTAGGAGCAGGGGAAACATTGCCCAGGCCAGGCAGCCTCCCCATCTTCCTCCATTCCTTCCCAGCCCCAACCCTGGAGTGATGCTACCTGCTCTCCCCTCCTCTTAGCGGATCTTCTCGAGAAACACCTCACAGAATAGTCAGGGATGTGCTTTGCCTATCAAGTTGACAGCCAAAGTTGACCATCACATTGGCCAGCAAAGGTGACTCAGCAGGTATTTATAAAGGCATTTCTTCCTAAACCTGACAACCTGAGTTCAATCCTTGAAACTCATGTAAAGGTGGAAGGAAAGAACCAATACACACACACACACACACACACACTGATTAACCACCATACCAACCAAGATCCTGGTTTCTTCCTCCTCTCTGCTCTGCAATCTAGACTGCTCAGGTCCTCATGAGACTGTTAGGGCCAGCAGTAGCCAGAGCTTCAAGTGTGCTCACTCAGTTTCAAAGCGGAGACCTTATCCTTCTCTATTTTTCAAACAATAATCCTGTGTTCCTTCAAAATCAGACCATCCTCAGGACAAATGTCTACCCTAAAATACTCACAGCATCTGAGGAGCTGACCTCTATGCATCTGTCAGCCTTTGTGAAGTGATTTGGAAAATGTATAGACAGCAGGTAAAGAACTGTGGGATGGTGAAATGGATCTGTGGGTAGAGCCTGCTGTGCAGATGTGAGGACCTCATTAAGGTACCTAGAAGCCATGAAAGCATGATTCAGTAGCAAGTATCTGTAGCCCCAGCACTCAAAAGCTCACGACTGACTAGGCTGCAAGCAAGAGACCCCGTCTTAAACAAGGTGGAAGATGAAGGAGGAGAGGCAGTAGAGGTCCTCTGACAAACACATACATACACACAAAGAATTAGTGACCTGTAATCCCTAAACGAAATTGTCAAAGTATATTACCTAAGCAAAGTTTACATGTATCATCTGTAGTCAAATAAACAAGCATAAAATTATTTTTCCTGAAAGTTATTTTAGGAAATGTATTTCAGAGCTGAATAATCCTTAGAAAGACATTTCTGCTTAATAGAACTTGATTGAAGTTAATGGTTGACATGTATTGAGATTTCCCTTTCCTGGGCTCCTTAGGTAAATGAACAGAATCAATTGATCTCTTGCTATTTCCTAGTTATTTAGCCTATTTTCCTTCTCAGCATTTGCTTAACAAGTAGAAACTACTAGAACAAAGAACCATACAAATCAAAATAGACACTGGTGGCAGATAGGCCGATAGGTCCTGCTAGGGCTGTTGAACTTTCTAATGCTCTATTATTCTGTTCCACAAAGCAAACAAAGGTAAGACTACAGGAAAGCACAGTCAAACAATAAGCTGTTATGTGTGAGATTGGCCTTCTGCACATATGGAAAAATGAACTACTTCCTTAGACCTTTGAGACTAATATATACTAATGGCCAATCGTCCTTGAGATGAATCAGCAGGTGAAGGAATCTCCCATCAAGCCTGGCCTACATATATCTGCTATAGTACATGTGAACCCTCTGGCACAATATATATATGTATATAGTATATGTATGTATATATATTCCAATCAGCAACAACAAAAGTCAGAGTCTGTAGCAAAACCAACATCTACCTTAAACTAAGAGACCAATGGGCTACAGAGTTGACTCAGCAATTAAGAGCACTGGCTGCTCTTCCAGAGGACCCAGGTTCAGTTCTCAGCACCCATATGGGCAGCTCACAATTATCAGTAACTCCAGTTCCACCTTCTTTGCCAGGAATAACTGAGCCCAGATCAATCTTTCTTGAGTTGCTTTCTTGTTGCAGAGATCTGACATAGTTGGTTACTGTAGAGTTTATCATCCACACTAGCAAGCCTGCAGGAGGGCAAGGCGGTCACTGTAAATGACAAGTGGCCATGGTGGCCCACCTATACTTCCAGCTGTGGAAGGCAAGCAACAGAGGATCCCCTCCTGACTTCAACACAACTGACAAGGCAACAAAAGCCCGCTCATCCCTCAGCCTGAACAGGGCACCTCACAAACCACCTTATAGCCAACATCCGTTTACACAAGGAAACATGCGTGCACACACAGGAGTGTGCGTGCGTGCGTGAGTGCCTGGGTGTATGTGTGCATGTGTGTGTGTGTGTGTGTGTGTGTGTGTGTGTGTGTGTGTGTCTTTCAGGACACGGTTTCTCTGTGTAACAGCCTCGGCTGTCTGGGAACTTGATTTGTAGACCAGGATGGCCTCAAACTCAGAGATTCATCCACTTGCCTCTGCCTCCCTGGCATTGAAGGTGTGCACCACCACACCTGGCAGGAAACTTTTTTTTTTATTTAGGTTAGAAACAATCTTGTTTCGCATGTCAATCCCAGGTCCCTCTCCCTCCCCTCCTTCCCCATGGCAGGAAACTTTTTTTTTTATTTAGGTTAGAAACAATCTTGTTTCGCATGTCAATCCCAGGTCCCTCTCCCTCCCCTCCTTCCCCATGGCAGGAAACTTTTTAGGATGTGAGAAATAAGTAAATCAGCTCATATATGTTTACTTGAAATTTTAAGCTTTTCCTAATCTTTAAACCTTGAGCAATGTAACTTAAGAAACACAGGATCATTCATTAATCCACATGTTTATACACACATACACACATACATACATACATATCCATTGTAAAGGCACCTAACAGCTATTTGCAAAATCTAAATTCATTTCAGCTCTAGAAACTAAGGAGCCTAATTTACATTTTCTTTGGAGACCAAAGAATGTGCTGATCCAAAGTTTTGACCCAGAAATTTGTCAACAGTTTCATCTGAGCAATCTTGGGTTCCTCAGCAGGGAGGGAGCAAAAGCTGCCGTTAACCCTTTGAACTGCATGCTTTCTTCCCTTCACAGCCAAGCGGGCGCTGCCCCATTCAAAGACTCACTGTTAAATCGTGTGGGTCTATATGCTGTCATTGGCACACCATACTTGTGTGCAGCCAAAGAAACCTTGAGTGAATGTGTGAAAACGAATGAAGTCCTGAGTGAATGTGTATTGGGGACACGAGCCTCGTCAAGTCAAAGACTGAATGCCCCAGAGCTGTGGGAATGGCGGTGCCTTCTCTGTACACAGGCATAATGCTAGTTAACCCACAAACCTATGCTAAATGGGAATTCCATCTATGATGAATCAAATCCCCTGGTCCCTACTGCTTAACTTGCTTATCTCCATGCCTCAAGTAGTTTTGAATGTCCTCTAAGATTCACTTCTCACTAATATCCGGAGCACAGAAAGGGGTAACCCGTAGTGTTCTTCACTCTTTTCAGCATAGCTCCAAGTCATCCTTACTGCCAGTCGCTGGCCGTCTACTCCCCGAGATCTCTAAACTCTCTGATCATACCACCTACTAGCCTCAAGGATGCAACCTGAATGTTTTCTGAAGACTGTGGCAACTGCCCATTCTTCCAGGCCGCTCCAAGTACTGTCAACTTGCCGAGTGACTTCAGGGTCCATCGCGATCCCAGATTCAATACCCTGACACTTCACCCTGGTCTTGTAAGCATCCCAGCCTCAATCGGACTTCCATTTCCCTGTGGTTTCCTTTTATTTGAGAATATACTGCATAGCACCTACCAACCTCTGTGCCAGGAGCAAAAGTGATGCTTGGAATTACATAGACGACTTAACACATTTAAAAGATGTGTCAAGGCAAGTCTAGGCAGCCCTCGCTAACCCACCGAGTTACTTTATTTCTATGTGCCGGTTTCACTTTCAGTAAGATGGAGGTAAAGCCAGAATCTTCTCAAGACCATTTTGGGATTAAAACACCGCCTAGTGCGGTGGACATGCTTACCCAGACACTTTATGAATTCCTCGACAAAACTGGGAACCACAATTTTTATTGTGCTGTCTTACTTTTTGGTCACTGTTATACCACATATTTGGTAGTTTTTCTCATTCCACACCTGCCCCCTAAACGACAACTGCAATAACCTCGATCTGTAAGAATTTTCTTTTCCCTCTTTAAACCTGCCAGTTACGGCTCCCCGAATCCGTTCCAGTTTCGAATTATCCCGGGAAATAAAGAATGAGCCCAGGCAGCCTGGCCTGCGATTCGGCGACCAGGAGGAAGGGACCCGAAGGCGGTGCCCGCACCGGGAGTGCCAGCTCCGAGGAAGCCACACCCAGCCCCGCCTTGCCAGGATCGAGTCAACAAACCCTCGCCCCAGCCGACCTTTGAACCCCCACAGCCCGAGGTGCGGGGACCGGAAGTGCGGCGAGCGGCCAATAAGAAGCGAGAGTCCTCGCGTAGAGGGCGGAAGAGAAGCGGTCCAGTTCCGGAGGCGGCCTCGGCCGCCGCCATCTGTCACCTCGCCTCCGGCCCCGGCAGCGCGTCGCTAGTGCCCCGCCCGTGTCCTCGGCGGAGCCCGCTCCTCGGTCTGTCATCTCTCGGCTCCGTTCTCGTCCCTGCCTTCTTCCCGGAATGGATCTGGTCGGAGTGTCAACACCTGAGCCCGGCCCCGCAGCCGCCTGGGGTTCCAGTAAGGTGAGCGGTGGTCGCTGGCCGCGCTCACGCGGGATGCTGGCCTCCAAAGCCGGGACAGGCGACTCGGCAAGCCTCGGGCCGAAGCCCTGCCGGCTTGGCGCAGGCAGCCCCGGGGCCCGGGGGTCTGGCCCGGTCCACTGTCGCCGGGACGTGAGCAGAACGCCCGCGCCGACGCTGAGGCTTGAGCAGCAGGCTCGCTCGTTCTTTGACCAGGAGCCCGGTGCGGCAGCCCTACGCCGAGAAAGCTCAGACAGAAAATTGCTTTAGGAAGGTGTTGCCTTCAGGCGACTGCGCTTATCCCAGTTCGGTCATTTCTTGTTTTTGAAATGACAAAGGTAGAAATCTAGGCGCGCCTTCGCGCTCCGGGTAATACTACGAACGTGGGCAGTAATACTGTAAAATGGTTATGAATTTCCATGATCTACTATAGGCGTGGCTTCCCCATACCGCTCGAATGGCAAGCTAAGATTCTTTTCTGTTCCCGTCTGATTTTGAACCGGCTCTTTTTCGTATTACATCGGCTAGGATGAAAAGATCCTGGGTGTTTCATTGCGTAGGATGAAAAGACCGCACACACTTGCTGCGAGCAGTCATGCTTCATTTGGGGTTTGCATCCCTCAGCTGTAAGGTGCTGAAGGGGTCCGTGCCTTTTAAACCTCATAATAGTTATTAAATTGACGTATTCATCTTATTGAAGCGTACTTTTTACAGAAAAATAGTTAAGAGTTTGTTTTTGTTTGTTTTTTTTTGTTTTGTTTTGTTTTTCGAGACAGGCTCTGGCTCAACTCCCAGTTCAACTGTTAAGTTTTTTAAAAGTTGATTTTATAAGTTTATAAACCCGTAGGAAAAGTCAAATATTCTATTGTAAATGTGGTTACATCTTTACCCATTTGTGTGTGAGACTCTGATCTTGTTGATGAGGTCAAGATTAACAGACATAAAAGGATAACATTAGACATAGACAATAAAAATACAGGCCAGATTTTTTTCAATGTCCCCAGTTAAACAGCCACAGAAGTTGTAGGAAAAGTTCAATGAAAACATTGTACCCTAAGAAATGTTTCACTTCCAAAATAAATAATACTGGATAAATGAAGTCCATCACCTTCTCATCCAAGTGTATATCACCAGGACTGCAAAAATCCCATTTTCATTATTTGACAAAACAAAACAAAACAAAACAAAACAAAACAAATGTGTTCCTGGAGTTTACTGGTAGCTTGTTGGGTAGACAGACTACCAAAACACAGCCTCACTTAACCATTTCCTTTTCTAACCATGGAAAACCAAAGTGAGTGAATGCCTAAGGAGGAAGAGAATTGAGAATAGCGTTGTTTTATTTATTTTGTTTGTTTGTTTGGGACAGGGTTTCTCTGTGCCTTGGCCGTCTTGGAACTAGCTCTGTGGATGAGGTTAGCCTTGAGCTCTTCCTACTTTGTCTCCCAAGTTCTGGGATTAAAGGCATGGGCCACTGCCACTGAGGTGCCTAAAATGAGAGGCAGAAGTGAGGAAGTATGTAACTCTGACAGAGAGTTGTAGAAATGAGTCTGTGGAACCCCCATGATCACCACAGAGTCTGACAAACTGAAAACCCAGAGGAGCTTAATGAGACACGACAAATCTAATGTAGTATCCTGGATGTTATTCTATAGTAGAAAAAAAAGGCACTAGGGGAAACTAAGGATGTATTAATAATTTAGACTTTAGTTGTCAATATGTAGCTGGAGCCAAAATACCTGAGAGAACAATTTAAAAGGTGAAAGGTTTTGGCTCATGGTTTCAGAGGGTTCCGACTGTGGTCACTTGTCTGTGTTTCTGGGTCCATGGCATGTCATTAAAGTCAGAGCTGATGGTCTTATGGTGGCCAGTGATCAGGGAGGAGAGCAGAAAGAAAGAACCCATATAATCTAATTGTCCCTGGAAGGCTCCTCACAGACATACCCAGAGGAGAGATTTGAATCTAGGCATTTCTTAATCTGATTACATTGATGGTCACAACTGACCTCAGACTCTTGGAAATGACTGTGTGCAGATGAGCTCGATGTTAGGAGTCAGTGTGCTGATGAGCAGAACTGTAAGCATGACTGGTGAGGTGGGAGTCTGAGACTTCTTGTTGCTTTAGGTTTACTGTTCTTTAAAATTGTGAAACAATTATTGTCGGTGTGTGTATATGTATGATGTGTGTGTTTGGGGCAGTTCATGTGTGCCATGATTTGTATGTGGGGATAAGAAGACAGCTTTGTGGGGCTGGTTTTCTTCCAACTTTGCGTGGGTTCTCGGGATTGAATTTAGGCTCTCATGCTTGTTCTTGTCTATCAACTAAGCCATCACTGGCCCAGTACCTCTTAACTACTCAGTAAAGAGTTTGAGTTACTGTATGTAGACTCACAAGAAATAGACAGCTGACTCTGTACTATATGTTCCTGGTGCCAGTTCATAGGAGAAGCCCCTTTCAGCCATTTGTGGAGTGTTCCCTTTCCCAAAGCTGTCCCTCACAGAGCCCAGAAGAATTTTATGGAAGGATGTTATTAGCTACTTTTAGATGTTTCAATTTGATTTCAAACTGTGGGAGTCTGAAATTGTGACTTACTTACCTAACCTGAGGAAGTTGCCCCAGTGTGTGGTGGCCCAGTTGAGCTGGTTGGCAGAGATAGGGGAAGTGTAAGATTCCAAAGGACAAGGTCATTGTGAGTGGGCAGTTCCGGGTGCTGCTTTATCTGTGGCCTGTGTTTTTAGACTCCAAAGGACAAGGCCTTTGTGAGTGAACAGTTCCAGTGTACTGTTATATCTGTGGTTCCTGTCTTTGGGAACAGAGAAATTGCCACCTCAAAGTAAAGAAATCACATCTGACATTGTTGACTCTTCTGAGACGTTTGCCAGCTAATAGTTTATATTTAATGTCTTCTAGAATCTGGTGGCGGGTGACAGTGGACCATGAGCTTCAGAAATAGGCAGGCAAGATGGAGGAGGTAAATTCGAGATGCTGAAAGGCAAAGCCCTGCAGATTTGGACTACATTAGGTTGTCTTTTCATTGCTTCCTGTGGCATGTACCATTCAATAAGTACGTAAATGTTTTCTGTCTGAAGTTCTGTGCTTGGTCTGCAGGTTGAGAGGGCTCCGCCCCTCAAGGGGCTTTAGCTCTGTCCTGGCTGTTGATAAACTTTAGTGATGATTCTGCGATTCAGTTTCCAAGCCTTTAAAATGTAGATGGTATTTCTGGGGTAGTCTACAGCTCACGCTTTTAGTCCCAGCACTTAAAGAAGAGCCTGGTCTACACAGAGAGTCTCAGGATAGCCAGAGTTACAAAGTAGAGAGACCTGAATGAAAATAAGGACGTGATGCTCCCAGGTGTGGTTGAGAAGAAGGGTTTTATTATAGAATTAAGGGAAGTACAGCCAGCAGCATCTGGAAGGGTCCAGACTGAACTAGGCCATAAGAGGAGGTGCTTGGGAGGAAAAGAGAAAGGAGCAAGAGAATGGAGAGGGCAAACAGACCAAGAGACCAAGAGAGCTGGTGTATGGAATCAGAAGCTGGGGGAAGGAGAGCCCAGCCCCTGGGCTGGAGCCGGTTAGGGTAGGGGTGGGGTGAGACGTGCTGGGAGGAGCCAAAGGTATGGAGTGAGACTTGTCCAGAGTGGCATGATTTAAATCATCTAGATATGTTATATTCTTAGTTAGCTAAGTGAATACTTAAATATAGGGAAGTGTTATCAATTGGGCTGGGAATGTAGCTCATGCTAGAGTAGTTGTCTGGAGTGGTGAGACCTTAGATTCAGTTTCCCCCACTTCAAAAGAAAACGGGGAGGAGGTGGCTATGCTACATACGTACGGTTAGTCATCGTCCAAGTGTGGTGAGAATTGAGACCGGGAGAAAACAGTCATCTGCTCTCGGAGGCTGGGACTGATCAGATTGAGAATCTCTTTATTTTTATTTCACGTGCATTGGTGTTCTATCTGCATGTATATCTGTATTAAGGTGTCAAATCCCCTGGGACTAGAGTTACAGACAATTGTGAATTGGCATGTGGGTGCTGGGAATTGAACCTGGGTCCTCTGGAAGAGCAGCCAGTGCTCTTAACCCCTGAGCTGTCTCTCCTGCTCCCAGACTAAGCATTTCTAGGTTAAAGAGTACAAGGTCAATGGAAGCCGTGTTCTACACATCATAGAGAGCATCAGTCAACCTGCATGAAGTCTCTGTTCCTCTTGCTGGGCCTTCTGTGAGGATGAACCGGATCTGCAATGGCTGGTGTCAGTGTGTTCAGCGTGTACCTTAGCCTCCTCACCTTGATTAGATTGTTGCATGGCTGATACAGATGTCACTGTTAACCCAAACGTAGGCACTCATTAAGGAGTGAGTTCATATTTTTTATCAAAGCAGTGAAAGCAACTAGTAACTAGTAACATTTTGGTAAAAACACTGCATTGTGGAAAATGGAATCAAAACAAGGAGCGGATGATTGGTTACATGTTTTAGGAAAATGGGAAATAAATGCTAGAATCTGTGTTTCAAGAAAGCTGAGACATTGGAGAAGGCCAGTGCTAAAGAACCTCAAGGAGTGTCACTCTTTTGTAATCATACTTTGTAAAGTCGTGGTCTCAGATTCTGAAGTTTAGAAATAAATTTTTTGTGGCTTGTTCTTGGTTTGTTTTCACATATACTCAGACATCTTAGAGAGGATTAACACTTTATAATAAGCCATGTCCTTATACTTAGATTAGAGTTAGGCATAACTTCTGAGTGAGATTTAAATTGTATTGGTTGGTAAAAAAATTAATTTATTTTTCCTTTCTGGACAGCCTTGCTTTATAGTTCAGGTAGTCCTCTTCCTTCAGCCTCCTAAGCACTGGAATTATAGGAGTGAACCATTATGGCTGGTTATATTGTCTATCCCTAAAAGAAAATCTACTAAGGAAGCTAAATCATGAGCAGAAAGGTGTTTGATGAGAAGCATTTCCTGAGCTGAGAACTCCTTGCTTGGTGGGTGATGCTGTGTAATAGCCCAGTACTTTTCAGCCTTGAGAACAGGCCTGCCAGACAAGCCAGGTGTGTCTGGTTAAGTTTACAGTTAACCTCCAATAGGATTTGAGTTGGGGGCTGACCATATGGCACCTGCTGCCACCCTGACAGTCAGATTTCAATCCAGTCCCTGGGACTCACATGATAGAAGCAAAGGATCTACTCCCTCAAGTTGTCCTTTGACCTCTTGCATTGTGCTTCCACACATAAGAGTAAATAAGTGAAAATGTAATTAAAAAAGGATTTCTTCTGAGAGTTCTTCCTTATAGGATGAATTTTGTAAATACCTATTTGGTTTGGTCATTTTAAGTAGTTTAATTCTCAAAAGATAACCTCGTTTTTTGAGTTTTAAGTCATTATCATAAGGTTTTTTTCTCTTTTGTTTCACTAGTGCCCGTGGGCTACCCCTCAAAACACAGTATCCTGCTCACTGACCGAGGTGATGAGCGAAGAGTTGGCCAAAGAGCTGCAGCTGGAAGAAGAGGCGGCTGCTTTCCCCGAGGTTGTGTACGTGTCCCTGAGCCTTAGCAAAGCTTACCGCTGACGGCTCTGTCGTTAGAAGTGAGGAAGAGTGCTTCCGAAGGCAGTGCGCAGGAACAAGCGTGCCCTGAGTTCCATTCCTGACTCAGGTTGAGTGGCCCCTAAAGATTTGGACACTTCAAAAAGTACTCAGAAAAGTTCAGACTTATAGCATTTCAGATTAGAATTCTTCAGTCAGGAGTACTTAGCTTAGTCTATGTAAATCATTCCAAAATCTGAAGATTTCAAAATCCTAAGTACTTTTGGTCCCAAGCAGTTCAGATAGAGAGAGTCTGAGCTCGTATGATTTTAGACAAACCACTGTTGCTATGGGTATAGTTTTCTACTGTCTGTTGTTTGTCCCTTCATTAGTTTTCTCTCTACTTTGAAGAGACAATGACAAGCATTCTGGGTCTCAGTATGGATTTCCCATAATTCCATAGCTGCTTAAGGTTTCTTTCTCATCTCTCTCACCTCGCTGGGCTCTCTGAGTTGCTGTGGGTTTGAAGCTGGCTGAGGAAACAGCAGATGGTAAATGGTTTGGTAGATTCCCACCTCTTCTTCAGTGTGATTTTAGCATTGCAAAAACGATTTCTACTCTCACGATCAGCAGCTGTTTGCACAGCACATCAGTCAGCTTGTGTCACCTTATTTTGAATAGTGTCGCTGAAGGTCCATTCATTTCTGGAGAAAACATTGACACTTCCAGTGACCTAATGCTGGCTCAGATGCTACAGATGGAATTTGACAGAGAATATGATGCACAGCTTAGGCGTGAGGAAAAAAAGTTCAATGGTGATAGCAAAGGTACGGTGGCCTTACTGTGACTTTCCGTTGGGTGGTGGGAAATGCCTGTGCGCACTCCCAAATAACCAGCCAGCTACTTTTACCTTTTTAGTCTGCATTTCATTTGAAAACTATCGAAAAGTGCATCCTTTTGAAGACAGTGACAGCTCTGAAGATGAGGTTGATTGGCAGGACACTCGGGATGACCCCTACAGACCAGGTGCTTTCCGTTTCTGGGGTGCGGGGGGTGGGGGGTGGGTCAGAGGAAGATCATTTTCCAATGAACTTGTTTAGATTTATGCTTAGATTTGATCTCATTTGATAATTCAGGGTTAGGTTCAAGTGTCTGTCCAGACAGTGCTGAATGTAAGACTTTATTTACTCTTTTCTGTTTTTATATTCTTGACTTTTCTTAATTGCCTTTAGCAAAGCCAATTCCTACTCCAAAAAAGGGCTTTATTGGAAAAGGAAAAGACATCACCACTAAGCATGATGAAGTAGTCTGTGGGAGAAAGAACACAGCAAGAATGGAAAATGTAAGTTATAGAAAGTATTATCTCTCAATCAAGAGTTTAATTATTCCCCCCCCCTCTCCCTCCCTCCCTCCCTCCTCGAGACAGGGTTTCTCTGTGTAGCTTTGGAGCCAATCCTGGCACTTGCTCTCTGTAGACCAGCCCGGCATTGCCTGCCTCTGCCTCCCAAGTGCTGAGACTAAAGGCGTGTGCCACCAAGGCCCAGCCGAGTTTAAATATATTTTCAGAACAGCATTCTAGTCCAGGTATGGTGGAGCACACCTTTAATCCCAGCACTTGGGAGGCAGAGATGTGTGGTCTACACAGTGAGCTGCAGGCCAGGCTGGGATACTTTGTGAGACCCTCTCTTAAAACACAAAAGCAAACAAGCCAACAGCATTCTGGATCAGTACAGTAAATTTCTAAAAATCTATTTTATCTGTTTCATATGAGTCTCACTCCATAGTTCGGTTGGCTCAAATTCATGCCACCTCTGTGCCGGTGTCCCCACACCAGGCTGCAGAGATGCTTAGAGGACAGTATAACTCAGAAACTCAGCCACTAAGAGAATAGAGTACTGTAGAGTAAAACCTATGAGGATGCTTCAAATCTGACTTGGTTTATAAGGCTCTAAGATAGGAAGTAAAGCTGAGCACAGTGGCATATGCTTGTAATCTAGCACTTGGGAGGTAGCAGAAGAGGATAAGGAATTAAAGGTCATCCTGATACATAGTGATTTCAAGGCTAGCTAGGGCTAAAGTAGGCCCTGTCTTTAAAAAAAGAATAAATGAATGAATGAATGAATTCTTAATCCTTAGTACATTATTTTTTACAAAATAGCATTCCTACAGAACACAGCAATGGTAAGGGGACAAGAACTAGAAAGAAGAAATTTGTATACTTTTCAGACTTTTTGGCTTTGTGGTGCTGGTGCTCAACTGTAGTGTCTTATACATGCTGGGCAAACACTGAGCTCCACTCCCACCCAGCACCATGTTTTCAGAACTACTTCTCTAAAATTAAAAATAAAATGCCATTTAAAAAGATGTATCTCAGTGTCTGAAGAGATGGCTCAGTGGTTAAGAGCACTTGTTCTTCCAGAGGATCTGAGTTTGGTTCCTATTGTTCTTCCAGAGGATCTGAGTTTGATTCCTAGCACCTCCGTCGGTTGTTCACAACCACCTGTAAACTCCAGTTCCAGGAGAGCTGATGCCTCTGGCCTCCATGGACATTCACATGGCATGTGCATGCAAACCCACACACAATAAGAGTAAATCTTGAAACTCAAAAGTCTTGGGTGATGGAGAGACAGCTCAGCAGAGGACTGGATTTGTAGCCCAGCACCCACATGGTAGCTCACAACTGTTAAGAGAAGCTTTTCCTTTTGCTAGCCGCTTTGGTTTATCACCCGCCAGTCGCCTGGGCTCTGCAGCGTATCAGTCCCAAATAAACACACAGGAGGCTATATTAATTATGAAGCTGTTGGCCTTGCTTGTCTCTTACAGGCTAGCTCTGCCTTAAGTAATTACCCCATAATTGTTAATCTAAGTATGTTTCTTACCGGAGACTAGTTCCCGGTGTCCTACCCCCGTGGCGTCACATGTTGACTCTCTTGTGTTTCCCCTTCCCAGAATCCTCCTCGACTCCTAGTCCCTCCTATCTAGGTTTTCTATTGGCCAGACAGTACTTTATTGACAAATGCACAGGCAAATAACAGGACTTCCCCAACACACAACCATCCTTAACTCTAGTTCCAGAGGATCTGGTGTTCTTTTTTACTTCATTGAGCTCCAGGCATGCACATGGTGCATACACACACACACACACACACACACACACACACACACACACACACACACACATATGCTGGCAAAACAGGCATACATAGGCAGGTGTTCAGGTGTCTGTGGAGGCCAGAAAAGTGTGCCAGATCCCCTGGAGCTGGAGTTACAGGTTGTTGTGATCCTGTTGACATGTGCTGGGCACTGACTCAGGTCCTCTGAAAGAACAGCAAGTGTTCTTAATTGGGAAGCCATTTCTTCAGTCCCAAATAAAGTATTCTCTTTTATAAATGCTGTGGCCAGTAAGAAACATGCAGACCTTAGTGCACAAGCGTTTGTTAAGTGAATATCTTCTTCAGTATGGTTGTGTTGTATCTGGTGGGGATGTCTTCAGAATGGCTGTGTTGTAATGTTCTGTAGCTTTGGAATGTGCTTTTCAGCAGAACTTTGCCTGTCTCTGTCTTCTTACATGGTAGCTGTATTTGCTACTAAGCACTTGGTGCAACTAAGGAACTGCATTTTAATTAACTCAAATTTAAATATCTACACAGTGGCTAGCAGCTGCCTAAATGGACTGTGCATCTCTATAATTGTCATGGAGGTGATTGGTATTGTTTGCTGTAGCAACTTAGTCTTCAAAAATAATAAATTATGAAATTATATTTCTTTGGTAAGGTTCAGTATGGGCTTTATAATATAACATTGTTCTTTGGCATAAAAAACGAGGTACAAAGTAATGCTGAGAGACATTCACTTTAGATGTGGTAAGGTATTCTCTCTACATAGAATGCACCTTCAGACTGCGTTTTCTTTGGGTGTTGCTCCTCTTTGTGTCGGGAGCTATGTTGAACTTCTGTTTCTGCACAGGTTCATCTGTTGAGTAAGAAATCTGCAAGACTGACTTCTCGCTGTTTGCAGCACCGTTCCCAAATGAAAACATCTAACTGCTGATTCTTTGTCTTTGTCAGTTTGCACCTGGCTTTCAGGTAGGGGATGGAATCGGAATGGATTTAAAACTGTCCAACCATGTTTTCAATGCCTTAAAACAACATGCCTACTCGGAAGAGCGTCGAAGTGCCCGTCTCCACGAGAAGAAGGAGCATTCTACCGCTGTAAGCATTCTTAGCACCTCGCTCACTTTGGTGGAAAGAATAAGACAAAACTTCATGATTTATTTTCTCCCTATCCCTGGAATTAGCTTTTCAAATCAATGCTATTCAAGTGACTTTGCTTTTTGGCATATTTTACTTAACATAATTTAGTTCATCAGTTATTTAAAACCCACATTATGGAGTTTTAAGTTTCTAGAAGCAGTGCTGCCGGGCACTTAGGATTTGGCATAGAAGGTGAAGCCACTCTTCTGGTATGACCCCTCATATGAGAGCAGTGCCCAGGACAGCACCCGTAGCTCAGCCTCCAGCAGTGACATCATCTGCAGTTGGGGCACCTTCTGTTGCACCCCAGGAGCCAGGTGTGGTGGCCCAGGTAGCAACCACTGGAGCTGGTGGTGTGGCTTCCAACTCACCTGTCAGGCACACACTGGCCATGCTGTCCCCAGAGACTTCAGTGGAGGTAGTACTATTGAGCCTTCAAGCCCTGCCATCATTTACTGAGACACATGTGGGACCCAAGGAGCTTAGCAGAAACAGTTGGTGGCCCTGGACTTCATGTGCTTCCACAAGTTTTAGAGTGTGAGGACCTTATGGGGGTAACCCTGCTAGGATGTTAGTAAAGAGGGGTAACCATTCAGGCCTGCCTGGGACTAGTCTGGTCAGGGAGTTCAAAGTGAACTGAGGTAGCTCGTGTCTATAATACCAGAGCTTTGAATTTGCGGTTGAGCAAATGGTTATATGGGCCCTTAAGCCATATGAGTGATAGCATTTGTGAATTAATTAGAATAAAGGTTTTTTTTTTTCCCTAAAAGGTTATGTTTAGTGACAGTAGTTTGGAGTATACACTGTATATTTGGTTGAATGTTGCAGATATTTAAAGATCGATTTTATGTGTATGGGTTTTTTGTCTGCATATGTGTCTTTGTAACATGTAGGTGCCTGGTGCCCTTGGATCCCCTGGGACTGGAGTAACAGACAGTTGTGAATTGACGTATGGGTGCTGGGAATTGAAATCAGGTCCTGTAGAAGAGCAGTCGGTGCTCTTAACTGTTGAGGCATCTCTCCAGCCCAGATGTTCAGATTTAAAAAAAATTTTTTTTAATTACATTGACACTTGTAACTACTTGAGCTTAACAATCTCTAATGTTTTACATTTAAAGAGATAATACCTATTTTGGAAATAACAAAATTACTGGACTCTTTAAGACACTAGTCTTTTATATTAATGAAGATAATATGTACTATTTTAACAAGTGAATTTACTAAACTCTTTGAAAAGCTGAAAGGACTGAAGATGGCTCAGCACCCTCATCAGGCAGCGGACAACTGTTTGTAACCAGCTCCAGGGGATGCTTCCGGCATGACATGCACATACACATAAATTAATAATAATACCAGAGAGCTGCTTAGACTTAGTTGGTAAAATAAGGTTTTGCATAAACCAATGTTTGGGTTTTGATGTATTTTAACTTCCAGTTTATTTTTTAAGGACAGAATGTGGAAGTTATTGCCAAAAAGCCCCCCTTAAAGAGGTAGGGAACCTTATAGGTACACAGGGCAAGATGTCACAAGTTTGATACTGGATCAGAACTAGAAGGGAGAAATTGTTGTATCATGGCCTCAAAATACTCCATAGGTATTGTATGAGTTCTACCTTCATAAAAGACAGTAAAGGGACCTGGGTCCCCAGGGGGTGGTACCTAGCTAGATAAAGAAGATGCTACAGGAGAACCAAGAAGTCAAGGGCTAGGAGAGGGGAGGGATTTTGTGTATAGATTAAATCTAAGATTGACCATCTATACACGCCTGCCTGGCATCCCGGTTTTACCAGTCACCACCTGTGTTCACTGTCCCGCTCCATGTCTGCTGTAATCTTGGCATGTGTCCGCACCACAGTCCTGGCCGTAGCGTGGGGGCTGGGGAGGAGCACATGGATGCAATAGGAAGGAGACGGAAGGTAATGTGACCCCCTCACTCCTCTAGTGCCTTCCCATGTTTCGTCTCTGGAGGGAAGCTGTGGTGATGTCTCCCATTCAATTTTTATTCTCTGGGGCTAATTGTTTATCTTGGAACAAAATTAGGAGTTACCAGGGTGAACATTCCAATGGGCAGAAGTGTGTCTTATGTCCTCTGAATTTGATATTAACCGTTACTGGAGCCATGGTGTCACCCCGGACCATCACTGTTCTGTAACCTGTGTACTTTAACGTCTTCCTGGGAGGAGAGGGAAGAGTGGATGAGTGTCAATGTATGGTACCAGCAGGACTCGGTTTGGTTTTCCTTGAAGAGACTACTTTCCAGACCCACATCATCTCCCACTGTGGGGAGAGGAGCTAGGAAGCCAGGAGTGCTGCGAGGGGGAGGTGAGGCCCTTGGTGAGAGCATGTGCTTTGGGGAGGCTAGTCTCCTGATGTGTCCAGCACAGAGGGAGGCTGCGGTGCACTGCAGGAGGGTGAGCAGGAGCTCCCTGGAGCTCATTGTGGAGGCAGCTGCTGAGTGTTCATCCTCAGATGCTTCCAGAGCAGATTATGTGGGCCCAGCCAGGGAGTGAGCTGAGCCTGAGGCACTTCCACACGATCTTTGCCTTGTGTCCACATCCAAACACTCCGTCTCGAGAGCTCCATGCTCTACCATCTTGGGTTTTGTCCCTCACTGACTCCTAACCTTTGACAATGGGTTATTGTGGTGTTGCTGTCAGCACTTATCATCCCTTTGGGGCTATTCCTCAAGAAGCTCTGACCCCTGAGGTTGTCTGCCACTCTATGGTTTGGACTTGGGACTGTCACCAAACCCAGCTCTTTGGCCTCATGACACTGGAACTGAAATCCAGCGGCCCCTGAGGAAAGAACTGTATTGTGACCATGCTCTTCTAAGAACCTGATTTCAAAAGCGAATCTTTTATGATGAGCATTTCTTTTTTTTTTTTTTTTTTGTTGAGCATTTCCACTTACAGTACTTTATCTCTTACAGGAAAAAGCAGTTGATCCTAAGACACGCTTGCTTATGTATAAAATGGTCAACTCGGGATTGCTGGAGACAATCACTGGCTGTATTAGTACAGGAAAAGAATCTGTCGTCTTTCATGCGTATGGAGGGAGGTAAATGAACAAACACCTTTCTCCTCAGGACTGATGGATTTCATATAATCAAACTTACATAGCAAGAAGAGTCGTTATTGTAGAAAGCATAGACATTATTTATTTGTACTTGAAAGAATTCAAATGCTTATTGGTCAAGCCTTTGCCTTTAGTTTTCTTAACTGTAACTATCTTTACACACACACCCATAACACACAAACATACTAAACTGGATCGTTAAGTCCAAAAAAACGAAGAGAATAGAAAGCAGTGTTGGGTCTGGGGATGCAGCTCATTGGTAGAGCTCATGCTTAGCATACATAAACCCTGGGTTCAATCCCCAGCACCAAAAAAAGGGACGGGGGGGGAGTATGGGAAGGGATTTGTACTTTTCTACTTCTGACTGGGAACAAATTATACTAAAACCTCACTTGGAAACTGCCCCTCACCTCATGGGATTTTTGTGGGACTCAATGAGATCTTATTTTGTAATTCATTTAATTAATCTTAAGGAACATTTATTTCTTCCTTTATAATTTTGAGTTCAATCTTTCAGAAGTTTGTTTGCATTTGTTTATATGTGATCTTTTCCCTCCGTTAACATACCTTTGCCTTTTAGGTATTAGTAGACAGTCAATATTTGTGGACTGCAACATCCCTTTTAAAGTTTTATATTTATGTGTATGCGTATACACTCCAGTGACTGTAATAGGCCAGGCGGCATTGGATTCCCTGGAGCTGGAGTTAAAGGTGGTTGTGAGCTGTGTGATGTGAGTGCTAGAACTGGAAGTTCAGCATGTGCTCTTGACCTCAGCCATCTCTCCATTCCCAGACCATGCTGCTTTAAATAGCATTATGGGAATATAGGGGGAGATCCTTGAACTTAGATGTATTTCACAGCTATACCCTTAAGCTAAATTCCTAATGAAATTGCTGTGGAGATACTGTATGCCTTGTTTCTCCTTTTTGTTAAATGGTTAGTGAAAGGCTTCACTGAATGGAGAGCTGGGTTTGCTCTGAGCTGGCTAGTGTATCAGGCAATGTTTGTTGGGATTTCATGTTTTTTTTCCTTTGATTTTTTTTAATGTATGAAAATTTTCATTAAAAGTTAAACAATATATTTCTTGGGGCCAGAGAGTTGGTTCCGAGGTAAAGTGCTTGCTGTGCTGTGCAAATGTGAGGACTGGAGCTCCCTGTGCTCCTAGGGTAGGATGGAGTGGAGACAGGAGAATCCTGGAAGCTCACAGGTCAGCTAGCTTGGCTTACAGAGAGGCAGTGAGACTCTGCCCCAAGGTAGAAGGACCAACACCCGGGTTGTCTACTGACCCTCACTCACACAAACACGTCCATAAAAGGAAAATACATATTTTCTAATATGTCACCACAACAGTCAGATTCGCCATAAAAGGAGGTCACGACACCAAGAACAGTTATGACCAGTGAAAGATAATTATATGACAAAGCATGTATTTATATAAGACCACAGTAGGGTAGGAAGAGACATACAGCAAGATCATTACCAGATACATTCAGGGAAGGCATCATGATGAAGTTAGATTTCTGATCACATTTTAAAAGTAAGCAAAAAATCCGTTGTTGACAGCCAAAGGCTAGTTGAAGAAGTACATAGCACATACATCATCTATAGCAGCTTGTCTATATAGATATTTCTGTATATGTATTAGTCAGATTTCTTTAAAGGGACAGAAATGATAGCATTATACACACACATACACATATGCACATGCACGTATGTGCCCACACATGAGTAGCTCACAGGCTGTGATCTGTTAGCCCAACAATGGATGTCTCCTGATGGATGGAAAGGCCAAGAACCTGATAGTTGTTCAGTCCAGGAGGCTGGATGTCCGGCTGTCCTAATCTGGTGCTGGAGTCCCTGGGAATTCCTAGAGAGCAGCTGGTCTTAAGTCTGCACTGGAATCATGAAGAAGTATGTTCTAACACTAGTGACAGGATGCCTCAGCAGGAGGCAGGAGAGTGAGGGCAAGAAGGTCTTCCTTGCCCTTTTCTATGGGCTGCCACCAAGAGGTGTGGTCCACCCACCTCAAGTGATCTGATCAAGAAAATCTCTCATAGCATGTCAACTGCTTGGGGTTTGATTCCCAATGTTTTCAAGTGACAGCCAAGATTAGTCAGAACTATGACAGTACTCACCCCAGGAGAGCTGGGGAGGGAGGGAGTCTGCCTCAGGCTTGTAGTAAAGGCTTCAGCTCTGTCTATAATTTTATTACATAACTTCAACTTTGTGCTAATCACCAAATGTATAATTTTTACCTGACAGTAAATGGTAGAGGTACAGAGTATAGTATGGTCTAAACACAGTATATGTAGTTAAGTAGGGCTTTAAGCCAGGCAAAGGAAGCCAGACAGGGTGCACATAGGTAGTCCCAGCCTCTTAGGAGTTTAGAATCCACTGGAACAATAGCAAGACCTGTTCTGGGGGAGAGAAGGAGCTGGGCATGTGGTACATACCATAATCTCAGACAGGATTTCAAGCTCGTCCTCAGCTACACAGTAAGCGTGGGGCAAGCCTGGGCTCCCTAAGTCCTTGTCTCAGAAAATTAGCAGAGGGATATGTAATTTGCATAAGGTACATGGAGTGTTTTGCTAGGAGAATGATGAGATGTTGAAATTGGACTCTGTATGTCTGTGGATTTATTTAATAGGGTTCTGTTTACTGTGTGGGAAACATCCAATGACAGGAAGCTCAGAGTTTAGCCCATTCTGTCTGATAACTTGTTTAGGGTGTTGGGAACATTTCTGTGTACAGTCTCCAATACTTGAGCAGCTTCCATGGCTGGGTCCTGGGTTCTAGGTCTTGGAAGTCCCTGCTCTAACACAGTGCACTTCCTATTACCAACCTGCACTCAAAGTTTTAATCATAGACACATCAGATATGTGCTGTACAGCACTTAAACAGGGCAGTGTCATGGATTTGATGAATAGAACAGGGACGTCTGATGAAGTAACTTGAGGACATACCCAGTATAATGGAAGATCAGGTTGAACTGCATTGCAGACTAGAAAGAGGAGGCCTGGAAGCAGCAGGGGCTAGGACAGGAAGGACTGCAAACCTGGAAGGGGTTTGCACAGTGGGAACCAAAGATGGGATTTTTATTTTTGAAAGATGACTTGGGTTGCTAGAAGGAAAATGAATGATAATTTAAGAAGTCTTGGCTGTGAATGTAGTTCAGTACTTATATAGCATGGAGAGTCCTGGGTTCAAGCACTAGTACCATGGAAAAGACTTCATGGCACTTTAAATAAACCACTGTGTTGGTTTAGTCTCAGTGGTAATGAAGTAAAGAATAGGAATCTAGCCAGGCAGTGATGGCGCACACCATCCTAGTACTGAGTTTGAGTCCAGTCTGGTGAACAGGATAAGTTCCAGGACAGGCAGAGTTGCACAGAGAGACCCTGTCAAAACAACAACAAAGAATAGGAATCTATGTTTGGAAAGTACAGTCAACAGTCTTCTGTTGGATTGGATATGGGGTGAGACCCTAGGGGAAAGTAATCTAGGCAGCTGCCATTGGGGTTTGTTCTGGGCATGGAAAATTTAAAGACACCTGTTAGACATCCAGGCAAACCAAGTGTGGGTTGTAAAGGGGCCTGGCATTCCTGAGAGTGAGTGCTCTCCATAGAGGATATGGCTTTGGATATGACATGGCACAGGAGAAGGTTCATAGAGTTTGCAAAAGGACTCTGACCTTTAGAGGGTGAATGGAGAAGTAGCCATTAGAGTGTAATACAGAAAGAGGTTGCTGGTTTATTCTCATTCTGTCCTCTGGAAGCATTTCTTTTCTCTTTAGCTTAGTGTGCCTGCAGGTATTTGGAAGTAAAACCGCTATAGCTTAGATCACCTTCTTATTACTTCCTACTTAGTTCCGGAATCAAACCTCTCGAGCCAGCCCCAGCCTCTGCCTCCCTTGCACTCCGGTCACTCGACCCTCATGAAGTGTCTTGAGAGTACCGTGTTCACAAGCCCTCATGGTTCCTGCTGGCTTTGGAGCAGTGTCCACGCTCTTTGCAGTCTGCCTCCCTCTCGTCTGCTATATCCACCTTCATTTCTCTCCTTAGGCGAGGTTTAACTGCAGTGTCTCAGGTTCCTCAACAGCCCCCGAGTCTTGTTGACACTGTTCAAATCTGCTTGTTTGCAGTGCCCGTACCTCCAACAGCCTTGCTTGCTCTCCTAGGACACTCATATGCTGCTTCCGTTCTCTCCCGCCTCTGCATACTCACAGGGCAGGGCACTTACCTTACACATCTACTGAGAAAGAAGGATTGTTTTAGAAGGTTGCTCGATGTGTTCATTTTGATGCGTTTTGTCCCCAAATCATCCAAGCTCATAGTAGTTTGTTTTAAGAAGTATGTTTTCCTATTATTTGTCAAACTTGATTCTATAGTGATGAAATTCAGAACATTATAGTGTAGATTGATGAAAAGTATCTGACAGTTTATCTGAAAGGACGCTTTTTAAAAGAAACAAACCAGCTAGGAGCAACAATGTCTATCTGTAGTTCCAGATCCTGGGAAAGCTGTGTCAGGATGATCACTAGGCCATCTGAGGAAACATGGCAAACTCCCTAAAGCCTAGTGTTTTATTACGATACAAAACTTGAAGGTTTTTTAAAAATAGGCAGAGTAGGATGTTTTGAAACATGGTAGGTAAACTTAAGTAGAATGGAGCCTGAGATGATCTTACAGTGAGCTGATAACCTGCTGACTTTGTTCTTCTTCCCTTCAGCCTAGAGGATGACAAGGAAGATGGTAAAGCTATACCAACCGAATGTGCCATCAAGGTATTTAAAACAACCCTTAATGAGTTTAAGAATCGCGACAAATACATTAAAGATGATTTCAGGTTTAAAGATCGCTTCAGTAAACTAAATCCACGTAAGATCATCCGCATGTGGGCAGAGAAAGAAATGCACAATCTTACAAGGTAAAGAAAACAGTGGTGTGGCAGGTGACCTTAGGAATTGCCCTTTGCACCAGGACTGCTAGCCAGGTCGAGCCCCGTGCTATCTTTGAAGCTGATTTACAGAAATAACAAAAGGCCTTGACTTTCAAGTGCTCCATAAGGCTTTTTGTCACAAAACATTCCCATGCCTTGAACCAGAATTCAAACTTTGTGAATGAAGAGGCATTTTCCTTCTTTAGTGACATTCAAGGGAAACTGAGGCATCGTCTGTGCAGGTGTTCTATCCTGTATGAAAGCTCTGAGGAAAGTCTTTCTGAGGAATCGCCCAGCCTTTATACAATGCCCTTCCACCTGTCAAGTTTCCCTACCTCTAAGGGCTGTATCTTATTGGTTTTGTATTCCCATATCTCCTGGTTAGAACGTAGTATCAGCTCAGCACAGGCCCTAGTTAGGTGTTTGCTGAATTAATGGCATGTTTTCTCCTTCTGATCTTCTTATTCCTAATCATTTCTTTCTATACAGAATGCAGAAGGCTGGAATTCCTTGTCCAACAGTAGTACTACTTAAGAAGCACATTTTAGTTATGTCTTTCATTGGCCATGATCAAGTTCCAGCCCCTAAACTAAAAGAAGTACAGCTTAGTAGTGAAGAAATGAAGGACGCCTACTATCAGACTCTCCATGTAAGTTGTGCCTTACAGCTCCTACATACTGTCTTATAAATACATTTCTTGTACCTAAGTTAGAGTGTGCTTGTAGTCCCAGCTACTTGGGAGCTGAGGCACTTGAGCTGGCTGTTCAACCTAGGGAACATAGCACAAGAGCCTATCTTACTAATGGTGATAATTTTTTAAAACTATGGGATCATATTTTTGAAGGTAGCATAAGAAGGATAAACAGAATTTTTGTGAAGGATCGTTGACATTGAAGTTGTCTTTTAGATAGGCATGATGGAACACACCTGTGCAGTTGCAAAGGATAGTCACAAGTTCCAAGCCAGCCTTGTCTGTAGTAAGCTTCAGTCAAGTAAACTATACATTAAGACACTGTCTGAAGAGGCTAGTCTTTAAAAAAATTAGGCTCAAGGATCTCAAGTTGAGGCCAGCTTGAACTCCTTAGTGAGACCCTATCTCAACAAAAAAGTTGTTTTCATGTCTATTTGTTTGTGCTGAATGATTTTAGAAAACTTTAAGATATTCATGGAGCAAGAGCAAGCTTCATGCTTAGCATTACTGACTTAGAATATGAAACCATTTTTTCACAGGACTTCTTCAGTCAAGTTTAGCAGATGGAATCCCTTTGTCTGACTCCTAAAAGTTATGGTTCTTCAGCAGTAATGAAAGGGTCTACGTGATCCACGGTGGTGTACACCTTTAATCCCAGGACTTACTACTTGCCTGGTGGAGTTTCAGAATAGCCAGGGCTACCTAGAGAAACCTTGTCTCAAAAAACCAAAAAAAAAAAAAAATAAGAGAGAGAGAGAAGAAAGGGGCTACAGCTATTGTTGGGAAGTGAGAGGGAAGCAGATGTTGTTAAGGCACAGTGATGATGAGATTAAAGATGGTGGGAGTGACAATAGCAGGGGTACAGGTGCTAAGTTGGAGAGCCAGTGTCAGGAATCTTGACAGTTACTTGTGTTTGGGGACAACAACTAAAGTAGGTTTGAAGCCTCCAGCTTAAAATGTCCCTGATGCTGTCGTAATTCCTCTGCAGTGTTTTCAGTGAACACTGGAGAAACTTGGGTATGTGTCACATGGTGTCTGTATGGAACCTTTGGGTCAATCAGCTGATAGGAATATAAAAGTACTGTCCAGTAATTTGTTCAGATCCAATGGAGGGCCTGAGTTTACGTGGTGCAGATAGCCTAGCCTTGGTTTCTTCACAGTGCTTCTGGTTGCTGATACAACAGGGAACTTGGGGGCATGAAGTGGATTCAAAGCCAGTGTATTCTGTGCAAGCTCAAAACTGAGTTTGCACCCCTAGTGTCCCTGAAAAAGCCCAGTGTGTGCCTTAACCCCAGCCCTGAGGAGAAAGCAGGAGGATCCCCGGACCTTGCTGGCCAGCTAGTCTAGCTGAATCTGTGAATAGTGAGAGACCTTGTCTCAAGAACTAAGGTGGAGGGCTGGAGAGATGGCTCAGAGGTTAAGAGTACTGACTGCTCTACCAAAGGTCCTGAGTTCAATTCCCAGCAACCACATGGTGGCTCTCAACCATCTGTAATGAGACCTGGTGCCTTCTTCTGGCCAGCAGGCATACATGTAGGCAAAACACTGTACATAATAAATAAAAACAAACAAATAAATAAAAGAAGTATGTCTTATTTTAAAAAAAAAAAGAACTAAGGTGGAGAGCAGTAGGGAAAGACACCTGACATGGATCTCTGGCTTCCACATGCATGCATGTACACCCCACATGTACATTCGTGAACACAAGAGATTCTTCACTGCCAGGAGAAGAACAGTGAAAAAGAAACCCTTTTCTGCTTTGGGCAGTGGGGAGACTGGGGACGAGATGAAGTGATGAGCCTCTGTTATAGAGTTCTGTTAGGGGTAGCAAACGAAGTTTTCAAGTGTAAAGTTAGGGGTTATCGTTAGTGATGAATATGGGATGCTGTTTAATTTAAAAGGCTGGAAATCACATGTGCTACACACTGCGAGTCTCAGCACTTAGGAGTCTGTGGCAGAAAGTTCATGAGTTCAGGACTGTCCTAGGCTATATACCAAGATACTGGCTCACAAACAAGAACATCTCTTCTACCATCACTGGCAGGAAATATTTTCCACTCGGGATTGCGTATCCTCCATGGAGGTCTTAGTGGGACACTTGTCCTTTTACAGAGGAAGTGGCTTGCCTTGGTCCCCTGGTTAGGCAATTGGAATCTGAGCATTGGCCTGGTTCTATTGTCACAGCAAGGAAGCAGAATGGCATGCAGGAATTCTGTGACAGTGTCTTCCTATCCCCCATTCTCTCAAACAGCACTAATACAACAACAGAAGTGTAGTCCTATTACATAAAAGAGAGGGGGTAAGGGTTTGGGTTGATGCTATGACTCAGCTATAGAATGCGTGTATGTGTGTTTGGGTTCAGTCATTAGTGGGACCAGAACAAAATTTTGTTTTTATTTTGGTTTTTGTTTTCCAAGACAGACTTTTCTTTGTGTAGCCTTGGCTATCCTAGAACTAGTTCTGTAGACTAGGCTGGCCTTGAACTCACAGAGATCTACCTGCTGCCTCCTGAATACTGGGATTAAAAGTGTCACCGTCACCCATGAAATAGGTTTTTAACTTGGTTCTCTGGGAGGTATTTGTTGACACATTCATTTTAACTAGTAATTTAGTTTATTTAATAGAGATATATTAGAATTGTGCCCTCATTTCCCTTCTTACATTTCCCTTCTTACAGCTGATGCAGCAATTATATAATGAGTGTACCCTTGTGCACGCTGACCTCAGCGAGTATAACATGTTGTGGCATGCTGGAAAGGTAAGTAGCACATTTCATTTAATATTCAGACTACATGTCCTGGTGTAAATTATTGATTGTAAATAAATCAATCTGTGCTTTATGTTAACTAGGTCTGGTTGATTGATGTCAGTCAGTCTGTAGAACCAACTCATCCTCATGGCCTGGAGTTCTTATTCCGTGACTGTAGGAATGTTTCACAGGTTGGTGTACAAAGCAGTGTCTTCTAAAGGATGTAACAGGTTCAAATATTTTTCTCACTCCTAAGAAGGGATGCCAGCTACCTTCAGGATAAGGAGATAAAGGAGAATTTTCAGAACTCACTCATTCATGGACTCGTGAGGTCATGACTCATGTGGCCTCCATTTCTAAGAGATTAAGTTTTGGTTTGGCTCCTGCTATTTTAGGAGTGAGTAGACTTAATGCATGCGTAGTGCACACACCAAAGCTGGCCTGTGGTAAGCCCGAGTGCTTCCTCCCGTTACTGTTCTGAAGGAGGGGGAGGAGGGAGGAGGAGGGGAAGAGGGATGGGGAGGAGGGGGATGGCCTCCTCGACAGGACAGTGTTCTCTACTCACTGTCACTTCAAGGTAGAATGACAACATTTTGAAATTCACTCCTTAAGCACAAAGTTTGGTCCCATCTGGTTCCCATTTCTTTTGTCTATTTGTGGGTTTTTTGTTGTTGTTTTTGTTATGGTTTTTTTTTTTTTTTTTTGAGACGATTTCTCTGTAGCTTTGGAGCCTGTCCTAGAATTCACTCTGTGGACCAGGCTGGCCTTGAACTCACAGAGATCCGCCTGCCCCTGTCTCCCGAGTGCTGGGATTAAAGGCGTGCGCCACCACCCAGCCTGGTTCCCATTTCTAAGGGAAAGGACTTGCTAACTACAGATGTAAGGGAGAGAATAACCTATGGGTAACCTGTGGGCCTGCATAAAAATTGTAATTCATGGGATTTAGTGAATGTATTACATCCGTCCCCACAGAAAAGTGCCAGACTCATTGTACACAGGGCACCACGTTCATAACAGAAGAGGTACCAGGAAGCGGAAGAGTTGTCGACACATTCTACATTGTCTGTAGAGCCTGGGCTAGTTAACCTTGAGAGGGAAACCTTAATGGCTGCAAATGGTGAAGGATGTAGTGCAGCTTATGCGTGCTGGTTTGTGAGAACTTTGCTGGTGTTCTAACTGTTTGTGTGTCATTGCTAGTTTTTCCAGAAAGGAGGAGTGAAGGAAGCCCTTAACGAGCGGGAGCTGTTCAATGCTGTTTCTGGCCTGAACATCTCAGCAGACAACGAAGCTGATTTCTTAGCTGAGGTGAGTGGCTGGCACACAGCTTTTTGTCTGCTGCTGCTGCTGGAGAGAGCTGCCCAGAGGAGCTCAGTCCTCGATGGACACTCCTTCAAACCCCAGGTCTTCCTTCTCTCTACATGGTTTCTTTTCAGGCACGAAACTTACCACACACACACACACACTCTCTCTCTCTCTCCAGGTATGAAACTTACCACACACACACTCCAAACACATGTCTTCACAGAGTTCATCATAGTTTGGTTAAAATGGGTGTGGTACATATCTTTTATCCCAGCATTCAGGAGGCAGAAGCAGAAGGAGCTCTGTCAGTTTCAGGGCAGCTTGGCCTAGATGGCCAAGCTCTAGGGGAGCCTAAGGCCAGGCAGGAAGTGGCAGAAAGCTGGTAGCACAGTCAGCTGGTGTTGACACTGTTGAATGGACGCTTTATCCAGTGCACAGCAAGATTGCCAGAGTTTAGTTCCTGGCTTCATAAAGATACTAGTACTAACCTTGGTAATATAACCAAGTGAAAAGCAAATAGGTGTATTTGCACACATCTCACACGTGTGCAAAGAGGGTGGGGAGAGGAAGAAGAGGGGTAAGAGAAAGATTCTAATTTCAAGACCAGCACGTCAGGAAAGGCCAGCAGGGTGTTAGGGAAAATACCACCTCGGTCGGTACAATTGTATAGTCAGAACTTGACAAAGGGTTTAATGTATTGGTTCTGTAGATAGAAGCTTTGGAGAAAATGAATGAAGATCATGTGCAGAAGAACGGAAGGAAAGCAGCCGCGTTTCTGAAAGACGATGGAGGGCCACCTGTGCCGTATGCAGACTAGCACCAGCGCCTGCTCCCCGCCAACAGCAGTGACCGCCAGCTGCCGGCAGCCAACCAGTGGGGTGACTTGAAATACCAAAGCAGGAGTGCACGTGCTGCTCCTGTGGTCCCACTTGTGACCCACGCGCCAGATGTGGGGAATTTTTAACTCGGCATTGAAAGAATAAAATGTCACTACCTCTCATCTCATCCAAAGGATAATATGATTCTTTAACAGGTAGAATGTCTAGTTGAAGGAGTTTGGATCTTACACCACTCGTGGTCTGAAATATCTTGATGAGGATTTTAAACGTAGGTAGTGTTAAATGTGGGGGAGCTGTGAGGCATTTACTGGGGAGGGTTGCTGGCTGCACCGCGCCCCTCTCGCCTGCTTCCTGTCGTGTCTTTCTGCAAACGCTGTCGTTCTAATTTAGCCCTTCTCAGCTGCTCTGAAATGGGGATTTGTTTCACAGTGGATGGTGGAAATAGACATGAGCAGTGTACCTTCTAGTGGTTCATCACAAAAATGTATGGAATTCTACATTTCCATCTCATACCCAGGAAAACGGCAGCTTTCTGAAAGATAAATATAGAAGGATTTCTTAACTAAATTTTAAATTTTAACTTGGGTTTTTTTTTTCATTTAGATTAAGTGGTTGGGAAGTAATTCATCTGCATTTATAATGAAAATACAAAATATTTGGAAGGACAGACTACAAGAATTGTATTTGATACATTTTAAGAAGGCAATGAAACTAATTTCAGTTTGCAGTTTCTTAAAATTGTCTACATATTGATTGCTAGTTGTTTTCAGAGACAGAGAGAGAGAGAGAGAGAGAGAGAGAGAGAGAGAGAGAGAGAGAGAGAGAGAGAGAGAGAGCGCAAAGTAATTGGAGCTGTTAAATAAGTGCAAGACAACTTGAGTTGTGTGCAGAACAACTCCAAGTAACAAGTGAACCAAGCAGCTCAGCCGCTCAGCCTCTGTCTGCCAGCCTTTCCACTGGCTAGACTCTGCTTTGAGAAGTGAGCGGTGTCCCGGACGCCATTGGTTGCTTGCTGTCGCTCCATTAGCCTCCCTATTACCCCAGGTCCAGGAGTCAGACTGGATCGATAAACAGCCTAACTCTGTCTGGTTATAAAGATTAAAAACGTAATTTATGTTTGAAAGATTTTAACATTATTTTAAAATGTCAAATGTTCTTTGTAGGGCTATTTATTTTTGTTTCTGTTATACTGCTTTAGTTGCATTTCTGAGGAGTGTGACTTTAGGTAGCTTATCCCACCCTGAGGTATTTGCTACTCGGCAACAAAGATTTAAATGATGACTAATTATTGGCTGCACAAAAATTCGAGAGAACTCACTTGAAACAATCATTTAAAACTTTGTTTTCTTTCTTGACATAGTCATTTTCAAACCATTGCTTGGAGTGTACTGTGACTTTGCCTTTCAAGAAATTAAAAATGGGATCATTTTAGAATTGGTTCATTGTGTGATTTATTCCTATTCCTTATTTTAATGTTTTGGCCCCAAGACAACCTTTCTGTGGCAAAACAAACAGTGCTATTTTAAATATATACACATACACACCTCTGTTTGAGTTTTACTCACAAAATACTTCACATTATAAATAAGTTTGTCCCTCTTGTGAGGTCAGGACATTTTTTCACATAGCAGAAAATGATGTTGAAGGTAGTGGTTTGATAAATAGTCCAGTAGAGTGTGTATGTTTAAGTAAATAGGAATATTTTGTCTCACTTTATTGATGTTGAATATAAATGACTGTAAAAAATTAAGTTTCCATCATAAGGATGATTGGAAAGAATTTCTATTTCAGTAAGATAATTAATTCATTACTAGTTTTCTTGATGTATATATAAAGAATTAGACCCCAGTACTTGAAGGTAGAGGTAGACTCTGTAAGCTTAGGCCATCTAGTCTATATAAGGAGTTCCACACCAGCCTAGGACACATAGTTAGACCCTGTCTCACAAACAAAAATCCCAGCACTGTGCAGGCGAGGCAGGAGGATTGCTACAAGTTTGAGGCCAGCCCTAGACTCTGCCTATGAAAACAAAGTAAAGGGCTGGAGAGATGGCTCAGTAGTTAAGAGCACTGACTGCTCTTTCAGAGGTCCTGAGTTCAATTCACAGCAACCACATGTGGCTCACAACCATCTATAATGGGATCTGATGCCCTCATCTGGCATCAAGACATACATGCAGATAGACCACTCATACATGAAATAAATGTGTTAATAAAACAAGTAAAATGATGGACAGAAGAATGGAGTCAGGCAGCTGATGGGGAGATGTTACGTGATGCTGACTCCCTTAGGAAGATGGAGACTGGTGGCTTGAATGACATGCTCCATAGGCTTATATATATATATATGAATCCTCGGTCCCCAGTTGATGGAGCTGCTTGTGGACTATTAAGAGGAGTGGCCTTGTTGGGGAAGGTGTGTCACTGCGGGTGGGCTCTCCAGACTGGCCATCAGACAAGATTCCTGTCTGCACATTCCAAGCATTTCTAGCACTTTTGAAATATGGAGATGACACTCATCTGATTACATTAATGGTTTATGGAGGTATATACTTTTCTATTGGATTGTTGTAGGACCTACATTAAGCTTTAGTAAGAGTTGGGGCTCGTGAGATGACTCAGTGGGTAAAGGCACTTTCTAACAAGCCTGATCACCTGAGTTTGATCTCTGGGATTCACATGATGTGGTCAGCTGCATGCTAGTCACCCAAAGGGCTAATTGGGACTGGACAGTCTACTTCCAAAGTGGCCCCACTCGTGTATGGGTGGAAAAATTCTACCTATGGTGTCTGGGGTGCTGGAGTTTTTGGTAGGGAGTGTGATGAGACTCACCAGTGACACATTAATGGGAATACCACACCTATTTATTGGCTATATGTTTTGCACAGCAGGCCGGCAGGGTTGTGTCAAAAAAAAAGGAAAAAATATTCTGCGTTGTTGGACAAAGGCCAGTGTGGTGGTTTAGATGAGAATGGCCCCCATAGGCTCGTGTTTGAATGCTTATACCTGTTGAGGAGGGACTAAGCAGTGTGGCCTTGGAGAGGATGTGTGTCACTGGGGGTGGGCTTTCAGGTGTCAGAAGTCCACACCAGACCTCAGGAGTGACTGTTGTCCTTGGGTCAGGATGTAAAGCTCTCAGCTACTGCTCCAGTACCATGCGCCTGCTTCCTGCCACGATGATCACAGACTAACTCTAAAACTATAAGCAAGCTCCCAATTAAATGCTTTCTGGTCTGAATGAGGTAGCGGGGACTAGCTGACTGGAATTGGCCATAGAGAAGCCAGGACTATGGATAGAGAAGACACACAGGAAGGAAAGAGTGGGGACTGGAGTTTGGCACTTCCTTCTGTTTTGGGAGGAGTGAAGAGATGGTCTCTGGCTAAAAAGCAAGGTCAGCTGGTTGCTTCTTGGCTTCTCTGATCTAATATGTTTTCACCCCCACATCTGACTTACACTTATTTGTTGGTAAACAGAACAATAGAGACTTAGTTTAAACCCGCAGCTCAGCAGAGCCAGAGCAGGACTGGAAGGCCCTCTTGGTTGTGGCCTGAGTGACTGGCTGGGTGTTGACTGAGTGGCCGTGGGCCCGCACAGGATAATTAAAATAGAAGTAGATTTGTGTGCAGCTGCTAAGCTGACAGAAAAACATCACAAGAGGTTAGTTATGGCAGGAATGACTAGGAAGGATTAGTTAACAAGGCAGATTTGTACAGATTTCTTCCAGCTTTACTTCTCACCTCTAGTGACAGGAGTATGGATCAGGGAGGGCACCCTCTCTCCCCAATGCTGGCTGGCTTTCATCTCCTTTTACAAAGGTAATGAGTGTTTCTTGAAGTCGTTGCTGAATCAGCTTTCTCAGAACAGCAGGCCAGAGTGGCATATTTGGGAGAGGCATGTTTTACATTCATTCTTTTGACTACTGGACCAACTCAGTTACTTACAGGCTATTGGCAGGAGGCTCAGTCTTCAGAAGGCAGCAGTGTCTCCAAGGTCTTGTTGAGTGGCTTGGTAGCATGGCAGCTGGTTTCTCCTAAGCAGTGGATACAGGACAGTAAGGGAGGAATCACAAAGGCCTTAAAAGAATTGTTTTTGAGATCATAATATAATTACATCACTTCCCCCTTTCCTTTCCTCTCTCCAAAATTTCTCAAATACCCCTCCTTGCTCTCTTGCAAAATTATGGCCTCTTTTTCATTACTGCCGCGTGTCCTAGGGATGTCAGAAACTATACCCATAGTTTCACCAACATGACTGCAAACAGGAGCTTGAACAAAGACACCAATAGATGTACTAACATGGACAAGGCAAAGGCTTTTATCACTGTGAATAAAAGTTCCCATGGGCTGGAGAAATGGCTCAATTCCCAGCAACCACATGGTGGCTCACAACCATCTGTAATGAGATCTGGTGCCCTCTTCTGTCATGCAGGTGTACATGCAGGTAGAACACTGTACATAATAAATCTTTAAAACAAACAAAAACTTCCCAAAGGAGACTGCACCTTCCACTGACCCTGATTCAGGTAACCACAGAGATGAACAAATGAATGGAACTTCTATGACTATGTAGAGATTGGAATATTGTAGACCCAGAGCCTACTTAAAAGTCATCTGGGCTGTAGTTAGCCGCCTCTATAGCTATTCCTTACCACTTCTTTATCTAGCCTGACATCCTGTGACTAACAGATGAAACCTTTAGAAATGTATTGACTTAACAAAACCTTAGTTTCTACCAATCAAAACCTAAGGATGTTATCAGAGAGCATTTGGGCCCATAGCAGGGTTTCCCCTCCTTTGCTTCAATCCATCGAGCTAATGTTTCCACCAGTGTTATGATTTTTGTTTTGGTTTGTGTGGTGCCCAAGTTGCAAAGTCCCCAGAGACCACCAGAATGACCCACCAAATTGCAAAAGCAAGGTTTTAATGATTGTTCATCCAGCCATGACAGGGACTCTGTCTGGCTAGCTGTCACAGCAGCCTCTAGAGGGAGTGAAGTTCCTTGTCTACGGCTAGGTTTTAAAGACAAAAGTTACAGGATTACATCAGTAGGTACGGGTTGGTTTCTGATTGGTTGACATTTGGGAACAATTAGGAGAATTTCTCAGAGTCATATTTTGGCATGAAATACCTGTGTACCAATTATTTTCATTGGTCAGTGCTGAGAGGAAACATTCTGTGGTTTCTATGGCTTTGTCTTGTTACTTGCAGGTGGCCTGTTGTACATAGATACCAACAGTTTTCAGAACTATATCCTGGAGAATACAGGGGAGGTTTTGGTCCCCCCTGAAATTTCTTTTGTGGCCAAACAGTTCCCAGGAACCAAGTATCTAGAAGGCTGGGTGGGGGGCGGTGTCTGGAGTTTCTTGTGTTCAGTTTTGGCCCTAGGTTCTGGGAGGCCTGAGGGTCTGGAGTTTCCATGTGTCAGAGGCCTACGTGTCTTTTTTGTAGCCTGTCATAGCCACTAAAGCAGGGGGCCGAGTGAGGATCTGGTCCCTTTATTTCTAAATTATTAGAAGTGAAGCCTTTGAGTTTAGTTTATCCCTTTCAGTTTGGTTTGGTTTTTGTTTGCTTGTTTTTTCTAGACAGGGTTTCTCTGTATAGCTCTAACTGTCCTGGAACTCACTCAGTAGACCAGGCTGGCCTTGAACTCACAGAGATCTGCCTGCCTCTGCCACCTGAGCACTGGGATTAAAAATGTGTGCCACCACCACCCAGCTCCACCAGTGTCTTTGTACAAAGTGTCTTAATTCATAATTATATTTGTAAGTACTTCAAAAATGACACTATTTCCACATTGGAACATGGTACTTCAGGCAAGTTACAACTGTGTTCCTGGGTTGTGGTCATTCATATTTGGTTTCAGAATAAACTATCCCACCTCCTTTGAAGTTAGAGTTGGTTTTTGTTTTGTTTTTCTTGAACAAATGTCACCTATACTCTGAAATTGCATTTAATTGTGTGCTAACCTGTTGGTTCATGAAACTTGGCAACTTGGTCAGCCCCTGCTTCCCAGGACTAGGAAGGCCATGGGTCCCAGGGAGCAGGAAGCAATTCGAGTGGTGTTGGATGCTGGCTACCATGTTAACTGTGAGAGTGCAGCCACCACAGCCTCACTCCTTCTGCTCTGTCTTCTCACAGAAATTGTTCCTTGAAAACACATTGTCCTCATCTGTTTATTGTGGATACTACACATGAACAGTAATGAGACAGTTGCCAAAAACACCCTGTTTCAAGCATCCTGATAATGCTGGCTACATGTTGACTTGTAGGCAACAGGAAATCAATTGAGGCGCTGTGCAGTGTATTGATACTTTGTTTGTGTTCTCACAAATGGAGCTTGCCTGGAGATCAGGATGTAGAGCTAGTCACTAGTTAACTGTAGAGGTCTGGAGGTGTGTACAGAGAGGAGACAGGAAGTGACAACACGAGGGAGGAAGTAAGAAGGCGGGGCGTAGACAGGATCTTGGTCCTTTCAGTCTGAGGATTTGGAGAGTTAGGAGGTGACTGTGGCCTTTCCTTTTCTTCCCTGATCTTTCAGCTTTTACCTCCATATCTGACTCCAGGTTTTTATTGATAAAACTAATTAGGATAAGGCTTCAGTGCAGTGTTTTGGGATATTTTTTACACCATATATATTTTGCTTTATTTGCCTAAGGCACCTGGTTGGTTTAATACAGAGCTAAAATGGCCAAAGTCATGGTGGCACAGGCCCTTAATCCCAGGACTTGGATTGATGTCTAGCCAGAGAGACAGAAGACCCAGAAATAAAAGCACCTTAATCACTTTAGTTGAGTCCTGACTGTTAAGGCAGGACTTCCTGTTGATGTGATAAAATCATCTGACAAAGGCAATTTGAGGGAGGAAGGGCTCACGGTATGTTCTGTCACAGTGGGGAAGTCAAGGCAACCAGAGTTTGCAGCAGTTGCTTATGTTAAATCTACAGAAGAGAGCAGAGAATGCATACATGCCAGTGCTCAGCTGGGATCCACACCTTATACATCCCACAGTCCCACACAGGGAGTGGTGCCCACACCTTATACAGCACACAGTCCTACACAGGGAGTGGTACCCACACCTTATACAGCACACAGTCCTACACAGGGAGTGGTACCCACACCTTATATACAGCACACAGTCCTACACAGGGAGTGGTACCCACACCTTATATACAGCACACAGTCCTACACAGGGAGTGGTACCCACACCTTATATACAGCACACAGGCCTACACAGGGAGTGGTACCCACACCTTATATACAGCACACAGGCCTACACAGGGAATGGTACCCACACCATATATACAGCACATAGTCCCACACAGGGAGTGGTACCCACACCATATATACAGCACACAGTCCTACACAGGGAGTGGTACCCACACCTTATACAGCACACAGTCCTACACAGGGAGTGGTACCCACACCTTATATACAGCACACAGGCCTACACAGGGAGTGGTACCCACACCATATATACAGCACATAGTCCCACACAGGGAGTGGTACCCACACCATATATACAGCACATAGTCCCACACAGGGAGTGGTACCCACACCTTATACACCACACAGTCCCACACAGGGAACGATACCATCCACAATGGTTAGGTTTTCATTAACACAATGCAGATAATCCCCTGATTATGCCAGGAAGCCCATCTTTCAGTTGATTCTAGACTCTGTCAAGTTAACACTAACCATCATGTTTACCATTCCTTTTCAGGACAATTCTCTCAGAATTCATCCACTGTGTCTCTGCCTCTTTTATTTAAAACAAAATTATTTTTCAAATTATTATTTGTATTTGTTAATGTATTTATTTAACATAATATTTTTACAGTTTTTTTTGAGACAACATTTCTATGTGTAGCTCTGGCTGACGAGGGATGTCCTTCTGTATGCTGTGACTATATGTTCCTCTTATTGGTTGATGAATAAAGCTGTTTCAGCCAATGCCTTAACAGAATAAAGGCAGGTGGGAAATTCAAAACTAGTAAGGCAGAGTTGAGGAGACTCCATGTAGCCGCCAGAGAGTCAAGATGCCAGGGCATCACCACCAGTCAGTCAAGGCCACGTGGTGACTCACAGATGAACAGAAATGGTCTAATAATTAAGAGAGAGCTAGCCAGTAAGAAGCCTAAGCCATTGGCTAAATGATTGTAACAGGTATTAAGCCTCAGAGTGGTTATTTTATAAACAGCCGTGGGGACCCAGTGGGCAGAGAGAAACTGGTCCATTGGAACCCGAGATAGAAGGAAAAAGCCTCCCTCTATATCTGGCTGTCCTGGATCTTACTCTGTAGACCACACTGGCCTCCAACTCAGATCTGGCTCCCCAGTGTTGGGATAAAAGGTATGTGACGCCACTGCCTGGATTGTCTTTTTATAAATTTTTTAGAAAAAAGATTTGTTTATTATGTATACAGTGTTCATTCTGCCTGCATGCCAAGATAGGGCACTAGACCTCATTACAGATGGTTATGAGCCACCATGTGGTTGCTGGGAATTGAACTCAGGACCTCTGGAAGAGCAACTAGTGTTTTTAACCTCTGAACCATTTCCCTAGCCCCTTAGTTTTCAATTTTTGTAGTGTGTGTGTGTGTGTGTGTGTGTGTGTGTGTGTGTGTGTGTGTGCGTGTTTACACATGTATGTGGAGGCCTGAGGTTTAATGGCAGATGTCCTTCTGTATGTTTCTCTTATTGGTTGATGAATAAAACACTGATTGGCCAGTAGCCAGACAAGAAGTATAGACAAGGCTATGACATGGGGAGAATTCTGGGTAGAAGTAGGCAGAGAGAGGCCTCCAAGAGATGCCATGTAGAGACCTGGAAGATAGGATTCTCCAGGCATTCTCTGATAACATGAGGCCATGTAGGAATATATAGATTAGTAGTTGTGGGTTAATAATTAAGACAGAGCTAGCCAGTAAGAAGCCATAGTCATCAGCCAACAGTTTTATAATTAATATAGCATCCATTATTTGGGGCTACTTGACTGCAGGACAAGGCTGGAAAGAAACTCCAGCAACAGAGGTTGATGTTGCAAATCATCCTTACTCACTCTTTTACCTTGTTTACTGAAGTAAGGCCTATAAATCAAATCCAGAGCTCACAGATATGGCTAGTCTTACTAGCCAGTGGTCTGGGGATCCCCTGTCTCTTGCTCTCTGTCTTAGTTTGGGTTTCTTTTCTTTTTCTTTTTAAAAATATTTCTTTTTAAAATTTTATTTTATGGATCCAGCATGCTTCCACTGCACAACTGTGCTTTAATTTCATTTTACATTCCAACCAAAGTTCTCCTTCCCACCTCTCCTACTGCGTCCCCTAACCTCCTCCCCCAGCCCACTCCATATCCATTACTCCCAAAAGGTAAGGGTTCTCATGGGGAGTTGACAAAACCTGGCACATTAAGTTGGGGCAGGACCAAGCCCCTCCCCCCTGCATTGAGTCTGAGTATAGCATTCTACCACAGGGAATGGGCTCTAACAAGCTAGCTCATGCACCAGGGACAGATCCTGGTCCTGTTGCCAGGAGCTCCTCAGATAGACCTAGCTATACAACAGTCACATGCAGAGGGCCTAGTTCGATCGCATGGAGGCTCCACAGCTCTTGGTTCAGACTTCATGAGTTCCCATGAGCTTGGTTCAGCCGTATCTGTAGGTTTCTCCATCATGATCTTGATCACCGTTGTTCATATATTCTCTTCTCCCTGTCTTTGACAGGATTCCCGGGGGTTGGCCAGGTACTTGGTTGTGGATCTCTGAGTCTGGTTCCATCTATTCCTGGATGAAGGCTCTATGATGATAGTTGGGGTATTCACCAATCTGATTACAGAGGAAGGCCAGTTGGGACATCCTCTCCACTATTGCTAGGAGACTTAGCTGGGGTCATCCTTTTGGATTCTTGGGGGTTTCCCTGGCACCAGGTTTCTCCCCAACCCATAGTGACTCCCTCTATCAAGGTATTTCTTTCCTTGCTCTCTTCCTCTATCTCCCACTCCACCATCCCATTCCCTCATGTTATTATCCCCCATCCCCTCCCCTTTACAGACCCCCTTGTCCCTTCAGTTTGCAAGTATTTAATTGAGTATTTTTGCACTATGCTCATGAGGGAAATTGGTCTGTAATTCTGCTTCTTAGTTGTATCTTTGTGTGGTTTGGGTAACAGGGTAACTATAGCTTTGTAAAAGTTGTTTAGCAACGTTCCTTCTGTTTCTATTGTGTGGAACTATTTGAGGAGTATTGGTATCAGATCTTCTTTGAACATCTGGTAGAATTCTGCACTGAATTCATCTGGGCCTGGTTGAGAGACTATTGATAACTGTTTCTATTTCCTTAGAGGTTATAGGTCACTTTGTCTATTCCATCCATCAGGCATAGATTGGTCATCAAGACTGCTACCAACAGGTTTCCTCCCCTGAGGAAGCCTTTAGGACCCAGCAAAACTTCCTCACACTTTTTATATATGCATGTAACTATGCAAAGAAACTTGCACTGTGACCCAGAAAGCAGTGACACATGTTCAAAGGTTTCTAGGAAGAATGGGTACTATACAGGGAATAGATACATGAAGCAAGGTAGAAAGATGGGAACATTAAGGGCTAAGAAGGGACAGAAACACTTGCGCTAGGATTTACTTTGTCTTTCCCGGTGACTGACAGGAAACTTCAACACAATTGGCAAGGTCACATGTGTCCCAGAGACAATGTGTTTTCCTCTACACATCACAAGCAAGGATGCTAAACATAGCAAATGAGCTATGCTTGCCTAGGGCCAGAATTTCTTACCTCAAGTCTCATGTCAACGTTCTTCTCATCCCTAAGCCTGAACAGGGCGCCTCACAAACCACCTCGTAACTTTATTTACAGAAGGATACCCTTTAAGATGAAAGAAATAAGTAAGCAGCTTGTATATGTGTATCACTTAATTTCTAAACGCCACTTAAATTTTTAAACTTTGCCTAATCTTTAAACTATGTTGTAAATTACAGGCTTCTGAGAAGCCATGGGATCATGCATGGATGGGATCATGCATCCATCCATTCATCCATCAATTCACACACACACACACACACACACACACACACACACACACACTGTGAAGGCACCTGAGAACACTGCCTTTCAGAGCCTACCCTATGTTGTCTTTGATGTGTACTATAATGTGTGCCTATGTTTCTCTCCTCTCTCTCTCTCTCTCTCTCTCTCTCTCTCTCTCTCTCTCTCTCTCTCTCACACACACACACACACACACACACACACTCCTACATGCATGCTCTCCCTAATCTTAATAAACCCACTAACTTCTTCACTCTGGCTTAGCCTGTTAGTCTTTTCTGCTGCCGGTCAAGGATCCACCAGCTGTCCCTGACTAGTTCTCTCACTGGGAAGGAAACTCCTCCAGAATGCTGGCAGCAATGCTGGGCCGTACCTCACACACATACTTCTAAAACTAGTTCCTCCTACAATATTCATGCTCATTTTCTAACCCAGAGCAATTCAGAAAGCTCAAAGAGGAAAGCAGAAGGCACCCAAACAGCGGCTAAGCAGTGGGAAGCACTCTAGGAACTATGGTCAGCGATCCTTTGGTTGTCTGTCACACGGCCTCAGAAAGAATAGGCAACAAAACCCAAAACAAGAAAACAGCAACAGGAAATCAATGCACTTTTAGGTTCTAGAAAGTGTCAGGATCCTTGGACAAGCACCAGCAGCCCTGCTTATCACACAGGCCAGAGTTTCTGAGCTCTGGAAAACACAGGGCAGGAGTCAAATAAGTAGCTTCCAGCCTGGAGGCTGCTTGCTCACTCTCCTCTGGGGCATCATGGCAGGAAGGGGCACTAATCCTTGCTGCACCCTGTCTCTTTACTGACCCCAGCTCACCCATTCCCAGGTAGGAATCTCCCCTAGGGTCCCCATAGAAAGTCTGGTGTTTGCCAACTCAATGGCTCTAACTAAACCTTGCTTTTCTTATTGCTTTGGGTTTTGGTTTTTACTGCTCCAGTCCTGTGTGTTTGGGTCAGTCCTTCAATTTCTCATCTTTTCCATTCGGCACAGCCCTCAGCCCCTCTTATCGCTTTCAAAGCTGCACACTCATGTTGGAGCAAAGTGGCAGCTAGTGTCCAGTGCTCACCCAGGATCTCGGCCAACGCTAGCCCAGGGGCTCGGCCTCTCAGGTTCTGGCTGTCTTGGGAGCACTCCAGGGCCTTCACGAATGATAGAAGGACTCCACAATTAATGTAAGCTAAGATGTTAGCTTGCTAATTCTTGTTCCATGTTCAAATATTTTAGCTCTCAGCTAAAGCAAAAGTTGTTGAGCCGCTTTGTGATCCTGGCTCTTGGGAGGTGAGTGGTAGGTGGTGTGTGGCTGCCTAGCATCCGAAAGTCACCTGCACTCATGTGGACATACCCATCAACACACAGGCACCCACGCATGCATGCACATACTTCTAAAAAAAGAAAGAAATCTTAAAAGAAAAAAAAGAAGCTGGGCGGTGATAGTGAATGCATTTAATCCCAGCCCTCCGGAGGCATAGGCAGGTCAGCCTGGTCTACAGAGCGAGTTCAATGATGGACTCCAAAGCTACAGAGAAACCCTGTCTTGAAAAGAGAAACTAAAATGGGAAAAGAAGGTATCTCCTTCAGTAGCAAAGGAAAACTGGAAAAAGCCTTTGGAAAAAAAGACATACATGTCAGGCCAGAAGGGGGCGCCACCACAAAGGCAAGGCTCCTTGATTCTATTGAGGTTGGGTCTGTTGTGATCTTTACTTCAAAAGCCAAGTCTGTTTAGTTTTGCATGAACCATGCCCAGCTTCATTTTCTCTCTCTTTTTTTTTTTCCTTTCTTTTTTGGTTTTTCCGAGACAGGGTTTCTCTGTATTGTTTTGGAGGTTGTCCTGCAGCCTGTGGTGGGTGGAGCATTTCCTGAGCCCACAACACTGTCAAGAACACTATGACCAGGGTCTTCCCATGGTTATAGGCTGCGGCTATAACAAAGTGCCGCAGGCTAGGGGCTTAAACAGTTATCCCATCACAGCCTTTGAGGCAGACAGCCCAAAGTCGGGGCCAGCAGGGCTGTTTCATTCCTTTTTACAAATTTTATTACATTTTGCCAGGTGTGGTGGCACAGACCTTTAATCTCAACACTTGGGAGGCAGAGGCAGGTGGATCTCTGAGTTCGAGGTCAGCCTGCTCTACAGAGTGAGTTCCAGGCAAACCAGTACTACCTAGAGAGATTGTCTCAATTTTTTAAAATTACATTTGTTTGTGTCCCTGTATGCATGTGGGTGCTCACTTGCTACAGTGCGTGCGTGCGTGCGTGCGTGCGTGCGTGTGTGTGTGTGTGCGTGTGTGTGTGTAGGTCAGCTTGCTGGGGTTCTTCTGTTCTCCCATCCCTGTAGGTCTCAAGGATCAAACTCAGGTCATCATAGTGGGTGGATGGTAAATGCCTTTACTTACAGAGCCATCTCGCTGTACCAGGGCTGTTTCTTCTAGGCCTCTCTGGCTGGTAGATGACCACCCGGCAGGCTGGGAACTTAATGCCCCTATCTGTATTTAAACAAAAGCACCAGTCATGTTGGTTTAAAAGCACCCATCTGACGACTTCATTTTGCCTTAATTACATCTTTGAAGCTCCAAATGCAGGCACATTCTGAGATATCGGGGGTTAAAGGTTCTACACGCAAACTTGGGGCGGAGGGGCAGACTTTAGTCCTCACAGCACTGCCGGTTTGGCTGACAGATTGTTCAAAAACTCGGTTCCCGGGGACAGGCACAGATCTCCGAGGGTGGAGCGGTTTCCCGGTGCGAGAGCAGTTCTGAAGTGAACACAGAAATCAGTCTTGGCGCGTAGCTCTCTTCTGCTGCACGATTACAGCCAGCCTCCTGCCTCATTGCTCCGACTAAATTACAGGCAGAAACCCTGAGCACTGGCGACCTGTCACCGTTGAAAGCTGGCCGGCTCCCAGCAGTCAGCAGGCTTCCGGGTCACATGACCCACGCTCCTCCCCCCGGGGCGTGGCTACGGTGGTGGGACCTACCCGGGCCCGCTGAAGCGCCGAAGGCCGGGAGTCACGTGAGGGCGGGGCCTAGGGCAGCGGCCTGAGCGGCGGCGGCGGCGGCGGCGATCGCGGACGGCAAGCTGGGCTGCCGGGCTCCGCGGGTCCCAGCCATGGGCGGCGAGGACTACTACCTGGAGCTGTGCGAGCGGCCGGTGCAGTTCGAGAAGGCGAACCCGGTCAACTGTGTGTTCTTCGACGAGGCCAACAAGCAGGTGAGCGGCGCCCGCAGCGAGGCCCGGCGCCCGGGCGCCTAGCGTCGCCGTACCCACGGTGCGCGCACCGGAGTTAGCGCCGAGTGCCCGGTGTGCTGTGCGGGGACAGCGACGGGTGTGCCAGTGCGTGGGCGGTGCCAGAGTGCGAGCTGGCTCTCAGAGGGTCAGACCCAGGGTCTGGCCTGCTCCTGAACGGTGCCCTGTTTGCGCTTGCACTTCCTTCTTAAAATTCGTCTAAGCACCTACCCAGAAACAAGCCCTGTCGGTTTGCTCGATGAATCAAGGGTGTGGTGCGGTTAGCATGAACCCTGAAAGGTTGAGTCTAGGTCTGTGCAAAGCTCTGGCCATTAACGTTGCCTCTTCCTCAGGTTTTTGCTGTTCGATCGGGTGGAGCTACTGGAGTGGTCGTGAAAGGGCCAGATGATAGGAATCCCATCTCTTTTAGGTAATTTGTCCTTTCCAGAACAAAATTCACATACAAGCACTGGGGTTTTCTGAGTCACAGAGTTGGATCATTTCGTTCGCGTCTCATCTAAGCAGCCAGGGATGGAATCCCGTGGGTAGGAAAAGCAGTGGGCACCTGTGGCCGCAGTCTGGAAACAGGGCAACTGTCAGAGTGAATTGTGGGGATCAGAAGTTCCCAGGGCACCTGCTTCCTGGTGCGCACTTCTGCTGTGCTGGGCCTGGGGACTCAGTTCTTCATTTATCCCAGGGCTTCCTAGAGTTTTTGCTGGGCGGAGGAAAATCCAGTCTTCCTCATGTAATGGGGAAAAATCAGGGTTCCCACTGAGGTTAAAGGGACAGACCGGCTGTCCCACTTTACGTGAGTTGAGTGAGTGTGGTTGACAGTGGCAATTCCTTCATAAACAGTCCCATCAACTCTTAATTCTTTTGAGCGCAGTAGCAGAGAGAACGTATTGCTTAGGGCCTCAGTTCAGCTGTGGCCCAGGCTTATACTCCCAGTCCTCTGGGAAACTGAGAGAGGTAGTTTGCAGGTTATCAGTCAGTCTGCACAGCATACTAAGACCCTGTTTCAAAAAAACAAAACCAAAGAACAAAAACAAACAAAAAACCGTATCGCTTTTAACATGTGCCAGCTGTTGGAAGCAGAAAATAGCCAATGTGGTTTTCTTTTAATTCCTTGGTCAGCACACACTGACGGTGGCAAACAGGTGGAGATTTTGTGTTAGCCTGCGCCCTCTCCAGAGCCCAGACTTAAAGCAGGAGAGAAGAGGGTCAGCAAATATTGTTGGCCAGGATAAGCTCAGTGCTAGAACCTTGTTCAGGGTGTGGGGAGGAGCACTTAAGGGATACAGCTTTGACCTCAAGGTGGGGTTGATCGAGGCTTTAAGGCAGGAAGGGAGTGATTTCTGGTTGGAGACTAGACCTAGGTAACACTGAACACCATGAAAGACCATGGTGCTTTGGGGAATTCTAGGTCAGGGAAGGGCAGGTGAAGACATACCCAATGGCAGGGCCTGTCAACATTTGCATTCCCTATGGGGTCAGGGCTTTCCCTTGATGGTGAAAATCTGTCAGGTCAGGGGTGGCGAGGTTACCTCAGCATTTGGAAATAATGAATGTCTGCATTCCTGATGTTGTCAGGAGCAGAGACAGCAGTAACTCTGAGAGACTATGTGTTACCGAAATCCACTGGGCTCTGAGGTGCAGCCTTCTTGTGGACAGCCTTCTTGTGAGAAGTTAGAGGGTGAGATGTACCAGTGAGAGACGGAAAACTGAGGGGGAGATGCCAGTCCTAGGCTACATTTCAGGGTTCTGAGGAGCTTGAAGTTTTGGTAGGATACAGCATTTAACTTGTGCATGTGTGCATGCGTTTTTTTTTTCCTGTCCTCTTGTGTTTTGAGACATGGTCTCATTGGCACATTAGCATGACAAGTGACCCATAGGGGGCCCGCTTGTCTTTGTCTCCAGCACTGGAATTACAATGCCACAGTGTCTACATGGGTTTACATGTAGGAGATCACACTCAGGTCTCTGTGAGCCAACTGAGCCCAAACATGTCTTTTAAACAGCTTTATTGAGTTATAACTGGCTCACAGCATGCTGCACACTGACTATATAGTGAGATATTTATACACCCAGGAAACATTACTATAATGATAATGAGTGTGTCTCTATCCTCCAAGGTGTCCAGCAGTTCTCAGGTGATGTGTGTGTGTGTGTGTGTGTGTGTGTGTGAGTGTGTGTGTGTGTGAGATCCTAATTCTCCAGTCACTTGGCTATGCCCTCTGTCCACTTCACCAGCAAGTTGTTGTCAGTAATTTGTTCACAACTTCAGAAATGCAATTCCAACATTAGGCTAGGGCTTGCTGCTTCCCAAAGAGTTATGTGACTTTTTGTTAATAGCAATGAGAGCTAGAGTTCAGGGCAGTTTCTCTCTTAACATGTTCTTTCTTGTTTCAGAATGGACGACAGAGGAGAGGTGAAATGCATTAAGTTTTCTTTAGAAAATAAGATACTGGCTGTCCAGAGGACCTCGAAGACAGTGGTAAGACAGCTTAAAGCAGCCCCAGGGAGAACAGTAGACTTCTGCTTGGAAGAAACAGAGTTGCTGAATTCTCGTTGTCTCCTCACCCTGAGGGATCCAGTCATGTAGGGATGTTGAGAGCATTTGCAGATGTGCTTAGCATCAGTCTGACTTTAAAAACAGGGTATCTATCTTCATTATATAAAATGCTGAGCCAGGTGTTGGTGGCTCATGCCTTTAATCCCAGCACTTGGGAGGCAGAGGCAGGCAGATTTCTGTGAGTTCAAGACCAGCCTGGTCTACAATAGCTAGTTCCAAGACAAACCTTAAAGCCACAGAGAAACCCTGTCTCAACCCCCCCCCCAAAGCTGAGTGCTATCATGGCATTTTCATACATGTGTATTATGTTCCATGCTCATGTCCTGTGCCCCCAATGCTGAGTGTTATCATGGCGTTTTCATACATGTGTGTTATGTTCTGTGCTCATGTCCTGCCCCGTTACCTTCTCCTGTCTCCTCTCCTCCTGATCCCTCTCCTCCTTCAAAGTTGTCCCTTTTCTACAAATAAATACTTGATTGATGATGTGTAGGAATGTTTTGCCTGTATGTATGTCTGTGCAGTGCCTGAGTTGTTCAGAAAAGGGCAAAGGGTCCCCTGGAGCTGGAGCTACAGGTGGTTATTTGTTGGGGGAAGTCCTGTGCATTTGTCAATAAAGTACTGTTGAGCCTATAGGGAACCAAGATAGGAGGGACTAGGAGTCCAGGAGAACTCTGGGAAGGAGAAACACAAGAGAGTCGAGATGTAACGCCATTGGGGTAGGAAGCCCGGAAACCTCTCCGGTAAGAGACATAATTAGATTAACAATTATGGGGTAATTACTTAAGTCAGAGCAAGCCAGTAAGAAACAAGCAAAGGCCAACAGCTTCATAATTAATACAGCGTCTTGTGTGTTTATTTGGGGACTACAATGCGGCAGAGCCCAGGCGACTGGCGGGTGATAAACCAAAGCGGCTAGCAAAGAAAAAGCTTCTCTTAACAGTTATTAGCCGCCATGTAGGTGCTGGCAATTAAATTTGGCTCCTGGAGCAGCCAGCGTCTTAACTTTTGAGCGGTCTCTCCAGCCTCCATTTTTTAAAATGTAGTTTGGATTGTCCTGCATCTTTGTGTTGCTTGCTAACTGGCGACGTAGCTGTGTGACGTAGTAGTCTTATTCAAGTCACTTCTACCGGTGTCTGTCATGTCTGCTCGCTGGGTTGGTTAGGAATAGGTAGTCAAACATAGCTGCAGCAGCTTGATGGCACTTCATCTCTTGGAAGCATCACCATCATCCGCCTTGGAACGGGATGCAGTGGTAATTTAGCATAAAGGAGCTCCTGGCTTTGCTCCTAGCATCATATTGATCATATTGATCAGTTGACCAGTACTGTTCATTCAGTTCACTATTGCCCTCTGTAAAGCAGTGAAGAAGCCGTTGCGAAGATAAGCACACCCGTGTGTTTATCTAATTACTTTTTTAAAGATTGATGTATTTATTATGTATACAGTGTTCTGTCTGCATGTATGTCTGCACGCCAAAGGAGCACCAGGTCTCATTACAGATGGTGTGAGCCACCATGTCGTTGCTGGGAATTGAACTCAGGACCTCTGGAAGAGCAGCCAGTGCTCTTACCCGCTGAGCCATCTCTCCAGCCCCTATCTAATTATTCTTTATCAATGAGAAATTGGGAGTCAGATATCAGGGTAAGAATGTAAATGACCAGAGAAGCGGCGGTGAAGTAACCTCTCTCTTTTGTTCTTCCATCCAAAAGGCTGAGACTCTCTCTACTATCCTTCCTGTCTCCTGTCTGTCCTCAGTCCTCAGTCCTCCAAAACATCTATGGTTAATTTTGGTCAGCTAGTGGCTAGCTCTGCCCTCTGACTCAAAGCAAACTTTATTGTCAGATGCAATCAGAGTATCCCACCACAGCAGACCCCAGAGCTTGCTGCTGCTTTAGTGTTATATCTTCAGAAAGCCTGGGGAAAGCCAGTACTTTCCCCCGATGTCACTAATTTGAGGCATTTATTTCTTCCTTCTTCCTTTCTCCTCCCTCCCTGTGCTTCCTCTTTCCCCTTTCCTTCTGTTTCTCCTCCTCTCCATTTCTCTCCCAAAAGCCTCCTTTTATGGCCCATAAACTTACGACAGCCCATGTTGGTGTTGAACTTAGAGTCTCTAAGCGTCAGCTTCCTGTGTGCTGAAATCCTAGGCGTGAGC